AAAGAAGTTTAATAATATTAAGGTAAATATAATATACTACCTTAGTAAGTATCTATATAGAGCTATATATATATTACTAACTCTAATCTTTATAGCTCCTAACCTAGGCTATATCTAATTAAAGTATATATTAGGGAGAAAGTAGAAGGCTTTATATATAACTTAGTACTATCTTCTTATTATATTTAATATATATAATACCCCTAAATACTATTATAAATATTAGAGATACTAAGACTTTACTATAATATACTATATTTATATATAAGGTTTATAGATTTTATAGTACTAGGAAAATTCTTATAGACTATTAGCTTTACTAATAAATATATTACTAAAAGTCTAACTACTATAAAAAAACTATATCTCCCTATAACTCTAGGTATTATATAACTTTAGCTACTACTTTAGCTTATTTAGCTCTATACTATGCATTAGAAATAGAAAAAAAGAAAATATAACTAAAAAGGTTAAAAATATTAATAAGAATTAAAAAAAAACTCCTATAAAAAATAAAATAAAAAACTAGAGAAATAAAAAAAACCTAGAAAAATATTAATAATATTAGTAAAGCTAATAAAATAGAGAGGAAAATATTATTTAGCTATTTTACTAGTCTTTTTAGCCTCCCTCTTAGTAGCCCTTAACTTCTTTTATATATTCTTTTTAGAAGGCTTTAGCTTCTTTTTACTAGTATTAGGCTTTATTAGGGTAATATTAGTAGTAAGCATAGTAGGTTAGTTAATTATAGTAGTTAACTAAGTTAATCTTAGTTTTTTTAGCTTTTAGGGCATTATATTATTATTAATATCTTTAGTTTAGGTATACTTCTTCTTTAGAGCCTTACTAAACTTATCTATATAGAACTTCTTAAATTTAGGTATATAGTTAATTATCTTACTATTAGTATTAATAATATATAGATTACCTATTATAAAGTTAGCTTTATTAGTATAAAAAGATTAGAAGTATCAATATAACTTACTAAATAGAGAACTAGTATTTATGTGTTTAGCTTAGATATTAGTAAAGCCTTAGGCTAGAGTAGTAGAGTTTATTATCTATAAAATATAAATAAGTTAGCTAGAGTTCTTAGAATTATTAGAGATATAAGGTAGGAAGGTCTTTATACTTTCTCCTATAACTAGGGGCTAAAGCTCTTCTCTTATAGGGTAAAGATAGTAGGTATATACTTACTGAATAAACCTAGGCTCTATATATTATTATAATTATAGTATAAGGTATTAATTATATAGATCTATAATACTAAGTTAGTAAAACCTTAGAAAAATTAGTAATTATAAATATATACTAATAATAGGCTATATAGCTTAGTTATAATTTTAAGGATAGCTACCTAGAGAATAAAAGTATTAGCAATTTAATCTAAAGATATTAGTAATTTAGAGGAATACTTATACTAAGTAAGTAACTATATAGAGTAAGGGGAAGCTCTTCTATACTATCTAGCTTAATAGTATAGATATACTATATTTTATTAGGATAAGATTAAAATTATAGAGGTTTATAATTAGAAAGAGTAGTACTTATAGCACCTATACTCTAATAACTATAGCACTATAGATAGAATACCTTACTAGTATTCTTCTCCTTATTACTCTAGAACTAGCCTCTAAATAGATCTATATTAGTTATATTCTATATAAAATATTAGTAATACTATTTAGTATACCTTAGCTAAGTATCTTAAAGGTAGTAGATATAGAGAAAGGTATATATTAGATATTCTAAGGGTTAAATAATAAAGAAAGGTTAGGTATATATAATATAAAGTATTAGGGAGGGATAGTAGTAGTAATCTAGAAAATATTAGTATAGGCTTATAAATACTAACCTTCTAGAGTAGATTAATAGCTACTTACCTTCTTTAAGCTTTTATATAGGAGGTATAGTAGGACCTTGCCCTAGAACTTAGAGTATACCTACTTTATAGTATAAGTATTATTAGCACTACTAACCTCTACGTCTAAATACCTTAGTAAAAAGGCTAGTTACTTACTAGACTTAAAGTACTTATTATTATTACTACCCTTATTATTACTAAGGTTACTTAATTTATTATTATTCTTAAGGCCTTAAGACTATAAGCCTAAAGGATATAGCAACTAAGGCTTAGGCGTAGTAGGTAGAGGCAGGGGAGGGACTAGAGTAGGTAGGGGAGGGACTAGAGCTAGCAGGGGAGGGACTAGAGCTAGTAGAGGAGTAGGTGTAGGGGTAGGTATATAGAAGAGAGCACTAAGTAGATTAATATATTAGTAAAGTAAATAATAGGTAAAGGTTAGTAGAACTAAGGCCTATATATAGAAAGCTAGTAAGATAGGTAAATAGTATAAAAAGGTAGTAATAATATAGAATAGTAGCTAATAGCTAGAGCCTTAGAACTTAATAGTTAGAAATATTAAAGAGACTAAGGCCTATAAGTAGAAAGCTAGTAGACTTAGTGCCTAGTATAAGAATATAGTAATAATATTGAATAGTAGCTAATAGCTAAGGCCTTAGAACTTAATAGTTAGAAATATTAGAGGGACTAAGGCCTATAAGTAAAAAGCTAGTAGACTTAGTACCTAGTATAAGAAGGTAGTAATAATATAGAATAGTAGCTAATAGCTAGGGCCTTAGGACTTAATAGTTAGAAATATTAGAAGGACTAAGGCCTGTAAGTAGAAAGCTAGTAGACTTAGTACCTAGTATAAGAAGGTAGTAATAATATAGAATAGTAGCTAATAGCTAGGGCCTCTAAGCTTAATAGTCTAAAATATTAAAGAGACTAAGGTCTTAATAAGGAAAGCTAGCAAGTAGAGTGTTTAACTCTAGGTATAGGGTAATAGTATAGGATAATAGCTAGTAGGCTAGGCCTCTAAGCTTAATAGTCTAAAATATTAAAGAGACTAAAGTCTTTATATAGGAAGCTAGTAAGTAGAGTATTTAGCACTAGAATATAAATAACTTAGGAGCACCTAAGCTTAGTAGTAGGAAAGGTTAATAGAATTAAGGGCTAGCTATACTTTATAGTAGTAGGTATAATAGTATAAGAGAAAGTTAATAGTGCTAGATAGTACCTATTAAGGCTTATAAAGCCTAGTACTACTAATATTTATAGGTATAAATAGTAGTTTAGCTAGAATATTAGATCTCTTAAGCTTTATAAAAGAAAAATAGGTACTAGAGTAGTTACTTATAAGTTATTAGTAGTAGCTTAGTTACCTATAATAATATTCTATAGGAGCTTAAACTTAGGTTTAAGTATAGACACTATATAAATATAATTAGAGTATATAAAACTTAGTAATATTAGTAAGTAAGTAGATAAATATACTAATAATTATAATTTATTAGAAAATACTAGAGAAGGCAATAAAAACTAGACTATAATAATAAAAAAAGTAATAATAGTAGTAGAGGTAGTAAGAAGAGTAGGTAAGTAAGTTAGTAGTAATTTAGTAGTTATTAACTACTATTATTAATAGTAAGCTTATATAAAGAAAGCAAAGCTAGAATAATTAGATGCTAGCCTCTAAGCAAGCAGTGCTAGTCCTAGTATATTCTAGTCTAGAGCTGTTAGCGTTACTAGCGCGGATGGACCCTTACCTCTTATCTAGAAGCTTGGTGGAGCTGCGGCCAGACAATGTTGGCGTATTAGGTGAATGCCAGCCGAACGCTGAAATTTTACGCGGGTCCAACAAGTGGATGCTGACTTCGGCTTGCTTCTCACACCCGATTAACTTTGTTTGTAAAGAAATTTTGTGTAGTTAAAGTATGTAATTAATATTTATCTACCTGACCCGTTGTATGCTAGATACAGAAGAAAATGACTGCTAATACCCTAATGCTGAGGCTAATTGCAATGCCATATGTGCCCTGACTAGATTTTGCAGATGATGTTGCCAGTGACCCGTTAACGGCTGGCTGCGATACTAGATGGCTACACCAGGAACTAGTCTTAGTAGACATGAGGTCACTCCCGGTAGAGACGGGGCTAGCTCTGACAGACTGACTACCGCGGGTAGCGGAATCGAGAGACGTCACCTGATATGTATGTGTTGTCTTGCGTTTTGGGGCCGTATCTCCCGCGCTAGAGACAAACTCTTGAAACTTCCAGTTAGGGCTCAGGTTGAAAAGCATGCCCGCGTTGCAGTGCGAGATGGTGGAGAGCTGGGTACAGAAGATCCATTGCGGATCTGGGCTCGTAACTTCTATCTCAATGATAAATTTGTCACTGAAGTTAGTGGGATTGATTGAATCCAGTGTCAACAGTTCCATTCCTGCGATGGATCCTGCAAGGTACGCCGCGTAAGTGTGTGATTCAGGCCCAGGAAGTCGAAGGCTACGATAGACCCAATTGATGTGTTGAGCGAAGCGGGTGAAAATTTTAGCTCTCTGGCACTGCCAACGATCACTGTCGCAGTTGGATGTGCTGAAGTATGCTTTACACTTGTTGGCCTGGATTTAGTTGTTGTGTTCAGCGCCCATGGTAACGCTGGAGTTAGCGGGTGGTGCCAGGGACCTACAGTTTGCGTAGGATCCGCCCCTAATTCTAGAGAAGCAGTAGCTGTGACCATACATAGCGAGGACTGAATGAGGAGAGATAGCGGTAGTGCAAGCAAGGTAGACGACACAATTGAACGTGTTTGTAGATAAAGTCAGCGTAGCTAACGCTTATGGTCGTTCTTTTTTATTTCCTATTGTTGTTAATTAGGGATCACGAACAACGAAATTGATCGTTTGAATCAGAACAAAGTAATTACCTGTGTTTGAAGGTAGCCGTTTCAGCCCCTCTTTAGCTTTTGTTGCAACAAGTCACTGTTTGATCAGGTACCTTGATTACAGAAAAGGTGCAAGTCACATGATCTTGCTTACTGACCTGCACGATCACACCAGCAGGGGAGCAATCTCTAACTAGCTTGGTATCTTGGCCTGATCCTGTTCTAAAACAAGGTATATATTTCGGTAGTTAAAATGCCTTAGAGAAGGCAGGAAACCTGATCAATTCACTCAATTACTGTGATCCATCTCAACCGATGTATTCAGTTGTTCGTGATCTCCAATTAACAACAATTTTTCATCTGCTATTTTGTTAATCAAGTTATCCATCTCATTCGCTACCAGATTATCTCTTTTGTCCCTGTTGGTAGTTGTCTTACTTTCCTACCTATTTACAGCTCGCGTAATATCCTTCTACTACTAACACTATAGTGTAGGGGGATGATTGCCGCAAATGGGATGACGAAGTTGGCGATATTGGCGACGAAGCTCAAAATCCCGAGCAGAACACCAAGGTGAGTCGCATTGTCTGTCCAAGACAGGTTCTCGTGGGGGTTTGCAATGATAAACGTGTAGACCCCGACCGCGCTCATCGAAACGACGACGTTCCATATCCCGATCCAGGAGCTGATGCGCACCCATTGGATGTGGCAGAAGATGTGGAGGTACAACAGGAAAAAAGTGTTCTTCAAGAAGAGCAGCGTCCAGGGTGAAAGTGTTATGAGGGCGTAGTCAATCTGCCCGGAGTCAGATGATGAAGATACGGATACGCTCTGTAGCAGACCGATGGTAGTCCCGAGTCCAGTGACCGGGCTACACTTACATCCCACAGATGTCGGCCCGTGACACTATTTGTAACGCCTACATCACATCAGCAACGCACCACACCCTAGACCGAACGTACCCACCTCTCATCATGACCGCATATTGCGCAAGTGCCATAATCTATATCCATCAGCCCCTCTCCTCACTCATCTACTTCTAGACATACCACAGTAATCGCCAATGTCGCTATCAGCCGTCAGCACCAAACCTTCTCAAGTCGCAAGCCCGAGCAACGTACCGTCATCCCACCACCAAACCTTCATCAACCGGCACTTGACATACACCCGATTCCCCGCCAGCACCAGTGCGAGCCCCAAAAACCCAGATGTAATCCGTAATAGCAGTCCCGCGCGCGTCGGCGGGTCTGAGAAATTTGAGATAACGCCTGCGGGCGGCGGAGCAAGTGGCGTCGTTACGTCACTCATGTTGCTTGAGATGGCAGACATACGGGCAGCATGTGAGCGCGCTCGCGACTTGACGCCAGAGTGTGCCTCGGGTGGTCGTTGGTTTTAGGGCGCCCACGGCGCAACTTCAGAAGACCCATTTCTTCTCTGTCGCATCGATGGCGCCGTGATGGCGTTGCTTTTGCGAATACCGCAGAGGGCCTTGTAGCAGGCCATCGGGAGGGCCGTTGGGTGGGTCCGAGCGGGCCTCGTGCGGTAACAGTACATAGGTAGCTGCATCTCCCGATGGAGCCGCTTGCTGCGGATGCGGCAGAGCCGTTGAAGCGGTATTGCAGCGCCGCCAGTTGCGTGGCTAGCCGTGACGAAAGGATGACCGTTCCAGCAAAATAAACGAAGAGCACGATGTTATCTCCCAGCACGATACGATGCAGCGTGATCTGCGGGTGGCCAATCGCTGGGGCTGAGATGCGTGGGAGTTAGGGACTGTATATTCGACTCAGGACGATCCGCGAATAAGATCTCGGGTGAGAGAGAAACAGCTGATGTCGATGGAAGACAGGGAAGCGGCGATCTTCACGTGTGGAAATCCGGTGTGTAGTAATTATTTAGTAGTTTTAAGTAAGTAATAAATTCAGTCATAGTCCATGTGATAAGTAGCTTATGTTTAATACCTTGGCAGCCTTGTTGTATGCCTGCCTTGTCGTATGCCTGCCTTATCGTATGCCTGCCTTGTCGTTTGCCTGCCTTGTTATATGCTTGCCTAGTAGTTTGCCTGCTTTGTAGTTTGCCTGTTTTGTAGTTTGCCTGCTTTGTAGTTTGCCTGCTTTGTCGTTGGCCTGCCTTGTAGTATGCCAAGAGCACATGTGACATAAATTTGCCAGTAGTCTTCGATGCGTGATCGTACATGATACCAGGCTGCCGACTACCAACGGTTCAAATCGATTCAGATACCATGGCGTCTCAGCTACCCAAGCTTAACATCGAAGACGAGCCATACGAAGACGAGCACGCGAGCGAGAATAACAATACAACAGTGCTGTCAGTGAACAATATGGACTTGTCGGATGATACGCCGCTAGCTGAGCTACGCATACTGTTGCTCAGTGAGGCTATTGATCATGCTGATAGCCAGGTGGGGTCATTTTGGTCAACGCAACGACTACAGTATATAATGACAGTGGAGCGCATCACCGCACACCTGAACAAGAGAAGGATAGACGATGCACAGTCGATTGCTGCTACCATCCGAGCGAACTTGATGAGGGTGTTCGCCGCCTTGACCTTTGGGCAGATGGATTTTTACATCACATCATTCATTGAAGAAGGTCTGACTGATGAAGATCTGCCACTCATCAAAGCCGACTTTGGAAAGGGCCCCAATGGTAAGGTCAAGAACGTGAACTCCGAAATCGCGCGAAAGAAAACACCGCACTTACCTCTGGAGTGCTTTGAAAATTGGAAGCCTGTAGAGCGAGACCACTTCCTTGTTTACCAATATCGATTCCTTCCCGCTATACTCGAATTTAAGCCCGGTGAACAGCTCGGATCACGCGTGATCCAACACATGGAAATCGAGGACGCCGTTATTCTGCCGTTCACCAGTTGCGAGTCAATCAGGGATGGAGGTTATGGATCTGTGACCGAGGTGGGAATTCATCCTGATTGTCATCGTTTCCAGGATATTCTGCGATCCGTAAGCCGAACCTCGACATCTTACTGTTCATACTAAGAAACTTTCAGATCGTGATAAATGACAAGTTCGCCGACAAACAACTCCTGTACACGGACAACCACCAAGAATTTCAGAAGGAGATTGAGGCTCTGAAACGGTTCAATGGCTTTGCTCACCCCCATCTCGTTACTCTGTTGACGACTTGGACACGCCGCAAACAACATCATTTCCTCTTCCCGTTGGCCGGCTGCAATCTTGAGGACTACTGGGACAAGAACAAATCAGGGGCTATTCGAACCAGCCAGGATCTTGATATACCGACCGTACAATGGATCTCGAAACAAATCTGCGGAATGGTGCAGGCGCTTCACACCGTTCACGAGCCTTCCAAATATCTTGAACAGGATCGAAAGTATGGTCGACACGGCGACCTCAAGCCGGAAAATGTCCTCTGGTATCGATCACCTGAAGATCCCAGAGGGATCTTGGTCATCGCTGACCTGGGGCTATCTAGCGTCAATACAGAAAAGAGCCGATCTAATATACCTAACAAGGGTATACCACACACCCCAGGATATCGTCCACCCGAGTGTGACCTTGAAGGAGGGACCATCTCGCGGGCGTATGACATCTGGACGCTGGGATGCTTGCTGCTGGAACTTGTGACCTGGGCTCTTGGAGGCGAGAGCAGTCGGACGGAGTTTGAGGATAAGCGAATGACGCCGTACGTCACAGGCGTCGAGTCCAACATCTTCTTCGATGTGAAAATTCGCAGGGGAGGATTTGACCACGTCATGGTGGTCAAAGATTCGGTTTCTGAGGTAAGTGCGACCCTTGGGAAAGCCGAGTAACCAAGTCCTGACTGCACGCAGTGGATTGCTCAACTACATGGTCGATCGACCTGCACTGCCTACTTCAGTGATGTTTTAGAACTGATCCAGAAAGGCATGCTGGTCATGTTGTCCGAGGAGCACACACGGTACTCATCCATGCGGATTCTCCGACGTATCGAGGATATGCACAAGAGAGTCATGGATCCCCTTGACGGCTACTGCCGTATCCCCTCACCTCAACAACGGAAGCCTGAATACTGCGTACCTGTTGAGGCTAACCTTAACTTCATGGCTAAGAGGGAGATACGAAGGACGAACCCACGCCTCAATGTCTACGGAGGCATAGAGACGAAGAAATCAAAGACGATGGAACAACTCTCCAGGATGGAATAGAGTAGTAGTTGCACATTCACATCGTCACGCGAAAGCTTCATATCGATCACCAGGCGAGTTGAATCAAATTGTATTAGTTTTCAACGTATGAGCATCGTTCTGACCTGCGGTTTTGTCGGTCAACATTCTCATGATTCTGCATAATGCGCAAACTCGACACGATCCTTCATGAGTTCGAGCTCATCCTTCACGTGTCAGTACAATTCTCTGCCAGTGGCGAAGAAGACTGACTGTGCTCAGCGCTCGAGGTAGAGTGCATTGGAAACGCCCGCGGGTCCACTACATATGACTGTTAGATCATCGGCTTGGTTACGTGAAATTTACGCCATTGGGTGCGTACTTTGACTTGTACTTGTCCGTAGCCAAAGACGTCACACAAGAATGCTTCGAGCGCAGGTTGTGCCATGTATCTGGCAGAGACGATGGCGACTTTCATGCTTGCGCGACAGACCGTACTGGTAGAGAGTGCAAACCAAGTGCAAAATTCAAAGCTGACTAAGATGGCGCGCGATAATGAATAAGACTATCTTCTGCGCGGATTGAGTACATCATATTATAGATACAGATTGTGGCTGTGTTATGGCCTCAGTCACTTGCACCAAATTCGCAACCTTGCATCTTAGCACACTACTGTTTCTGTGCGTGCAATGTACTATAAGTGCTAGTAATAGTACTAGTAAGTAGTATAATTAATAATCTTTAGATAGCTCTAACTCTACTAACAACTTGTCTAGTATATAGTTCTATATATATTATATATGTAATATTGCTAATATTCCTTACTTATCTATTAAATAATAAATATTACTATTATTTATAATAAACACTTCTTTAAGTTATAGAGTAATTAACTTAAACTATATTAATAGTACTAAAAAAGTAATTCTTATATACCTAATAGCCTCTTTACTATAACTATACTAAGTACTAGAGATTAAAAACATAAACTAAAATATTAAGTAAGAATAAAAATAAAATACTAACCTTTATAATTTTAGAAACTATAATATATTAAATAATAGATCTTTTAAAGCAAAGACGTTTCTTATCTAAATAAAAGGTAGTTTAGCTTTAAAGCTCCTAGATTTTGCTATCTCTACTAGTAAAAAGAATGCATTGCGCCGCGCGCGAACACGCGCATTGCGCGCATAGCCACGATACGATGTGAAGAGGCTATGCTGAACTAAGCAAGGCGTTGAATTTGGAGGAATACTCGAACTTGGAGGAATACTGAGGTGTGCATCGCACATGTCAGAAAAAGCATTGACGTTGACTTGTTGATCTTCTGATGATGACGGTCACACAACCGACCGGTGAGCTGGAACCGGAATGAGCGGCTGCGTCGCTTCGAGCCACGACATCGTGTGTGTGCCAACACACGCTCAGCCTTGTGCCCCGTTCTGCACATCCGCCATTTGCCTACTTTGATTCCAGGCTGACTGAGTCCCTCGCTCGGCACAAAAAGAGGCGTTCTGCTCACGATCATTGTCGACAGTCGAGAGACGTTCTGAAGGGCCCCCGTTAACATGGATTGGGCGCACGACAATGCGCGTTTGGATCCCGCGGTCGCCACTAACGTCTTCAGATATGCTTCTCAACCATCCGTAGTTGTGAAGATGGTAAAGAGCAATAAGGTCGATTTCTATTTCTACGATAGAAGGAAGTAGATTGGCTGACTCGCGCAGTATGAAATCCAAATATGGTGCCTGCAGACCTATGACGACTGGACGGCCTGGATGCAGCAAGTGAGTCAGGCTGCAGTCTCGCTTGAAAATCAAAACTAATGATACAAAGCACGTAAGCGATGATAGCCAGGACGATGGCCTGGTCTTGATGTAAGATTCATCCGCTTGCGATCTGTCGTGATGCTAATGATCGTATCCAGCCTTGCGAGACGGGCCGGCGAGCAGCCCGCGTGCGTGCCTTCCAAATGCCCGGTAACACCTAGTGAATGGGCAGAATCACAGAAAGACTTCGCAGTACGAGTCGCTCTTCGTCGTGCAGATACAATAGCAGCCTTCGGCGAGAAAAATTCACCGGGAAGGCCTGCGCGTCAAATCGCCCCTGTAATAGTGCAACAAAGCATCCGAATCGTGCCCTTCTCTTCTGCTACCTTCCAGAAGATCTGTGAGCGATTCAGTGTCCATGAATCAATAGTCCGTGCGATTAGTCGGTCTGATATACCAGTGTTCACGTGCGAAAGTGTCGACATGGGAAAGCCCGCCTACGGTTGGTACCTAAAATGCCCCGGGCACTTCAGAAGCTGACTTACATACCATCAGTGTACAATTGCCGAACTTCGAACTCTTGGGATCTAGATCTAGCTCTATCCGCCACCTATTTCCCAACATCAGGTCTGACGTTGGCTGTGGTCTATGGGTGCGCAGTAACAACAGAGACTTCTATTCTGCGGCGCCTAGCTTCTGTCCAGGGAACAGCCCTCCATCCACTTCTTCTCCCAGGTATACTGGCTGAAGTCGAGTTAGCTAGACATGCTCGTATTGTGGAGAAGAGCATTAACGAGGTTGAAGCAAAAATATTCGAGCTTGACTCTCAAGCCAGCGTCAACGAGAGACTTGAAAGAGCTGAGATCGAATCGCGGAACGAAGCAAAGAGGTCTGCGTGGTTGGATTTGACGTACTTACGGAATTCATTAAAAACTTGGAATGCACAGCTGCGGACCATGGCAGACCATGCGGATGAGCTCGAACGTCATGTGTTCCGACCATACTCGCGATCGGCGAAGCAAGCATGCGAGGCCTGGGACCTCACGGGGTTGTCTGTAAGACGTTCGCGCTCATCTTCGAACACTACTAGTCGGTCGAGTACGCCACTAACTGTTGCGGTCCACGAAAGATTCCATGGAAGCACTGTGAGATCATCGTCAAAATGCGGCATGAAGATCAAACGGAGGCTTGACACCATCCAAATCGAGTATGATGAGAAGATCCGGGACTGCACCATGCGTATAGATGGGATGGCGATGGCCACGCAATGGGTAAGACATTTCACCAATTGCGATACAGGTGACTAACAGAGACGAGGCGCATAGCGAGACTGCGGTCGAGATGGCAACAGCAACGAACAAAGAATCGAACGTAATGAAATCAATCTCTTTGGTGACGATGATATTCCTCCCCGGAACATTTTTCGCGGTACGTATGTGTCTTGAGCCAGTTCGTCACATGCACTGATGCTTCGACAGACAGTCTTCTCAATGACATTCTTCGACTGGAAGGGCGATGGATCAGAACGTGTCTCAAGTTATCTGTGGATTTATGTTGTCGTGACTGTCGTGTTCACAATGATCACGATTGGGTTATGGTACTACTTCGTCATCTACAAGCGAAGGCCACAAAAGGTTTGCAACGAGAAATGCTAATTGATTGTTATCTTAAGTTGGAACGACACCCGTCCCGTAACAAGGTTGAAAGTGGAAGGGACCGAAAGCAAGAACTCCACGGGAATGTCCCAGTTCGACGCCAGAAGCGGTGCTTGCGGACGCGACTTCGTAGGAAGAAAAACTACCTATCGCTTCACGAAGCTCTTGCACAGGAAGTGAACATAGAAAACAGCTTGACCAGTTGATCTCGCCTTCGCGGTACCCGATGTGTGCTGGTGGAGCTGCCAGTGTCGCCATCGATACCTTTCATGTCCGCGTACAGAGGCGGGGATTTCGGCTGCTTTTGTCCCAAACCGGGGCTTGTCTGAGTGGTCTGTATTGGCTTGGGGACTTCTGGGGGCTGCGTAACGCCAGAACTCAACAGTGGGGCTTTGGGCTCAGATGAGGTTGGAGTTTCGAATCCGCTCGATCCTTGGGGCGGAAAGCCCGCCTTGACCTCTTCTTCTGTCTCCTTCGACAGCTCTACCACCACGCTATCTGAGAGGTCTGTGCGCGTTTTGCGCATAACGCGGGGTGCTCTTGCGGTGCAGTAGGCCGGGTCACGTTCGCAACGCTGGCTGATCTTGTCAAAATCCTTCACAATCTGATCGCACCCGGCTCGCTTCTTGTAGTCCATTCGCAGCAAGTCCGACTGGATCAAATCTAGAACATCAAGGACGAAGTCACTACCATCAGGATGCTCTCGGAGTCGATCGATCTCCTATTCAAAGCCTGTCAGCCGCCACGCGTGCTCAAGTCGATATGCGGTACTTACCTCGCGAACTGATGGTTTAGCCTTGCTAGTTAAACGACTGCCGCCTGCAGTCTGGTAAAAGTTGAAGAACTCGTCGGTGCGAATACGTTGATGAGACTCAGCTGTTCGAAGGTTGCCGAATCTTTCTACGCCGGCTCGACCATCGAGATACCAGATTACGAACTGCATCAGTACGCAACCGAATGACCAGATGTCATACAGCGGCGATACACGTGCTCTCATGTCGAACTCAGGTGCCTTGTAGGTAGCTGTGAAACCTCCATGCGTTGTACTGAGACCAACAGATCTCGACCCAAGGCTATGGAAATCGGCAGAACCCAAATCGGAGATTTTGAGAGTGCTATTTAAGAAGTCATCAACACCGCTCGTCTCAGACTCCTTGAACCAAAGAACATTTTCAGGCTTGATATCACCATGTCTGCCATGTGTCTGCTGCCGAGCAGTCGGAGATAGAGTTTGAACTTCATGCTCACCGATCTGTAGGTTGTGGATGTTTTTCAGAGCTTCCGCGAGGCCAAGCATCTGCTTTGCAACCCAGCGCGCCAGGCCAGCTCCCCGAGGCAATTGATGTACTTCTGGGAAGTGCTTGCACCAGAAGTCAAAGAGGTTACTGTCTGCCCAGGGGAACATGATGTAAAGGTTGTTGTCCTTGGTGTAGGTTGCAAGTAACCGTACAATATGCTGATGCTCGATTGGGTTTAGACGGCGATACGCTTCAACTTCTGGGTGTATGCTTTCATGAATGGAGGATTCCGAAGCTTCTGTGCGAAGCTGTTTGATGGCAAAGTAAGGCTAGGGGTTGGTCAGCTTGTGTATGACTTGGTGTGCATGTTGGACCTACAGAAGTGTGTTTGCAGTCGTGGTGCGCATCATGGATTTGAACTTTGCGGACCGTCGAATAGTTGCTGACCTCAACGATCTGACTCGCAGCCTCATCCTCCAAGAAGGGTAGTGCGGTCGAGGGGTGCAATTCCAATCTTGGAATGTGAGAAGTGGCGCCAGTGCTGAACCTGAAATACGGCACTAGGAAAGAACCTTGGTACATCTTGAACATGTCGCGATGCTTGAATGCCCATTGCTCGAGAAAGGTAGGAAGAACATTCTCGTCTCTTCGGCAGGCTCTGCCGGGTGTTGAAAATGCAAACGGCATATGTCCATCGAAGATATCACTGGAGACAAAGTCAACGATACGCAGCGATATGTCCATCAAACAAAGGATGGCGAAAATGCTTCTTCTGTCCGTCTGGCCTTTTGGGAAGTCTCTGCGCTCTAGGACCCTTCTTGCAAGGCCGATGCGATCGGGTATGTGGCAACTATTCGACCGTTTGTTTTCGGCACGTTTGAGTTCCCCAATGATGTTACGAAGGGTCATGATATCATCGAGCTTGCTGAAGGGTAGGAATTCTTTTGCATCTGTGCCGGCACAGGGCTCCATGGCTTCTCTGATGAAGGCCCCAAGGTCGACTTCCTCAACTTCGGCGTCCTGAAGAGCATCGCCGTCATCTTTCTGACGATCCTCCTCCAACCATTGTTGTATTCGTTCGGTTGGAGGGTATTCCTCATCGTCCAGAAGCTGGAATTGCTGTCCATGATCCTGTAGGGCGTTTTCCAGATCAGGAGCATCAGGAGGCACGCCAGATAGACTGATGACGGGTTTTTCATCGGTGTTAGATTGTGCGATATCTGAGCTGACTGATGAAGCTGTTGGTAAAGCTGAGAGATCGTACTCTGTATGAGAATTCGATGAACGATACTACAAGGTCAGCGCAGTCGTCAATTAGCCGCAGGCACCTACTGTCGTTTGATCGACGTCGCGTTTCGACTGGCGTATGCGTTTTCTAGGGTTGTACGGTGTCGACTGCGGGAGGGCAAGGTAATCCATGATGAGAATGATGCGGCGAACGAACCAGCAGCGTCTTGCGGGCGAGGTAACAAATAAGCGATTCAGCCCTCGTTCTACGACGTAGTGATATGCGAACGACAGGTTCGCACGCTCGCTCCGGGGTACATCATAGCTTCGTACATGCGTGCGCTGACTAGTAAGGCGGAGGCTGAAGATTCTGGCACTAGCCACCGGAAGAGATGGGAGTACGGTAGTCTACGCCTCAGCGATGGGGCTGGCGTGATTGCTACGCCACGTTCAATGCATTCACCGGCGGCCTGAGAGTCCTGAATGACGCCCTCTTTCTGAGCTTGAAGCCTTATGGGACAAGGCTGCTTGGGGGCGGAGCTGTGACGAGGACGCTCATTGGATATGAACCGAGGAGGACGGTTCTGCCCTACGACTTCAAAGCTGCCCCATGCTGTCGAACTGCGCACCACTTGGGGCTGCTTTCGAGATGAAGATGGTCAGATGCTGACTTCCTGACCGGTAACTCTTGAGACAGGTAGGTTCGCTTAGCAGACTTTGGGGTCACAAGGCAAATGCCTACTAAATTGGCAGACAGATCTTAGCGCCATGTGCATGCCTAGCCACGTCCTTCGATGTGTCTGGTCCAAGCAAGGCACAGCCGCGCACCCTAAAGGGAGACCTATTTGCGACACCACGCGTCGCCATAAGGCCGCTCTTGTTCAGGATGACTCGAAGACCCGGAACTAAGCCTTCGCTCTTGTAGTATCGATCGCAGTAGCGACAACGACAACTCATTGCACTGAGCTCTTCTTTTTGAATTAAGCATGTCCAACCCATCTTACGCCGAAAAGAAGAGCAAAACTTCGAAGACCCAGCAATACCTGCCGGCCAAATGCGTTCCGAGCCCAAGCAAATTACTGCAAGCTATCACCGACAGAGCCGGCGAAGGCAATTTCCACATCGAGGTCAGATTAAGATACACATACATGCTACGATACGATTCTAACAATAAGACAGATGCAAAACAACATGTATAGCATTGTACTCCACGACGACGATGCTGACGCCCAATGGAAAGATATTGGGGCTCTATTCGACCAACTGGGCCTGCGATCGAGCAACTCGCATACAGAGGAGGACGCATAGTCTCATGAGGGAGACGTCCGGCGACGGAAGGGCGCCTCGATGTGAACCTGTAGAAGCTTCATAGCAATCTTTACCTGCATTAGAAACGGCTCCATAGATAATTAGCCCCAGCCGTTCGCTTCCTGCCCGCATAGGCTTGCTTGTCGATCCGCGTGACTTCGCATCAGGGAGAGTGGAAGTGTAATCCTCGGCTGGAGAGCAGCCGCTGGGCGTTGAAGAAATGGCAAGCTGGGAGCACATTAATGCAGCGTGCCGTATCTTTCGTCAGAGTCCTCGACGCTGTCGGCTTACCTAGACGGCATGGCCGGCTGCAAGAAAAATACTCACTCCGTAATGATTTACGATGAGGTGACTCAGCGGTCTTTGAGCGCTCCTACCCTCGCGGACTCGTAGACAACGACAACCAGACTCGCTCCTTCTCTTCTATCCAACATCAGCAAAATCACCAGAAATGCACCTCGCACATATCGCAAACAAGAAAAAAAGCTGTGCATTGAACTCGCACAGCAACCTGCCCCTCCCTAAACACCCAGAAATGCAAATCTCAAATCTTAAATCTTCTCCGACACCACCATCACCACCCACCAATCCACAACCCTCTAATCCCAACTCTTCTTCTCCATCGCCGGCGTCCCCAACACGCCCATCCCATCCCCGCCCCTGCGCCCCCTCTTCCCCCAAACCTCCAGCCCGAGATCATACATCTGCCACGCCCACCCGCCCGCAACCATGACGCCCGAGATCACATTCACGAGGCGCACCACCAGGCGCCAGAAGCCGCCCCACTCCTCGACCACACTCAGCAGAATCGGCTCAATGTCGAACTTGACAAACACGCCCGGCACGCTCTGCTCGGGCACCGTGTGGGACTGCGAGGTGACGGCGTACTGATTCGTCTTGATGGCGTGCTGTGCGAAGCGGCCCGCGGTGGTGCTCTCCGGGTCATCGAGGGCGCGCAGGGCGGTCAGCGAGTCCGTGTAGATGGTCGGGACGACGGAAATATAGTACTGGAACTTGAAGAACTTGTCGGCGGGCGTCGGGGTCAGCGCGATGGTGTTGTCGAGCGGGTTGTTCATGGCCGGGTAGTACGGCCCGAAGCTCATCTCGCGCACAATGTGCGAGAAATTGAAGGAAGTGTGGTCGAGGTGCTCGCCGAACTCCATGTACCCGTGGCCGCGCGCGGTGATGTGGAAGTCGCCCTGGACTTTGTTGCCGTCGAGCGAGCCGTAGATGCGGCACGCGTCGGTGGCGCCGCGGACGCGGGGCGTGGCGCCGAATTTCTTCTTCAGCTTGATGCTCAGGTGCGTGTGCACTTCCAGGTCGTCCATGTCCCACTCCTGGCTGATGCTGTCGGAGAGCTCGTGCACGCCGCGCTCGGCGTTGGCGCCGGTCCACTGCGCCCAGCTGGTGGCGTCTTTGCGCAGGAGGTCGCCGGCGAGGGTGCGGTCGCCCGCGGCGTCCTGCATGTTGACATGTAGGTCGGCGCAGCGCATGGCTACGATGACGTCGAGGTTGATTTGCATGTCGTGTGAGACGCCCTTTTCGACGGAGAAGGTCTGCGTCGTGGTGCCGGCGAACCAGCGCGCGGTCTCGGTCCAGGCGAGCCAGATGCACGTGAGGATCAGGGTGACGGTCCATGCGGATGAGTTGCGGCCCTGCACGAGGTACGTCTTCTTGGTTTTGGCTGCGCGGGTTAGTGGGGAGCGGGCGAGCGGACGGCACACGTACGGAAAGCATCGAAGCCGGAGACGATGCCGCCCTTGGAGGGGCCAAAGGCGTCGTCGTCAAGCCTGACATCTTGTTGGTAGCCCCCCTGTTGGTAGTCCGGCTGGTAGTCCTGTTGGTACCCGTTCATGGCGGCGGCAATTGCGCTTTTAGGGCACCGCGGGCCCAGTTGCGACGCAAAGGAGAGACAGTGCGGAAACGCAGCACGGAGATAGCGGAGAGACAGCGACGCAGTGACAGCGGCACGGAGAGACAGGCGACGCGACAGCGACGGTGACGACTGCGGAAGGAGAGACAGCCACGCAAGGGACCGGTGGTGGAGCGGAGAGAGTGGCACTGACATGCGACGTCCGCGCTGCGCATCCCCGAAAGGCCACCTTCAACGTTCAGCCCTATAGTGGGGCCGTGCGACGGGCGCCGCCGCGGGAGTGCCCCACGTATATTGCCCGTATCGCACTAGTCACCGTCTCGCAATCTTCTACACGAGCACACACGACTTTACAACAACGCGTGATATTTCTGTAGACATACTCCCAGCAACTACGGATCTCACTCCTACGCAGCCTCATCCCGCTCCAACCCACTGAACTTGCTTCCCCCCTGCTCCCCCTGCACCCCCCCACTGACCCCCCTCCCCGCCTCCCTCCTCAGCGCCTCCTCCTCCGCCACCCTTGCCGGGTCCTTCTTACTTCCAATCGGCGCAAACTCACTCTTCCCCTCCAGCCCCGGATCCTCCGTCACGCCCTTCCCCTTCATCCCAAACACCCCCTGCTCCTCTAACACTGCATCCGCCGCGCCCGCATACCCCCCAACCCTCTCCTCCACATTCGCACTGGGCGCCTGCGTCGCCGTCCCGTACCCCGTCGCGCCGCCGACTTTGTTATACGTCGGCCCGACGCCGTGCTCTTTCCCGAGCCCCAGCCCCGCGCCTGCCGAGAGCTGCGCCTGCTCGCTCCAGTTCTGGGCTGCGTCGCGGGCCTGCGCGTCGACGGCGGGGTCGAGGCGGCGCGCGCCTGAGGTGTCGGTGTTGGTCGCGGTGCTGCCGGTGGAGGGCTGCGAGGAGGCCGCGGCTTTGGGGTTGTTGGCGGCGAAGGAGCCGGAGTTCTGGAGCGATTCGGCCGCGAGCGAGTCGCTGGTTATGGTGCCGGGGGCTTCGTGGATGGGGATTTGGGAGCGTGGGTCGGTTGTGACTTTTTGGCCGTGGTGTTGAGACATTTTGTGGTGGGTGGTGTGGGTGGTAAGATGCTTTGATGCTTGGGGCAGTCAACAGGTTGGTTTAAGTGTCGAGTTGTGAGGTTCTGTTAGTCGTCTTGCACAGCTACGAGGGTACTTTATGCTGCAAGCTACATGGAAGCAGCATATGGCGTATATTTACGTCATGCGGAGCTGAGCAGTTGGTGACGTCAAGTTGTAGCTCTGGTACTCTTATCAGCTAGGCGCTGCTCTAACGCGATGCTCCGCTAGGGCTTTAGAACGAGACTAACGGAGAGGGCAGTTCGCAGACTGGTCGCTTTGCTTGGTAGCGACGTCCGAGAACTTGACAGCGGGCATTGCTAGTCCTTCGTGACAGTAGCTTGTCTGCAGTGTCCTTGACTGCCTCGCGGCATGCAAATAATCCTGAATTGGATTTCTTGATTATGTCTTCTTGTCGATCGAAGTAGGTCAGAGAGCCATGTATGGACTCTATGATGCTGTAGTCAACGGGCAACCGACCGAACAAGTCGTTGAGGCAGCGAGAGCTCGTCGTGTTGGTGAAGAAGGAGCCGCCCGCATTTGTTTATCGTACAAACGGCATGTGACAGAACATTTGCGTCTTGCAGTCGAAATGTTTCGTTTTTGTCCGGTTCCTTCAGATTTGTTCATGTCTACAACTGTTAGTTCTTGTGGAACGCCTTGAAACCCATACTGTGGACATACTTGCTGTACCTGGAGGAGTGGTATTTCGAGTCAAAGCTCAGCTACTTTTAACCGAGGAACTGCTGAGCTCAATACAGTAGCCCCCACATTCCGACCAACAACAACGCAACAATGTATCACGAAACCAGGCTCATTGAGCAGAGGTGATGAGCCGATCGATGCGAGAAGAGATACTAGACCTGAGCTGCGTCCTGGACGGCACGACCAACATGTCAGGACGGTCGATCAGATTCGTCGACACAACTCAGACTTCCTTTGGCAAGCGGAAGCAGGTGTCACGTGCTTGCGATGGCTGTCACAGAAAGAAGAAGCGATGCTCCCACGTGATACAGGAAGACGGAATACCCTCTGGCCACAGCGTGAGCCTCTCGCAACGACATTTGGCCACCTCAGTACCACGTGAGGGTGAAGCACATGGCACCAACGACAGACCGGACCAGACTGATATGGACTTCGACGATGGGAATGATCAAGTTGCAGGCATTCGTTCGAGTGAGACGAACATCATAAGTCGCGACAGCGATGTTGCCTATTTACCCAGATCGCCAACCCGCGTTGCACGTTTCATCGGCGACATGAATCCAGAAGGCGTGTTCCTTACAGCCACAGAGACCGAGACCAGTGCACACCCCGATGGATCCAACAGACGAATCATAGGAACTTGGTCGACGGAGCAGCACAGCCAACAAGGCCCGTCCGGAGAGCAACGTGCAACGCTCCCAGGTCGGCTTGGCCTGTTGCATGGCTTCAAACCTGCAATCCTGGCCGCGATAGTGCCCATACTCGAACAGGAATGCATCCAGACTATACCACCACCCGTACACCGCGAGGCACTTGCCGCGTTGTATTTCGACAAGTTCAACCCACTGCTTCCGCTCATTAAAAAGTCTGCGTATGATGCTATACCAGCTCAGTCTCCATCCCGATTGCTACTCGACCAAGGCATCTGTCTAGTTGCCTCGATGGATCCATCCTCCAGCAGCCACTTGTATCTCTCCAGCGACGCGGTTGTATCAAATCGCAGAGACTTCGGGCACCGAATGCTCTCTGCCTTGCGAATGAGCATCGAGATGGGGAGAGTGGTAGACAAGATGCTTCTTGTACAACTCCTTACTCTCATGTCGCTTTTCCAGGAAGGACCCGACGGCGCCGAGAACTCGTTATCGATGTTGGGTCGTGCCGTGCAGCATCTACACTCCCTGGGGCTTCATCTTTGCATGGAGAAAGATGATTCGTACTTTGATCACGCGGATACGCTGTTCTGTTGTGTGTGGTTTCTGGATAGGTTGAGTGCCGCGTCGCAGTCAAGGAGGGTGCGCAGCCGGGCAACCCCACCAAAAATATATCCGAGAATGATGCGGGTACGTTATTTCGTCGATCGCTGTCAACGGAGAGTATTCTCGCAGTAGCACTCGAATCAGCACCTCTGCAGGTTTTGTATGTTGGTGGCTAACTTCCAGGGACCAAACCATCGACCGGGCTCAGCTGCATCGCCATCCTGTCCCGGTACAGTGACACCACTGCAGCTCTCTTATGGTTCCGACTGCTACTACTACACCAATGTTCCGGGCGCAGACCCGTTCGAAATGTTTGACCCCAACTTTGACTTGACTGCGATTGATTCCTTCTTCGAGGGCAATCTCGACCTATCATTCCCCACGCAATAGCTTTCTCGCGATTCAGTGAGGCCACAATAGCCTGAAGCTGTACCACACGATTAAACACGCATTGCCAATGCACTGCCGATTCGTACACTAACTCCAAACGGCAGTTCCGCTCCGGATCAACGTGGTAACTTTCTCGTCTTACCAGAAGTCACGTAGTCAATGCTGTAGCAAGTTTGTGTTTGATGCCGAGGTATTCGCCACAGACTCTATTTGTTTGAATGGCTGCATGATCAAAGAGATGGCATAAAAGACGACACCTATGGGTGCATCTATGGTTGTGATGAAGAGAATGACTGAACTACACCCAGTCTAGGGAGTGCGGTCAGCATGATCACTGATTTTGAGACATATTTCTCTCTGCCGTTGACAGATCAGCAGAAACGCACCACAGCAGACAAGGCATGAGGCTATGGAGAAAGCGATTTGGCCCGTCGGCTCACACAGCCCGGTTCCATCGTTCAGCACCAGAGAAAAATCCAACATGAGGAAGAAAGCCGATTGACTACAACAAACTAGGGCCCTAGAAGTACAGGATCCGATGTAGCCATATAAACCTTCATACAACGCTCGGCGCACGTGGTGATGCTTGTCGGAGATTCCGTTTTAAGCGTTGGCCGCCCTGGCGGAGCTTCCGTTTGCGGCTAGTGGGTTTGAGCACCGCGAACGGGGTCAGCGGAAAGGACTGAAGCTGTCTGGTTTGACGGCCTGGATGTGCGATTCGTTCTAAGATGACTGGCGGCGATCGAGCAGATTACCTTTTTGGTCTTGGTGTGAAGCATGCCGCGCCCCGCAAAAGTCTACAATTAACCCTCAGGCCAACATCCACCTCCCTGGGAGCACGTACGCCAAGCCAGATCACTCATATATATCACAGTGACTGGTCGTCTTTTACTCTCTCACTCTATATTCTCCACCTTCTTTTCTTATCACGCCTTTCAATCTACCTTTCGCTTAAATGGGTTCTAATCGAGAGGATCAGACGTTCCTCAAAAATCTCATCAAGCAGATGACTTTCGAAGAGAAAGTTCTACTTCTCGCAGGATCTTCGTTCTGGGAAACTACTGGCAATGAGAGATTTGGAATACCACGTATGAAGCTTACAGACGGGCCGAACGGTGCTCGTGGTGAGAACTTCAATGAGGGCGTGAAGAGCGCATGTTTCCCAGCTGGTGTCTCCCTGGCTGCCTCCTTCAATAGTAAGCTTGCAGGAGAGATTGGAAAGACACTGGCTCAAGAAACCATAACCAAAGGCGCACGAGTATTGTGAGTGCATTCTAACCTGCTCTCAGCTATCATAAGAAGCCAAACTCATCATTTTTAGACTGGGCCCAACTGTCTGTCCTCACCGCCATCCAATTGGTGGTCGAAATTTTGAATCCTACTCCGAAGATCCCCTACTTGCTGGACGCGTGGCCTCGCACTACATCGACGGTGTGCAGGGTGAGGGCATTGGGGCGTGTATCAAACACTTCGCCGCCAATGAACAAGAGACCAACCGTTCGAGCATAGACGCTCGTGTGAGCGAGCGAGCTCTTCGCGAAATTTACCTAAAGCCATTCGAAATCGTGATCAAGGCCTCTCAGCCGTGGTCCATCATGACAGCGTACAACGTCGTCAATGGTACGCACGCAGACTCGAATGCGTACATGCTCAAAACGATCCTGCGTGAGCAGTGGGGCTACGATGGTCAGGTGGTAGGAGATTGGGGTGGTTGTAACTCGCTGTCTGTTGCTCTCAATGCTGGCCTTGACCTTGAGATGCCTGGACCGGCCAGTTGGCGTACGATTGAAAACGTCCAACGAGCGCTCGACAAGAGCGAAGTCACCATGGAAACGATAGAGGCTCGTGTCATGGAGAACTTGAAGTTCCTCCAGCGCAGTGGCGGATTCGAGAATCCGACTATCCCTCCTGAGCGTGCGGAAGATCTCCCCGAGCACCAGGCACTCATCAGGAGGGCAGGTGCTGAAGGCGCCGTCTTGCTCAAGAATAAAGACAGCCTCCTCCCACTGAACACCGAAAAGACGCGCTCGATAGCCTTGATCGGTTTGGCGAAGCAGTGCTTGAGCCAGGGTGGCGGCTCGGCTGCAGTGAACCCGCACCGCGCTATCACACCTTACCAGGCTTTCAAGGAGGTAGTCAGCGATAAAATTCGACTGAGCTATGCTGAAGGAGCTTCTATATTGAGGAACCTTCCTCCATGTGGTGAAGGCGTGACGGACTCGGAAGGCAAGCCTGGCTTTACGTTTCAATCATTCAACGACAAGGGTGAGACGATGTCCACAGTCAACTATGCGAGTTCGAGCTTTCGCTCGCGCGAGGCGACTGGCATGGCGCGCATTGTTCTGACCGGTACCTACACCCCGAAGGTTTCTGGAAAGCATTACATCAGCTTGGCTACCATCGGCAACACCAAGGTTCACATCAACGATGATCTTGTATACAACATTGAAGGGAAGTCGGCGGATGTTTATGCGATCTTACTCGGAGTCGCGATCGAAGAACAGAAGCAGTTCGAGTTTGAAGCAGGTCGACCTTACCGGATCCGTCTGGAAGCTGCTACTGTCGCTGACCCCGAGAATGAAGTCTCTTTCAACGCGAAAAGTCTTGGGTTCAACTTCGGACTCTTGGAGCAGCATCTTATGGAAGCCGATCTCCTCCAAGAAGCCATCGAAACCGCCAAAGCGTCTGAAGTAGCTGTTGTATTCGTTGGCAACACCCAAGCCTGGGAGACCGAGGGCGACGACCGCGACACCATGGATCTCCCGCGTAACGGTTCATTCGATAAACTCATCGCCGCCGTCGCAGCCGTAAACCCCAACACCATCGTCGTCAACTCCAGCGGCTCCCCCATCACCATGCCCTGGATTGATTCCGTATCTGCTGTCCTGCAGGCATGGTTCCCAGGCCAGGAAGCAGGCTACACCATGGCCGATATCATCTTCGGCGCCGCCTACCCCGGCGGCAAGCTCCCAACGCCAACTTCGTCGAGTACACAGAGGGTATCTATATCGGCTACCGCCACTACGACCGCAAGCCCGACACCGTGCTGTTCCCCTTCGGCTTCGGGCTGTCGTACACAACCTTCGATGTCCACAACATCGCCCTCTCATCAACGACACTGCGCCAAGGCCAGGTTCTCCATGTTGACGTGGACATCACCAACACGGGCGCGCGCGACGGCAGCGAGACACTGCAGGTCTACGTCGGCCCGCGCAGCGCGGGCGCGATTGACAGGCCCATTAAGGAGCTCAAGGGCTTTGAGAAGGTGCATCTGGCCCCAGGCGCCAAGCAATCAGTCTCTGTTCTCCTAGAGTTGATGAGTTTTGCGTACTTCAGCGAGGCAAAGGGGAAGTGGGCTGTGGATGCAGGGACGTATGTGGTATCGGTGGGTGTGTCGAGCATGCACATTGTTGGCACCAAGGAGGTTGAGATTGCGGAGGCTTTTGAGTTTGATCCGTGATGACTTTCAATATTCGGGACAATGACGACGACGGCGCTTGGAGTTGTTCTTTTACTATACCCAATTCACGCGAAATTCGCCTACGAATCGCATACTTGGTTACTAGTGAGCGCTGGAAGGTATGGAGGAGGTTGGAGTAGGATGCACGAGACGCCAAGCTAAGGCGTCCATAACAACCACAAGGCAGACTTCGCACCTCGGCACGCTTGCGTCTCCACTTATCTGGGACAAAATGGTGGCACGATCAAACACTCTCACAGAAAGACATTGTTGGGAGTTTGACGACTTCGGACCGTGCTGCAGAGCTTCCGACTTGCCGTATGCACGCCGCGCTGGCACCATGCAAATCCCCCTCTTCTCTCCTCTCCATCGGTAGAGCACGCACTCAACAAACTCTTCGATCACCACTTCCAAAGCTCAGACGCTGTTTACCTGTTCTCTTGCTTATGTTCCAGCGGGGCGCCGCCGCTTGGCAAAGCTTGTTTGCGCGCGATTGGGGACGCAGTTGTCTGCCACGCGAGGCGCACTCGGAACCCACACAGGGCGTTGCGCTGACGCCTGGACGCTCACGTATATAAACAAACGCCCACGAGGCACAAAGCTCGCGGTTCAGAATCACCACATTCACATTCATCATGTCTTCTCGAACAGTGCTCGCTCTCAATGCGTCGGCGTTCGTCTGCTCGTCGGCGCTGGTCGGCCTCGCGATCGCCGCTATAGTCCTCGCGAGCGATGCGTACGATGCCTTCACGTGGGCGTTTCCGCAGGGCTCGTATGGATGGCAGCCGTCCCATTGGTTTGGGGACGGCAGGACGGGGTTCAACATCTGGATTGGGTACGACCGGTCGTCAGAGATCAAGACGTACTTTGCCGCGACGTTTGCGCTGATCGTGGGATTGCTCGGGACGCTCGTGTTTGGGCTGTCGTTCAAGGTACGCATCCTGACATCATTTACGTAGTGAGGTCTAACAGTTGCACAAGCCCCCAACCGCACCGTTGCTAATCAAGTCGCTAACCGCGGGCGCGGCGCTGGCGTTTATCGTCGCGACTACCTGCGCGGTATGGTCCGCGGTAGCCGAAGTCGAGATCAAGGAGTCTACGTGCTGGTTCGAGCCTGCGATTGCGGATCATCAGTACTCGTGCTCGATTGAGAACGCAGCATGCAACGCAATGCGCTTCACCGATGAGGTGAATTCGTGGCAGAAGCCGCACTCGGCAGAGCAGAATTATGAGGTCTTGGATAAGGCCTGCTTGCAGTTCCGCCATGCGCGTTTCATGGTGATTCCGCTTGCGGTTTTCTCGCTGCTGCTCGCGGGGTTGTATGCAGCTCTTGTTTGGCTCGGGCCAAGGAAGAGCGCCGAGAATGGGGCGGACGCGAGAGTGAGGGCTTTGCAGCAGGACGACTAGGCTCTGGGGCAGATGGTTATTTGTGCGCACTGCTGTGCAAGTCAAGTTGTGCAGTGTTCTTGTGCGATTGGATCGTAGGAATGGTTGGGATGCTTTGTCGTTGCGTACGCATAGAGTAGTTTGCAGAATAATGAACATAATGTGACCACTTAGAATGACTTCCTCTGCAGTTACATCGGCTCCCCAACAGTTGCAGGAAGTTTGTCAGCAGAACGCAAACTACTAGACGCAGGAAGATTTGACTCAACATAGAGCTGTGAAGGTGGCCTCATATGCAATCGGACAGTGAGCCCGTGCACATCGATCAGCGCGATACTGTAGCAGTACTCTTGTTGTGTTTCCGAACAGGTTCAAGGGAGTGCATCAAAAAAGTCTAGCGGGCCTTCTGCTCATGAGGTTCGAGCACTAGGACACAGGCACGTTGTAGCCATGTATGTGTAGACTTCTTGATTCGAGTTCAAAGGGAGCTGTCAGGGGCCATTAAGATCCGTCGAGCTTTACCGTCGAGCTTTACCGTCGACCTCGATGGCTTCTTCGAACGGTCGGCAGCTTCTGGCAAGTGGAATCGCAATGAAGAGAGGCGATCTTGTCAATGGATGTATCCTAAGTTCGCTGTGGATGTGATGAGACATTGTTGGTAGGGTGCAGTCTTATTAAGCAGATCTCGCTCGACTCGACATCCAGCGTGATGTTGAAAGTCTGGGCATAACTAACTCAGTCGTCCGAATTACCTTGAAGCTACACGCTGTCGTTGAAGTGACGTATTTGTTGTCGGAGTTCACACCGATTGATGAACACGACATTCGATTTACTCAGTTCTATCCCAGGCTCATTGTGTGAAATCGGCCCTGTTTGCTTGCCCATAGCGATACTGATGGTGATGCTAGTATTCTGTTGGTTCTCGAAGTGACATGGTAATAACATGTAGCAAGTACCCGACTCCAAGAGGAGGCGGCTGCCTGTTAGCTGCCTGACGCTAGGCTCAAAACGGTTTAGGTTCAGCTTCGACCTCATCTCAACGTGCCAGTGACCATGGCCTCAGAAACGCACAGTCTTCTATGTTCATTGCGCGACACATATATAAACAGCGAGCAGATTCCTGTTTCTCAACGTACTCACCATCAGGTTGGCTACATTCCTGCAAGCATTAGACAATCCTTCACACCCGACATCCAGGCCCATCTTTCAAGCCTGTAGAACGCTGGCTCAACATGACGAGCACGACACCCGTCTACCCGGGATTTGGCCTCCCCTTGCGAGATACTGATATAAGGCCTACCTTTCCCATCGGTGCCCATGGGAGCTGCGATGCAGCCACCTGTGAGCCATTGCCGGTAAGTCCAGTAGTCCTTATTGGAGACAGACGAACTTACTAGTGTCGCCACGATAGGTCCACGAAGTTGCCATGATGAGCGTGATGGAAATTTTGACGGACAAAGTCGATTGGCATGTGAAGGTCTTCGACGAGGCAATAGTCGCAAGATGGCAGACTGAAGCTCTTGCAGTTCCAAACGAGCACTGGTGGGGCCTCGCAACTAGTACGAAATCACAGCACTGGGACAACGATGGCCGTGTGGAACTCAGTAACGACCTAAATGACTGGATTCAAGTCCCCGATGACATCATGTCCTCTGAGGCTTTCGAATGCGTAAGTGAAGGACTCAGTATCACAACTCTGGGACATCTGGCTAAAATATTGCAGTGCATCTCAGAACTTCGTAGTAAGGCAAAGTACTTCGAAAAGACTGGCATGATACCGACCCTCGATGCTCGTGCAAGTGTGGTCAAATCAGACAAGCTAGTGTCCGAGAGTCTCCACGAGTCGCTGGTCTCCGCATTTGAGACTCTGAAAGCTGACCAGGCTAATTCACCGGACTGGCATCCTAATTCAGGGGATAAAGTTCAGGATCTGGTACACCCCTCGATGTACCCTCTAGTTTATGGCCGAACTAGAGCCTTCCAGGACGAAGTAGTTGGGATCGAGGATGCCATCGTGAAGTGGTCTGGACGAGGCGCTGTCATTCCAAGAGCAGACGAGTGGGTACTGACTGAAGGCGAACGGCGGTCGTACGGTGTAGGAGGAAGCATTCCTCCAGATTTCTGGTCAGACAAGTATCAGTGGCTCCCTTCGAACCTTGCTTTCCAGGACGATGGCACGGTGCGGTTCACAAACTATATCAATAATCTTCACCCAGCTAGATACCCAGACATTTACCGGGCTTTGGAAAAGCTCGTTGATACCTCTTTGCCGATGTGGGATCAGTGTCTCAAGGCAGCCATAAGGTATGATGAAGTGGACGGTCCTGGGCGAACAGAGGGAAGATTTGGTCCTCCAGACGATCCTGAGTAAGGCTTTTCCGAAGTTCCTGGCGAAACGTTCTCTAATTATCTTCGCAGTGACGAGAACCATGATAACTGGGATCCCAGTGATCCCGGAGACTGTGCCGATGCTAAAGTGGATAAGAAGACTCTCTATGGGCACGGATTCGACGAAGAAGAGGCGGCAGATGAACCGGACGGTGGTATAGAAATGCTTAACCATGCCAAGTGGAAAGCTACTCGCAAGCCCGTTCTACCGACACCATTCTTTTATGATGTCAACTACGAACCGGAGGCGGGAAAACGTCTCTTTGACAGGTTTCGTGAATCCGGACTCCAGATCATCGTGAAGGTGGCGTCAATTGAGTTGACCCCTGAGAAGCCGTACTTTCCTCAAGGCGGCTGGCATGTTGAAGGTCACTTGGCCATCCCCCAGCAGCTTAGACGAATCTGTCCCACTGACTAGAAAGATAGGTCAATTGAATGAGCACATATGCGCTACTGCGCTTTATTATCTCGACAGCGAAAACATTACCACAAGCAGTCTCTCATTCAGGATGCAGACATCTGCATACCTGACGGACAACAACGATGCGTACAACGTGTCACAAGACAACTATCATTGGATGGAGTCGATCTACGGCACAGGCCTCGGCAGCGGTAGCGGAGGACCTTGCCTGCAGAATTATGGAAGTGTGGAAACAAAAGAGAAGCGCTTACTGGCTTTCCCAAACGTCTTGTGAGTTATCCAAGATAAGGATTAACTTACCCACTGACTGAAAGATTCACAGTCAGCATCGTGTTTCGCCCTTTGAGCTGGCAGATCCCACAAAACCGGGCCACCGCCGTTTCATCGCCCTGTGGCTCGTGGATCCGCATCAGCGCATCGTTTCTACCGCCAATGTTCCGCCTCAGCAGCTGTCGTGGTGGACTGAATCTTTGGTAGGCACCACAACGGACGGTAAAGAATCTTCTACAGAGCTCCCGCTGGAAATCGTAAAGCTACTCCAAGAAAAAGGCGCACAAGTGCCACCTTCAAACGGCGCAGGGAGCCTTCCGGAAGAGCTCTTAGCCATGGTTCGAGAACACGTCTCGAGCGACGATCTGCCGATGAGCTTGGAAGAAGCAAAGGAGCACCGTCTGAACTTGATGAAAGAGCGGAGTGCACATGCTGAGGATGCAGAGGAATCGTGGCAACAGCACACGTACAGTTTCTGTGAACATTGAGGACATTCGAAGAAATAATCGAGCTCGATGAGTGCAAATTCCAATTCGAATGAATGTCGTATTTATTGAACTCGAATGGATTCGGTTTATTGCAATTGACTACGTGCGTGGGCCATCGCTTCTCCTGTTCATCCCGCCCGCCATCGCACTCGCCTGCAACCTGAACGCCCTAAGATTACCCGTCGTACTTCGCGACCTTCCATGCACACCATCAATAGCGCTTGCACTCGGTGAATTCATACCGCTAGTCACCGATCCTGGCGCAGCAGGTTTCTGGAAGCTGAACGAATGCAATGATCGCACCCGGTCGCGCTCAGCAAGATCAGGCGCTCTATCCATGGGTGAAGCGGCGGACTTGGTCCGAGAGTTCATTTTCGTCATCAAAGCTGACATGGCCGCAGCTGGGGACACGTGGGTTGGGTTGCTTGCAGACGAACGAGCCGAGTCGGATGTAGCAGTGTTACGACGCGAGAGCAACTGAGGTCCGTCGATTGTCCGGCTGCGGCTGCGGCTCAACGATAGTCTTGTAGACGACGACGTTGACGGAGATCTACTGGAAGTGCGGCTCAGGGGGGGAGTTGGTGGCGTCTGTCGGTGCTCGGGTAGCGATCCGTAGGCTTGCATCAACTGCTGCAGATCCATAGTGGTGGGCATCTTGCTGAGACGGCGGATGGCTTTCTTGTTGCTGGTCATGAATGCCGACATCGCCTTGAGTGCGTTGGTTTGTGTATGTTGTTCGTATGCAGGCGCACCGCTCGCTGTGTCCATTGCTCGAGCAGCGTGCTGTTCGTTGAGGCTTAAGTTGCGTGGCGCTGTCAATGATGCACTACTCAAGTTCATTTCGATTTGCGAGATGACCCGGTCGAAATCCACTCCATCCATGCGATATGAGGGGACAAATTGCATGGAAGCTTCGCGAGTCAGAACGAAGAAGGAGCCGTCCCAGATCTTGCGCTTAAGGATGTTCCACCGTGCGCGCGCCGGGTTTCTCTCCGCCTCTGCTTGGAATACAGAATAACGAGCGAGCTTGGCATAGAACCCTTCCAGGCGATTTGCCATCCTCTCCAGGACCTGCATGAGGAATGTTGACAGAGCAAAAACTCGATCAGAGTCAGAAGCAGCGTCCAGCTCTATAATGCTGTCGAAAGCGTCCATGCCAATGCACGCCTCTTCTCGAATGGCTTCAAGAAACTCCATGTCACTTTGGACCGAGCGTTGAGCATAGTTGATGATGCCCTTTTCGTGATGACGAGCAGACTCGCTGTTGCAGGTGAATTGCCCTATCTGAGAGATCTCGTTAGAAGCGGACACCGCCTCGGCAGAGCTCTTGGCGCGTGCGATCACACCAAGAACGTCCGACAGCTTCGTACTTGCTGAAGTGTTGTTGGCCAATGTGAAGGATAGTTTCAGGTACAGCTCTTGCAGCTTCGCACCGAAGAGTGTAGAGAAGCCTCCCTGGAGCAAGCGAGATTGATAGTGATAGAATCTGCGAACACCACCCATGTTGAAAAGATCGCCCTGGAACCAGACCAGAGACGACTCCATTATCATGCCGACTTCGAAATGCGAAGCGACAACTTGTTCAGTTGCAATGCGCAGATACGCGTTCCAGAGGTCGTAGAGCATGCCCAGCTCCTCCGCGTGGTAGGCGGGTTTTGGTGTAAGCTCGCCGATGTAGTACTTAGTCAGTAGCGAAGAGACCTCCGGATTGTTGGTGTGCGCCAGTAGATCGAAAGATTTGGAACAGTCGACGCCGCCGTTGGACTTGATGATGTTGGTGCCTCCAGGGTGCATGGCAGTGAAGTCAGTGCTGTGTACGATGTTAGCGTCATAAAGAGTGATATCGAAGGGAGCAACTTACACGTCATATACTTTACCATGCACTCCAATCCAGACACGCGAGTCTTTGGTATGACCGGTGTGGAGAGCGAGTTGGGAAAGCGGTATGGTCGGCTGGTTGCACGGCAAGGGCTTGGGTGTCATGAACACGTCAAGCATGAACCGGCGCTCGGCAAAAGCGGTGTCTAGTATTGTCTCGGCGGTTTCCATTGTGGGTGAGCGGTGGTTGTAGAGAGCCTTCCGGATACCGGACATGACCGAGTCGAAGACTCCTACGGAGCCACAGACGTAGAGGTAGCCACCGATACCGCCTTGCTTCTACAAACGGGTTGTTAGGGAATGTCAATCTGAGCACAAGTTTAGGTACTTACCTTTGACATAACGAGGTCGCAGATAGACTGACCCTGCTCCACGATCAGACCATCGATGTAACGAGGTGCGATCTCCTTCTCAACAAGATCGTTTGATGCGGCGTCGTAGACAAGACCGTTCGAGTCCCTCGAGAATGCTGTGTGCACTTCGAGCAGACCTTCATTGACATACTGACGTAGCTCTGCCTCATAGCAAAATTTCTGTCGAGACTGCACTCCTAGATACAGTACAGTTTTGCCCCATGTCTGTCCACAACGTGCCTGCCAGAAGCTACGCATGGGAGCGATACCGCTACCTCCAGCGAACATAGCTACTGGAGAGGTATCATCGTGTGGTAGTTGAAAGGAGAAAAGTCTCGAAACGCCGATGAGAAGCTCCTCATCATCAAGTACGTCCATTTCCTCAGCGACTGGCGGATTGAGGAAGCCACTGCTTACACCATGACGAATGATCTTATTTGCACCCGCAAGCGTGGAGCAGAGTTCGTAGTCTGAGCGGGAGATGGTCAAGTCGACAGTGCTGGGCAGCAACTCGTCCGAGAAGTTTGAGATACTATAGGTTCTTGGGACCTCGACAGACACCAGGTCAGCTAGCCAGGAGAGGTTTCCGGAAAGATCAAATGCCTGATCCCATACTCGCGATGAGGTATCTTTGACAGCAGCCTGAAGGAGGTCGCCAAGCGATGCTCGAACAGGCCACTCGTCGGTGGCGAGTACCTGCAATACAGTGTGTGACGACGCGCGCAGCATAGTATGTAGCTTGGTAGCGAGTTCTTTCGTGATGGGTGCCAAATGGCCCTTGCGCAGTATGTCGATTACATTCAGCCGGGGTCGAGTAGAACGTGTGACGGATCCGATGTGATCCGCATATCGTGTCCAAGTGCGATCGAGCGTCACAGAATCCTCGAGCATGTGCTCAAGACCCAATGAAGCAGCCACTTTTGCACACTCAGTCCAGCTATTCATGGGCATGATAGCAAGCCGGTCACCAGGCTGGAACGTGATGCCAGTGTCCTGGATGTCCAAAGTGACCATGGCGATGGAGCGCTTAGGGTCTGCGTCAACGTAGTTTCTGCTTAGTATGCGCCCTCGATAGCGACATTCTTCAAAGGTACCACGCATCTCATGGGGTTCGATGTCGCGCTGACCCCGAAATGGTTCAAGTCGTTCTTTCATAGCTTCGGAGAATTCTTGGTGTGTCTGCTCCCAGGGCCGAGACGCGTCCGATGCTCCGGAGGCTCCATTGGTCTCCGTTCGACCTGACTTACCAGCACACTCGAGAAGCTTGGAGACATTAGATACTGGTATATGAATTTGAATGGCAGCACCTACCCCGAAGACCTTATATCGATGCGCACCCATAAACCCGCGCTCACCTGTATAAGCCTCGACCACTCCATCGAGGACGCCAATTAGTCTAGCATCGCCAGAGGCTTTGACGTATTCGGGTATCTGATAATGGTATTCGATCGAAGCAATGAATGCTCGTAAGTTCGAAGGTAACCACGCGCGAAGATGTACCCCTTCAGCTCCGAGGAAGCTGTCATACTTTTTGCGGCCCAGGAAGGCATCCATCACTAGGTAGCTAAAGGATTGTCAGTAGTGACAGTAGGTCATGAACAGTACACTCAACCTACGGAGGGAATTGAAGACCAGAGGTGGCCGGACAACGTTTGGACAGTGGTGCTGAGAATTTGGCCCAGCGAACCCACTCTGCTGGAGATACATAATTCTCGCCAGACCTGTCATTGGGTGAGATGGTGTTGAAGGCGGTGGGCATGCGTTCTAAGATCTCCTTGAGTCTGATGAGCTCACGTAGGAGTCCCTCATTGTTCCGGTTCATGACGTGTTCCTGGCAGGCAGCAATGGCGTCAGGACCATGTTGGAAGCTAGCCGATGTGTCTGCGCAGCCTTTGAGGAAAGCGTTCTCAGCGCTGTCGCCGAACATGCCCCATCGTAGTTTGGTATTGTCGAATCGTCCAACGTAAGGGTATTTTGATTGCGGGTCAATGTAGTCGACGTTGTACGATGACTGATCGAAGAATGTAAGATGTGGTATTGACCCTGAGCTCTTATGTTAGATCGACAATTCTGTTTGTGGTGATGTTTCAAAACTTACTGCCCATTCGGATTGAGATCTGCACGTAAGCAAGACCAATACTTTGTGGGATGTTCTGGACCTCGTCGCCGAGATCATTGCACATCGGGACGTTCCTTAGCTTGAGCGGCTTGGCTGCTACATTAATGCCCTCGTTGCCGTCATGTCGCTCTTCATATCGATATATCGAACACAGCATTCCGAGAGCCACGAGAGCAGCCCAGAGAGCTTTGTCGGGGATGACATCGGCAGTGCCTTCAACAATTGGAAGCGCTGCAACGGATTCGCGTACACGACCACGTGCAATGCATCCGGGCATCCTCTCACAGAGATCCATCCAGATCCGCCCTGGCGAATTTCGTAGGGCGCCAGTAGCTGCATTTGTGTCTGGCGGTTGGAAGCCATACTCTGTGCTGATGTATCCGTCGCGCCATCCTGTTGCAGGACCAACCTCTTCTGCGCGGAGTATGACTTGACGAGCTGGCGCACCAAGGGCAACTGCTAGTAAATCTCGATCGTCCATGTTAAGGCTATCAAGGCTCTTGACTCCCCGGGCATTTTGTATCTCTTTGATGGCGGCCATTGAAGGCACGTTTGAATAGATCAACTCGTTTATCGCCTTCCGCTCCCTGGCTTTGTTAACATTGCATCATCTCCGGGAATACAACACACAAACCTCTCCCGCAGGAACTCTTCTACGTTCTCATGCTGAGGTATCTGCTGCACTTAGCTCCAGTCTCACTGACGATGCAGATCGTCACCTACCCCGAATGCAGCATGTACATCTCCCGGTTGAGAAAACCCGGACATTGTGCATCCACGTGGCCCTGTTCGACTACCCATCCTGCTACCTATAGTCGAACCTGCTGGGCATGCACCACCAGCCATACCGGAGACGGGGCACTGTTCTGACAATCTCGAAGGCATGTTTATTAGGTAAGATATGATAGGTACCTGCCCTGTAATGGAGTTTAAAGAATAGAAGACCTCCAGGGCCAGAGATACGAACGGTGTGTTGGTAAGAGTGCGAAGTATGAAGTGAATATATTGCATCAGCAAATGAGCTGTACGGTCTAGCTACTGCATGGGCATGCCAGCAAGGAGGCACATGATGGCGCCGACTCGCAATGCTTGGCTTAAGGTACGCCATGGCTAAGCTGACGTGTGCTTCCCAGCGAGACGCTGTGAGAATGCTTGACGGGAACATGGACGGCTTGGCTGGAACGGGAAGCGGGTCTGACGGAAGGATATTAGCGATTTGGCAGGCAGCCCGTAGTCTCCCCGTCTTCTGGAAACCACACCAGAGGCGAAAATTGACGAGTTGGCCGCGCTCACTGACCCACGTTGGGTAATGGGGGTGAATTGCGCGACAGGAAGTGTTTGTAGTGTGGGGAAGACGCGTCTTTAGCGTCAAATGCGAGCCCACTTCTTTTCCGACGGAGCGTTCCGACACTCTGACAGGCATCAGACACGCGGCACCGCGATCCCATCGCAAAACGCCCTAGACCACAGGCGTTGTACGAAGCACCCAGGAGCCTCGTCATAGCTTGAGGCGGCTCAAGTTGCTCATTTTCGCTGGCTTATATACCAGGTTCGGAGACTACTAGTCAGGGGTGCTGGGGTTTGAGATTCAAATTCAAGTCTGCAATTGAAGCTCTACCCTCGTTTAACGTTCATATGAAGGCTAGAGACAAGATTAACACACGCGTAGCTCTGCTATGTTTGCTTGCAGCAAGTAGCAAAGCAGCTGCGTCGCGTCGCATATGCGCGCGGAGGGCATGACAACTGTGGAGTACCCTTGACGTTCGAACAAGCACCCCTGACTGCCAGACAGGGCTGCCAGGCAAGAACTTTCCCCGTTTCGCGCCAGGGACGTTTTAAGTGAGTAACATGTTTGTTGTTGCCTCAGGTTAGACACCTTGACCACGCAATAATACCCCAAAAGAACCTGCTTTCCGCGCGGTTTCCAGGAAATTCTCACGCAATCCTCTCAGAGTGCCTTCTCTTTTCGAAAGTTTGAGATCGACGCTGTCAGATTTTTCAACTCGGACTCGACTCTGAAGCAACGTGGCGCCACAGTTCGTACAATGGCACTGCGGCCAACAGCACCTATGTTCATCATCTGCTTTTACACGATTGAAGATACAGTCTCAACGCGTGATGACGGCACTTGTGGATTTCGCTTGGATAGCATCAGTTTGATAGCCAGAGAGCATTGCTCCGTTTCTTCTGGTGTTGCACCATTGATCGCCTGCGGTCGCGCGTTCGTCAAAGGCTACAATCAGGTGTGTTCGGTCGGCGTTACTATTGCGGTTCGATGGTAAGCACCGATGGAGGACATATTAGTATTGTTGATTCTAGCGACAACTTGCTGCACGTGATCAGATTCATCGACTCATGATAGGGTGTTTGTGAAGAACAGAAGGTTCGCGAGCAGCTGAAAATGCCCCACCTTGGCGATTCCGGATACAGTCTAGCTGATTACTCACCTGACAGGTCCCTTATTTTGATGCTTTGCAACGTGACCACGCGTACCTTGACACTTACACACCCCGGGCAGACAACAAAACAAAGCGAATTGAGACCTACGACACACTAGATTGCAAAAATTGCCATAGAAAACTTTCTTTCTGTACTTGAAGAGCGAACATCAAGCACGCCGCACAAGGAACAGCCTCGTCTTACACAACTGCCAACAAGGCCATCCACTCCACACCCGCACAGCAGAAGTGCTAGAGACTTCACTCAGGTCTCAATCAAAGTGTAGCATCATGGCGACCCTCATGGCAAACTCCCCTCCGGAACAGGGTTCCACAACGGCCAAAGACGCCAAGACCACAAAACCGTTCCCAGCCATTACAGGTGGCTGCTACTGCGGCGCCGTCCGCTACCGAATCCTCACAGCCCCGCTGTTCTGCTACGCTTGCCACTGCATCGACTGCCAAAAAGCAACAGGCAGCGCCTTTGCGCTGCACGCCACCATCGAAGCCTACAACATCAGCATCATCTCCAAAACCAAGCCGTCGCTGATCACATCGAGACGGGAGCCCTCGAAACCACAGAATATTGCCCGACGCGCGCTTTGCTCCACATGTGGAACCATCCTGTGGGGCAACGACAGCGGGTGGGGCTACGCTGTCAACGATGTGATGATCGGCACGCTGGATTTCCCTGGCATCATGGAGCCCGACGCTCACTCGTTTGTGGGGAGCAAGCTCGGCTGGATCAGTCTGCCCAGTGGCGCCCGGGCCACGAAGGGTCAGTTTGATTACAAGAAGGAGTGGCCGAAGAGCAGCTTGAAGAGGCTGGAGGTGTGTCTGGAGCGGTTCGAGGCGGCGAAGAAGGCGCTGGCGGCGCAGGGGCAGAAGCCTGAAGCGAAGAGCGAGAGCGCGCTGGATGCAGTGGTTGATGCGGGGGTTGACGTTGATGGCGACAAGACACCGACTGCCACAGCTGATACAGACGAGGGGGAAGATGACGCAGCATTCGAGGAGCGGTTCAGGGAAACTGAGAGGGCGCTGCAGGAGCGGCTGGCGAAGCTCACCTTGAAGTTGGAGGGTGAGGACGGGCACAGCGCGGCCGGGAGTACAGCCACGGGTGAGGCTACAGGATGAATTGCTGTGAATGCATCTACTCGGCCTTTGGCTTCACATCGGACTCGCTCTCGTCATGATCGAGCGCCTCACTCACTGGATCAGAGGTTAGTTGTACAGCATCTATGTGGCGCGATAACGCTTTTCGATAGCGGCCTAGACTGCGCGTCTTGAAGAAAATAGTACGAACGCCTAGGCAGAAGACAGCCATAGTAAGAAGAAGTCGAACGAGACCACCAACCGATGACACTTTTCAACATATATGGGTTTGCCAATGAAAAATCATATTATCTTTCGAAACTGCAGTCCGACTCTTCGTTGTGACTTCCCCTTTCAATTCAATCCGCAAACTTTCTCAGTCTAGGCTAGATCGCAGACGCACTCTAGGAACAAGGTGACTGGCTAGATTTTGATTGCTGACGTGGTATTGGGGGCCAAAAGAACAAATACATCAGGCGTACCACCGGACCTGGCTTGTGCATGCAGCTGTGTTTATCTCAAGTCAGATAGGCAACGAAAGCTACGGAAAATAAAAGCAGCGCGGCTCCTGCGTTCAATTGAGTTCCCAAGTCGCATCACCGCCGTACGTACAAACCCTCACCCACAGCAGCGATGTCTTGCCAGCTTTCGCCGTCTGCCGCGGCTTTCAGCACCATGCTCAGCGCCTTTGTCGGCTCGGTAATCACGGGCCTCACAAGTGGAGCAGCGATCGCGTTCATCACCGGGTGGATCTCCTGGTTCTCCGTCCTCCGCATCCTAGCCGCCGGCCTGTACGAAGCGTACCTGGCGATCAGCGCGGGCACGAACTACACCACCGCGCCGCAGTACCACAGCGTCGCACTCGGCGGGATACACTCCGCCAGCGAGCCCCCGCCAGACGCCAATAACCCTCCGCCCTACGACCTGGAGCAGCGCTACGACCTGGAGCAGCGCAACGCCCTGCTGGACCCCGCGCAGCACCCCGCAGCCAAAGCGGCGCGCTTCAACCTCATCGGCCCCCTGGACCGCGGTATCGATGTCTGGGGCTGGCTGGGCTGGCTGTGGAGCGCCATCTACACGCCCATCTCGCAGTCGATCTGGGTAGGCGTGCACCTAACGGGCCCATCAACGGGGATCCAGAAGTTCGTGCGCGCGCTCGCGATCGGCGTGTCCGCGCTCAGTCTGACGTTCGACTACAAGCACCGCTACGCGGCGGCGCTGGGGCGGCGCTGGGGCGCGTGGGCGTTCGTGGCGTTCAATGCGTGGAACGCGGCCGCGTGCGTGCTGCTGGGTGTCGAGGCGCTGGTGCTGCTGGTGTTCAGTGCGGTCAAGATGGAGAACGTGCCGCTCCCGCTGGTCATCGTGTATCCGATCTTCAGCGTCATCTGGGCGGTGGGGAGTTGGAAGATTTTGCCGCCGGTGGATGGGGGGAGGGGGGGCAATAAGATTGCGGGCGTGCTGATGGGGGCGTTTGCGGGGCTGTTTGTTGCTGCGCCGGCGTTTGCGCTGTGGCGGGATGCGAAGTGGGATGAACGCACGGGGAATGGTGGGTATGGTGCTGGGTTGCAGGAGTATCTGGCGTGTGAGGGCGTGAGCGTGCTGGAGAAGTTTGCTGCCGTTATGCCATGAGGCATCAGTAGTGGATCGTCATCGATATTCGCTGCTCATTCAGTACTACCCGTGGACACCATCGGAATTCAACACTCCGAGAAACTGCATATAAGACCGATTGCCAATGTGCGCTGCACGCAACCAGCATCGAATACAGCCCCGATTCGGGCCAGCCTGGAAGCGCACTCCACCCCAACGCGCCATACCCCAGACGAGCGCCCAACAAAAATAGCACCCGGTGTTGAGCGACTCAAGACCCGGAGGTGGCGCCGACGCATCAGCTCCCGGCGCAAGCGGCTCTGCGGCGGTGCTGAGCCTCCAAGCCTCGAAGACCATCGCCTCTTGCTTCACATCTACATACACAGCGTCTCGTTCTCATTATCCATACCGCATCAACCGTGCTGTACAAACCGCAGAGCCAATCTCCCCGCATTCACACTCGCACCTTCCTCCCTACACAGTACGGTCCCGCCCGGCTGCGGACTTCCTGCACATCCGGGGTACAACCCGCGCCTCGCCTCGCCTCGCCTCGCCGCCTCTCATCCCGACGCTAACCCCCAATCCGCCCATCCCGGACCTCTTGCGGGTCCCTGCGCTAGCAAATTTGTTCCTCGCGGCTTCCGTCGTGTTCTTTTCTCCTTTTGCGCCACGAACCCCGTATTTATTGACACAGACTTCCCCACACTCGCTGTTTGCTCCTTCACCGCATTTATTTACAATCTACTTCACACTCGCTTCTTTGTCATTCCATTGCATCGAGTATAAAACGCAAAGCACCCTGCGTCAACACACGTTCAGTCCACAAAAACCGACTCAACTCGACTAGAACTTTATCACGCCACACGACACCAATACCAATACCAAAACAACACATACAGTAAACATGTTTTCCCGCATCGCCACACGCGCGCCCCGCGCTTTCGTCCGCTTCAACTCCTCGACGTCTTCGAGCCGCGCACCGCGCATCGCCGAGATGGCCGGGCAGGTGCAGAAACTGGGTACGCATCCCCACAAAACACCTGCGCTGTGTTCTCTCACTAACACACCTTCAGACGCGCTCGAAGCCTCGGTGCCCGTGATGTGGGCTGTCTGCGGCGCGCTGACGTACACGGCGTGGAACAGGATGGAGGGGCGGCAGGGGGATGAGGTGGAGAAGTTGATTGTTGTTTAGGCGGTGTCGGGGTTGTTTGGGCTTTGGTATGTGTTTGGGTGTGGAGTGTGGTATGGCATCTGCATTGCATGGCTTTGCGTATCTGCGTATTCGCTTGCTTGCGTATATGCGTATAGACTTGTTTTTATCTTCGTTTGGGTTGGAATAGGGATCGGGCACTGGCATGTGCATATGGGTATAATGAGCGATGACGGGATGGGACATGGAAATGGGAACTGGATCAATGCTATTGATGCTGCGGATTTGCAGATACAAGCACTTTGTCTATCCTTTTGCTTGCTGTGGTGGGTCGTGTGTTTACTAACAGGTGCGTGGTCTCTGCAATGGCGATTTGAAATACGACTCTCGTCCCACACCGACACTGATAACGGCTTGATGTTACTGGCTAACTCGATTACCATTGGTGCTGCAGTGCGCAGTGGTGACAGTATTGGTGTCGCCAGACTGATGTCTAGACGCAACACAGCAATCTGATCGCGCCATACGTCAGCTCGGGAATTACGGACCGCCTCGGAACCCGTCTCGCTGAAGCCATTCCTGCAGCGCGATACTCTGCATCGTGAGCGAGACGCAGTCAGAGGCTGACCTAAGGCCCCCTTTCGCACACCTCGGCGATCGTCGGGGGCGCTTGGCACCCGATTCGCAAATTGCAGCGGAGGAGCAGATCCACCCAGCTGGCTGGCTCACCGCAGGTCGCAACTTTCAGCCGCGCATACTTGAGCTGCCCCTCGCCGAACTGCGACTGTGGCATTTGCTTGCCTACATTTGCTTGGCCATAATCTCTCTGCCCGCAGGTGTAGCACCTCGTACATAGCTCGTACCGCCCACCGCACGAATACGCATTTTACACGCGATGACGGAGCCGTTTCCCCCTCTCCACGGCACGGCGCCTGCCAGCGTCGGCGGAGGAGTCGCCCGCAGACGGAGAAAGAGCAGCGGGCTGGGCGCGGATCTGCCCGGCGACGTGGACGTGCCGTCGTTTGCGACGAGCCGGCGACTCGATGCCGCCAGCATGAGGAGCCCAGTAGACTCGGTACGTCAACCTCTACTCACGGCTGCTCTGCGCCGCTGAGTATACCAGCGCTGACACGCGCAGAAATCAGACAAGCCACGCCGCTCCAAGCGCCGCACCGTCCGCCGCGGGCTCTCCAAGTTCAAGCGCGCGTGCATACGGCACACATGGCTGCTCCCGCTGCTGCTCATGCTGACCATCGGCGCCCTGTACCTCGTGCACCCGCACCCGTCGAACCCGATTGCCGCGTGCCTGTTCCTCTCGTACCCGCTCGCGCGCGACGACCCCTTCATCCCCGCGTCGGTGCGCGCCGACCCCGCGGCACCCACCCACTACGGCAAGGGCGCGCGCGACTTCGCCTTCGTCGCCTTCTACATCGTCGTGCTGTCCTTCACGCGCGAGTTCTGCATGCAGCGCCTGATCCGGCCGATTGCCATTGCGTGCGGCATCAAGGGCCGGGCCAAGCAGAGCCGGTTCATGGAGCAGGCGTACACGGCGCTGTACTTTGGGCTGTACGGGCCGTTTGGGCTGTGGGTCATGAGCCGCAGCCCCGTGTGGTACTTCAACACGGCGGGCATGTACGAGGGCTTCCCGCACCGCACGCACGAGGGCGTGTTCAAGGCGTACTACCTGCTGCAGGCGAGCTACTGGGCGCAGCAGGCCATTGTGCTGCTGCTGATGCTGGAGAAGCCGCGCAAGGACTTCAAGGAGCTGGTTGCGCACCATATTATCACGTTGTCGCTCATCTGGCTGAGCTACCGCTTCCACTTCACTTACATGGGCATCGCCGTGTACATCACGCACGACGTGTCGGATTTCTTCCTCGCCGTAAGCACCCCCCCCCCCCCCCCCCCCATTACTCTAAGTCTGACGACTAACACCCCGCAGACAAGCAAGATCCTGAACTACATCGACTCCCCCATCGTCGGCCCCTACTTCTTCCTCTTCATGTGCGTGTGGGGCTACCTGCGGCACTTCATCAACCTGAAGATCCTCTACTCCATCCTGACCGAATTCCGCACCATCGGGCCCTTCGACCTGAACTGGGAAACCCAGCAATACAAATGCTGGATCTCGCAAGCCATCACGTTCGCCCTGCTCGCGGCCCTACAGGCCGTGAACTTGTTCTGGTGGTTCTTCATCTGCAGGATTGCGTACCGCTTCATCGTGTACAAGGACGCGGATGATGATCGCAGTGAGTATGAGCCCAGTGAGACGGAGGATGCGGAGCGCAGGGAGGAGGTGAAGCGCGGGGGCGAGGGCGAGGGCGAGAAGATCGCCAATGGCGTTAAGCGCAGTATTTCGAATGTCGAGCCGAGTACGCCCGTGCAGACCGCCGCGGCGGCGCCGCAGGAGTCGATCGGGAGCCGCGTTAAGCAGCGCAAGAAGGGCGGCGAGTGAGCGCTGTTGCGGCGAGCATCTGGCTGCCTGTCGGTTCGCAGCGCGGATAGCTCTGCGGCGAGCGAGGCGATGGCATGGGGACTCGAGGGACGGGCGGCTGGTCGTGGAATTGGATAGCATAGCGAGACCACGCGCCGTCGGGAGACTAGCACGCGCGTTGTGCTGCGTTTGTATGATAACGATGCTGGATACGTGGGACACGGTACATGGTGCATGGGTACACGGTACATGGTACATAAACTCATCGCGGTTGCCTGGGTAAACCGCAGAGTGTTGAGGTGTTGGAATACGAGTGTGGGAATAGGAGTGTTGGAATACGCGATGCAGAGGGAGTGTAGAATCACCTCCAGCGTGATAGGGGAGTGTGTATATGCGCTTGTGTGTATGGTTGAATCAAGACTCACAAGTACACTGAAGTGTATTTTGCGCGTGTGCATTTTGCGTGTGTGTGTAAATGCATACAAGCCCGTTGAATGTGTGTCTGGACGTATAGTGTCGGTGCTGGAGTCTATGCTGATGCTGACCTGTGCACTTGCTCACTGACTGCTGTGTACTCACTGCCCCTGGCTCCCAAGAACGCACAACCACCCCCGCCGGTGCACAACACTCCCGGATGAGCGCGGTGATGGTCTGGACTGGCACTTCGGTGGGTTGCTTTCATGCCTGGTTTTGTAGTGGGTTGATGGGCTGTTGGGTAGGTGGTTTTGCTGCTTGTTGGTTTCGTTGGGAGGGTGTTGGAGGGGAGTAGGTCAGGGAGGGGGGGCTTAAGGGGGGGCTTAAGGGGAGGTGAGGTGAAATGGGGTGAGGTGAAATGCGTCGAGTCTGTTTGTTTGTAGGACTGAAGTTTTGTCTATTGGTGTGGTGTCAGTATTCTGTGATTTGGCATTCTGGCTGTATGTTGCTACTGGTTTGTTTGGACGTCTTTTTGCGTTTCTACCTAGAAAGAAATGTTGTGGTTGTGGCATTTTGCGGGCCTGAATAGAATATGCCTTGCTTATTTGTTCTGCAGCCTTCGTGAGCCTGGATGCGTGATTACTTCAAAGTACATTGGAAGTCACGTGAAATCAGTCGTTGGCGACTTACGAAGAAGAGTTGTTGCCCGAAAAGATTTAAGCTCATGGCTGACTAAGTCTGTGAGAATCGTGTGTGATACGCTCAACAGTCACAGATACTGCTTTGGTAAGATATGTTACTGATCCGCTGCGTCATACTTGTTCGGCGTAACTCTGGTCCAACCTACACATTAACGCTAGTGATGCGGATCATTGAACGACTCACTCTCGTCATGCACCGAAAAATCGTCTCTTAATTTTAACGTCTCGAGGGCGCACCAGTTCAGTCGTTAGTTGCCCCGCACTTGTGGCGTTCATGAGTCTGCAGCTGACCTGGCCGTGGGGGCGGAATTGATCCCACTCACACGGCTGAAGGATCAGGCTGAACTGAACAGTACCACCACCCCTCCATGCCATGACCTTTGCACTTTATATTACAGAGATGAGAGCTCGATAGACTCATCTACGACCGCCTACCGGATTCGTCCAAATGCCGCGCCGGCTCCACCGCGATGAATATACCGTGGGATGGATCTGCGCCCTCGACATTGAGCTGGTCGCCGCCCAGGAGATGCTCGATGAAGAGTACGATCCCCCCTTGATAAGCGCACACGAGTCAAATATCTACACATGTGGACGCATTGGCGAGCACCTTGTTGTGATTGCCTGTCTGCCTGAAGGGCGCATGGGCACGACGTCAGCTGCAACTGTCGCGAATCAAATAAGAATGACATTCACTTCGGTTCGGTTCGGCTTGATGGTTGGAATAGGTGGAGGCGTCCCTAGCGATACAGACGTTCGACTTGGAGATGTGGTCGTCAGCAAGCCACATAACACCCACGGTGGAGTAGTGCAATACGACTTTGGGAAGGCCACCTCAAGCGGATTTAAAAGAACAGGATCGTTAGACGGGCCTCCAACTGTGCTCCTTAACGCAGTTGTGAACCTGAAAGCCAAGCTTATGAGACGAAGGGGCAAGCTGTTCCAATGTCTGGACAAGTTCGCTGACCTGCCGGACTTCACGCGCGAGGCTGCCGGCGAAGATATCCTGTTCCAACCCGGATATGCACACATCGGAGGAGCGACTTGTAACAACTGCGACCGGGAGCAAGCAATCATTCGGGGGACACGGACTCGTGATCTGGTGGTACATTATGGCACGATTGCTTCTGGCAATGAGGTCATGAAGAACGCCGCGATCCGAGACCAACTCAGTGCTGAACTTGGGGGCGTGTTGTGTTTTGAGATGGAGGCTGCGGGCTTGATGAACAATTTCCCATGTTTGGTTATACGTGGTATATCAGACTATGCCGACTCGCACAAGAACGATAGATGGCAGCCGTATGCAGCAGCAACAGCAGCAGCCTACGCGAAAGAGCTGTCGAGCGTTGTGCCTGCAATCGAGGTGAAGAACTCGCGGACAGCGAAAGAGGTCACTGAAAAACCTGACGGTCAGTACCGACAGCTTTGCATGAAACGACAACCGCTGACTACTAAGGCAACACTCGTCTTGGCTCAAGCACAGACGAGTCTCTCGCAGGAGAAGAGATTCGTCTGGGCAAGTAAGCTCGAACGCACTCTTTGGAGCTCGGGGTCATTCTGCTGACTGAGGTAGCCAAAACACAATCACTGCTGCTGCCAGAGGTATTTTTCGAGATGCTGATGGAATAGTGACATGCTGACTTCACCTAGAGTGTCTCCAATCGCTTGCGTTTCCTGAACAGGAGCAAAGATTTTTGAACGTACACACCGCGCAAAACACATGCCAATGGCTTCTGGACGACAAGCAGTATCAGAACTGGGTTCAGAGCCCTCGAGGATTTTTCTGGATCAAAGGACACCCAGGTACCGGGAAGTCAGTGCTGACTAAATTTGCGGTTACCTCGTACCGGAAATCGAACCCTAACCAGATCGTTGCAACGTTCTTCATCCATGGCCAGGGCATAAGTCTGCAACATACTGTGCACGGTCTTCTCCGGGCTCTCTTGAACTCTCTATTGCTGGACTTTCCTCAACATCTCTTGGAGCTTACGAAAGTTTTCAAAAGTCGAAACGAACAGCGTGGCAATTACGACCAGGGCAAATGGGAGTGGGCTACTAGTGAGTTGCAGGAAGCCTTGACCCGGGTCCTGAGAGACGGGACAACATCACAACCCGCCACCCTCTTCATCGATGCTCTTGACGAATGTGGTGAAGAAGCTGCAAGAAGCTTGCTAGTTTACTTTGAGACCCAAACAAAGTGTAAAACAGCACAAGTCAAAGTTTGTGTATCATCCAGGCACTACCCAATTCTTGGCCTTGACGACAATCCGACAGTCCATGTTGAAGAGCGGAACGCCAACGACATCGAACAGTACGTCAGTGAACGGTTAGAAAGTGTCCAATCATTGACACAACGCGAATCATTCAAGGAAGGAATCCTGGAAAAAGCTGATGGTGGCTTCCAATGGGTCCTTTTGGTTACAGATATGATGCTGGGGGGGCACTTGAACGGAGTCAAACTGGAAAGACTACGCGACCAGCTGGCCTCATGTCCCGGTGATCTCAGTCAGCTCTACGGAGCCATGCTTGACGGTGTCGATGCCGCCGAGCGAAGCCAGATGCTGAAGCTCTTTGATTGGGTGCTGTTTGCTGAACAGCCCTTATCTGTGCAGGAACTCCGAGATGCACTTGCGACAGACGCAGATATGATGCATGAAACTGTCTCTCAGATGAGGCAACACGACAGTTGGTCTGATACATTGGACGCTTTCGAAAGGCATGTCAAACGACTCTCTAGAGGTCTCGTCGAGTTTCAAGTTCGAAATAACCAGACAGTGTACACTGGATGGCGGATAGTGTACGATCAATGCGACACTACGACCCGGGAAGCTCATCTGATACATCAATCCGTTGCTGACTTTCTACTCGCAACGCATCGCAACCATGAATCTTCACTAGGACTGCGCACCTTCCCGTCCACAGCAGCTAGAGGTCATTTCAGAATCTCGAGATCCTGTCTGAAGTACCTAAACTTGAACGAAGTTCTGGACACTGAACGACTGACTAAAGAACAAATTGCCTCTAGGTTCCTCTTAGCCGTGTACGCTGTCCGCTTTAGCCTACTACACATTCGCAAGGTGGAGCTAGAAGGGATGGATCAAGACGATCTACCTTCTGCGATCCAATGGCACTATGGCGATCATAAGGTCATGCGAAGAAAAGAAATCCTTTGGAAGACCCTTGACCAGAATAACTTTTGGACACCGAGAGGATGGCCTTTCGTAAGGGCTTCAATCTTTCACGTTCTTGTGGCCTGTGGTTCTCGAACCGCGTGTCTGCATATTCTTGACACGAATGTCGAGGAGGCCAATTCTGTCGATGCGGATGGTAACACACCACTCATGTTTGCTATCTGGCAAGGCTACGAGGATGTAGTCCTGATATTCGTAGACTTGCTTCTCCGGCAATCGTTACTATCCAATGGCCCCGAAGCCCAAGCCATGATTGAGAAGGTATTTCTCAAGGCTAGTATATCAGGGATGAATGAAGTGCTCCGCATGGTTTTAGAATTTGCTGGGTTTGGTACAGAAACGGCAAAGTCTTCCATCGGCTCCGAGAAGCCTGATATAGAATCTGAAAGCTTGGTTTTGCATCCGAACAATGCTAAACTCGTTTCTAAAAGGCCTATATCAGGTAAGGAGCTGTCAACTGACTGTCTTACTAAAGCGCTACTGCTTGCTACAAAATATGGGCACAATGTCGCAGTGGAAATGCTGCGTCGCATTGATAAGATCGACATCAAAACATTGTTCCTAGATGGAGACAGGCAGACACCGTTACACATCGCCGCTCAAGCTGGTCATGTGGACGTTGTGGCCAGTTTGCTCACAGCTGGGGCAAAGTCTTCGGTCGTTACTAAGGAAGGTTTAACACCACTCATCGTAGCGACATTCCGGGGTCATCGTGAGGTGGTCAAACTATTGCTTGAAAGTGGCGTGCCTATTGACGAGGAGTGTGGCGACTTCGCCACCGCCCTTGGAGCGGCTGCTTATACAGGCGAGAATGAGATTATCCAGTTACTCCTTGCTCATGGTGCCGACATAAACAAACAAGTACCAAGATATGGTTCTATACTAGAAATCGCAGTTTGGGAAGATTTGGATGCAACCGTTGATTTGCTGCTTAGGAAAGGGGCAGACGTGCACATAGAAGAGGGAAATTTCATGAATCTACTTGGAGTTGCCGCATTCAGAGGAAATAAGCAGATGGTGGACCGGATACTAAATGCAGACGCCAATAGGTATGCAAAGGGCATTTCTTTTGCCAACTCGCTTGGGGTCTTTGAAGACGTTTTTGACCTTCCTATGGAAAGAGCTGTTTACACACACCAACGAAGAGGAGAGTATGCACTTGCGCTTGGCGTTGCAGCAGAACATGGAAAGTACGAGATCGTTGAGTTATTGCTAGACATGGGTGCAGATATTTCTGTTGCCAGCGACAATGGACGCTTTGCCTTGCATCTAGCCGCACACGAAGGCCACGTTCAAGTAGTCCAACTGCTGCTTGAACGAAACGCCGACCCAAACGCAAAGACTCACACCGGAAAAACCCCGCTCATGGAAGCATCATGTTCTGGTCATGTCGCGACTGTGGAGTTGCTTCTGGACAAAGGAGCCACTTTGGACGACATGGATGAGGACGGCCGGACCTCACTGTCATTTGCAGCGAGATGTGGGCATACGGAAACAGTCAGCGTTCTGCTTGAAAGAAATGCAGAGATGAATCCTTGCCATGCGGGCTGGACACCACTTCATTTTGCAGCCTATGGTGGTCATTGTGCAGTAGTCGAGCTGCTACTCGAGAAAGGCGCCGATCTCACTGCAAGTACCAAAGAGATTGGTTCAAACGTAGTAGCAGGCACCGCTTCGGGGTTTCTTCCTAGCGGCTCTAAGTTCACACCGCTCAGTGCTGCTGCTTGGAGTAGGCATGGTGCGATGGTCAAATTGTTGCTTGCCAGAAGTGCAGATCCTTCCTTTGCTGTAGATGGCTGGACAGCTCTTTATTTCGCAGCGCAGATTGGTGATACTTCTATAGTTGTCTTACTATTAGAAGCCGGGGCGAGTATGGACGTTGTTGCTGGAGATGGATACACGCCGCTAGGTGTAGCAGCTTGTGCTGGTCATCTAGCGGTCGTCGAACTGCTACTTCAAAAGGGTGCAGATTTGATATCATGTGGCAGGAATAACATGTATGCCTCCCCTGCGAGCATAATCGCCTTCGTAGGTCACACGGACATTCTACGTCTTCTTGTAAAGTACAAAGTTGTGGATCTGCATCAAACACATCCGGGGAAGATGACACCACTCCAGTGTGCTGCGCATGGTGGACATCTCGAGACACTGCAGTACATTTCCAACCAGTATTGCAACCCAAATTCATTCGACAGCGAAAATGAAAGCTCTCTTTCTGAGATTCCAAACGAAATCTTCGAACAGGGACTCCGAAAACCTATTTTGCCCTCGCCGTGGAGTGCTCTCCACTGGGCTTGCAGGATAGGATCAGTCGAAATTGTAGAGACCCTTCTGGCGCGATCATGGCAAAGCGAGACTGTCAGTGTTCCCGAGATGCACGGTAACTGGACCCCAGTCGCGATCGCGGTTTTTCACGGCCAGAAGAAGATGCTCCAGAAACTATCTCCAAGCAATCAAGCAGCGCTAGGCTTTAATTCCGACAATATATACGATGAGGGTAATGAGCATAGTACCTTCTTCTGTGATGGATGTCTCCACGTAAGTACACGGTATCGCAAGAACAAATAAAACTAAAACTTTTCAGGACATCTACGGGCCGCGCTTTCGTTGCTGCGTGTGCCTTGATTTTGATTACTGTTTCATGTGTAAATTCGGGTCCGAGCATTTCCACACGAACCATGGGTGGAAACGTTTTCAACACTTCAACCCAGATGACGCTCCACAAAGCAATACTGAATAGACTTAATGAGATGTGCTCATCACACATCTAGCTTCACATGAAATACACCGAAATGACCTGTGAGCGTCTCACTTGTCACTCACAATCGGTCTCGTCTCTGTCTTCTTTGTCCTCTTTCTTGCAAGTCACCCAAGTTTTGCAGTCCTCCAAAGATCAAAAGTTCGAATCGACAAACTGAAGGGCAAGAAGCCATGCTCCCTTACGTTTCTGTTGCCCCTTCTTAAAAATTTTCCAACTTGATTGCTGGCCGTGACCTTTCACTTTGAAGACTCAATGCTTCTGAAAGTATCTTAAGAAGTGTTCATACTACTGCGTGGTCCTGCCTACCTCTGTCCCTCAATCTCTGTCCCCTCTCCTATTTTTTGTCTCTCAAGCCCGAGATGTCAATTGTAAAACCAAAAGGCGGAGGAAATCAGCCCGAATATTCGAAAAGAACGCGATAGATGACTTCCTGCGCTATACTTCTGTCCCTCTCCCTGTGTCTTGCGAGTCCTAAAAGAGTACAAGATCAGGATAAAGTCACTGGTGCTGTGATGCTCTTGTGCTCCCGCTCTTAAGCAAAGCCATCGACTACGTCCGAAATCTCCTCTAGGCTGGTTGGATGGGGTTCTGCAGGCTCGCAAGTATCCAATGGTCAACATTAACCAAGTCAAAAATCCTACTGCTGGCATGCACTCCTAGCTAATTGTCCTTCCCGAAGTCAGTCAAACATCCCTAGTCACTCGTTTACATTACCGTCATCTGCACATCAGAAACCGAAACAGGATCTGGCTGGACACTGTTGTCGCACTGCCGGCCGGGATGGCAGGTTTGGCCGATGATCAAACTACCATGTCTCTTAGCTTCTGTCACAATCTTTTGGAAACCTCGAACCAATCTCCAGAGAAACTATTGATCTGAGGAATAACAACGCAAACCCCAGTGGGAACCTAATCAGCTCTGTGGCCTAGATGATATTACAATTTCACTTGCAGTCATTTAAGCTGCTAGTTGATTATACCGGGTCGACTCACGATATTTCCTGTCAAACTGACTCTGTAGCTTCCCACGCCCCACTTGCGGTACATCTTTGCCATACGGTCTAACTGTATTCCACGTGCCGGTAAATCCTTTGTGTCCCAGGACGACAGCTGTTCGGTCATAGCAGCCTTCAGGAACAAATTTTGGGCAGTCTTGCCTGATAATTTGAACTTCAGTGGCTCTCCAAGCGGTTTCGCATCTGTTGTAGCAGACCTATGGCGTTCCGGTAGTCTGTTCATCTTTTGTTGGAATATGGTCATCTGATTGGTGTAGCCACCTGACATTTGCATTGGATCTCACAGTTAGAGAACGCAATCCCTTTGTTTATAAATAGGACTGTGCAATTTTGATTTAGAATGTTTGTAATTGCTTCTTTGCGTATAAGAAACAAGCTATGGTCTTGATTACTCTTCTATGTAGAAGCTCGAGGGTCTAGCCTTCTTTGAAATACAGATTTCTACGACTAGCAAGGAATATCGACTACCTAACTTAGGATGCTTAGATATATATCCGCATTGCGTGCGTTGTAGAGATACATAGGTTGCTATAGGCGTTGCGCATCCATCAACGGCATGTGCAAGCGCTTAGTTAGTAAGCGGAGTCCACGGGCGCCGAAGCGTCAGTGAACGATAATGCCTGAAGAGCGAAGACTTCATGTTTGATTCGAGCCGAAGCAAGGAACAGCGTGTTCTAGTTCTCGAAATCCAGCATATTGTATTGACGAGTCCAGATGCACCACTGCCTAGACTAGAGCCATTCCTCGCACCGCTATAGAGAATCGCCGCGGAGGTAATTGATTCACTCCTGAATAAGGTCTTGCAATCAGCCAAGCTTGTGAATCAAAACGAGAAGCTATTCTATTACATGCGAGAACTTTTACTTTCGATATCTACACTACTTATCAACAAGATACACAAGATACTATAATAGATCATCTCTATTTTAGGAGCTAAAGATTCTTTGCACCCATGCTGCTTTGGCGTTTGCAGCATTGCGCGCCAACTGTGTATATGACGATAAGATGTCAAACCCGTGGAAGCCGCCAGGCCAAACATGAAGTTCGCATTGGACGCCGGACTTCCATAATTGTGAAGCAAATGCCACTGACTCATCACGGAAAATTTCACTGTCGCCAACATCTATGAAAGTCTGTGGCATACCTCGCAAATCCGTCGCTCGTGCTGGTGCTACTAGCTCGCTGACCTCAGACCCACCACGCTTATCCCCCAGCACCATGTCCCAGGCCATACGATTTATCGTACCACACCAAGGTCCATCATGGGCAAACTGCTTGGATGAAGTCGTGCAGTCGCGGTCGTCCAGCATGGGAGAAAACAGCACCAGCGCCAGTGGGTTTACTTTCTTGTCGTCGCGGCACATCATAGCCATACCGCAGGCTATGGGTGCTCCACCAGAGTTACCGTGGATAATAATACGAGACGGATCAAGACCTAGTTCATCGGCGTGCTCAACTGCCCATAGGAGTCCTGCATATGAGTCGTGTAGCGCGGCCGGCGCTGGGTGCTCTGGCGACAGGCGGTACTCGGGAGCAATGAAGACGGTGTCGATGCCAATGAACAAGCCCATCAGAAAATCCAAGGCTGTACCCCGTGTGCATGCAATCTGCGCGCCTCCATGGATGCTATAAACACCAGCACGCTTAGTATTAGAGGAGCTTTTGCTCCTAAACACTGAGAGTGTCACAGGTGGGTCGTTCTTGTTTAGGCCAGGCACGCTGTGTTCGACATGTTCAATGTCTGGCATGGCCTGGAGAATCGGCTTTGGGGAAAACGGACCAGCAGAGCTACGTAATTGCTCGAGATCAAATCTTTCGGGAGAGATCTGGAAAGCCTCGACAGCAGTCAGAAGTGATGGGGCGTAGGGTGGTCGGATCAGTGGCTCTGCTTCAGCAGTTGACTCAACTGGAGCAACAGCTGCCATTGTGTAACAGGATTTTGCAGAGATTTCGTTGTAATTGCAGTCTTGGCTCGTACGCAGTAGCGATTAAGAAGAGGATGTTTCAAGGTATGAAGTGTTTTGTAATGCTGATAGTAGTTTATTTGAAAATAACCTAAAAAGTTGTTACATCTACTTATTATATAGCTAATTATCTCGGAACATTATAGATTACTATACCTATATCCTAGGTATAACTTGTTCACTCTGAGAACAACCCAACCTTAGGCTGCTGGTATATGCATAAATACGCTAGAATGGTATAGCTAGTCTGTAGCCTATTCTATGTAGTAATAGAGAGATTTGAAATATAGATAGTAGTATATTAGGACTTTCAAAGATCTGGAACATCTAAACATGTAGAAGAATTGAATGTTCGGAACATTCAAGTATTCGGAACATTTAAACATGCGAAGTTTTTCAACCGAAACATCCCTATCTTAACTACTCGCTAACTATAGACGTTCGGATCATTAACAGAGTACGACCGTACGTTTTGCAGGTTTGTGCTCTGCTCTGTCCTGTTTAGAGATCTGGCTAAGTACAAATCTACTAGCACAATAATAGGACTAGTTACAAATTGTAGTCTCTAACAAGACGCTGATTAACAGCGGTCCCGATCAGTAATGTGCAAGAAGAATGGAAGTGACAAGGGAGGTCAGAAATTACAGAATTTTGTCTATCTTGGAGAACCCTGTGTAGCCCGCAGCCCTCCCGCAGCCCTACCCTACCCCTTGCCGTAAATGTGAATGCTTCATTGGTTAATGCAGGCGCACTCATTCGGCATCTCCCGCGATCTATAGAGGTGTGCGGGGAAATATGCGGTGTTTAGTATAAAAGGAACGATAGGGAAGACCTTGAAGGCACAGTATCAGAACGAGTGAGTTTGCGACGAGATGTTGCATGCCGCTCAAATAGCCTATGGCCTTATGTGCCTGGTGCGAAACGTATCATTTTCGCAGACTGGCGTCTTTTTTCTTGCTCTTGTAAGTACAGCAGTTCCATTTTAACAGGTTTCTCGAGGTCATGCAGTTCCACTAGGTATAGCACGCACTGCCCTGATGCACTACTGACGAGCCAGATCCTCGCCGCATGGGCACTCCGCGGCATATACCGCGTCTACTTTCACCCGCTCGCTGGCTTCCCCGGCCCAAGGCTCGGAGCATTCACTCGGTTGCCTCGCAATATCGCAGTTTGGAGGGGTTGTCTACACAAATATGTCCAGGCGCTGCACGTACAATATGGCGACGTGGTACGCGTAGGCCCTAACGAGCTAAGTTTTCTTCACCCAGATTCCTGGCGTGACATCTACGGCCATGGCCATGGCCAAGGTAAGGGCAGTAGTGGCTCGGTGCCTCCAAAAGACTGGCTCTGGGGTGGCCTTATCGCCCCCAACGGCGTTGCATCTATACTAGAGGAGCAGAACCCCGAGGATCACTTGCGCGTGCGACGAATCTTTGAGCCCGCCTTCTCTGATCGCGCACTAAAGGAACAGGAGCCGCTGTTTATGAAGTATGTGGACCAGTTAGTACAAAACCTGAGGGGCGAACTACGCGAGCAACCAGAGAAGCGTTTTGATATGGTGAGGAACTACAACTGTACGTACTCGACGATGTATTCGAATGTGTTGACTAACTGAGCAAGTTGCCTCATTTGATATCATGGGCGACTTGACGTTTGGAGAGCCATTGCACATGCTGGACGAGTCTAAGTACAACCCTTGGGTGTCTCTCATTTTCGACTCTATCAGAGTCACGTGCAGGTTCAATCTTATAAAACAATACCCATGGCTTTCTCGCATCGTCACAGCCAATCTTCCTGAGAGTGTGCGCAGGACGAGGCAGAAGCACTTTCAGTACAGCGTTGATCGAGTCTCGAAGCGTATCGAACGCGGCAGGACAACTGAGGGCCGTGATTTGTGGGATCATGCACTGAAGCAGAACAAGGATAAGCAGTTGTCCCGCTCGCAAATGGACTCAAACGCGACTGCTTTCATGGTTGCGGGGACCGAAACTACAGCCACGCTACTCTCGGGTGTAACATATCTTCTTCTGAAGAACCCAGCTACATTTGAGAAGCTTAACATTGAGATTCGCGGCGCCTTTGCAGACTCAAGCGATATGTCCATGGAGGCTTTGGCTACACTGCCGTACCTTACTGCCTGCTTAAAGGAAGCGCTGCGTCTCTATCCCCCAATACCAGTTGGTTTGCCACACTTCACGCCTGCAAACGGCTCCACAATCTGCGGGCAATTCGTCCCGCCAAATGTACGTCGGGACATCAAATTCCAGAAAAGGAGACAGGCCGCTTACTCAGCTAGACCATTGTCGGTACCCCACAGTACTCTATGAACAGAGACCCGCAGAATTTTCGAGAGCCGAACGCCTTCGTGCCTGAGCGTTGGCTAGGCGACGACAAGTTCGCAAATGATCGGAGACATGCGATGCAACCATTCTCCGTAGGAACCAGAAACTGCCTGGGCAAGAAGTAGGTGCTGCTTGATTCTTCCAAATCACCCTACAGCCAACACTCGCCTGTCTATGACCATGGCCATGTTCAGGCCCATACTAGTAGCATTTGTTGACTTTACGCAGCATGGCCTACCACGAGATGCGACTCATCCTCTCAAAGGTGGTTTACAATTTCGACATGCTGCTCTGTGCGGAGAGCGAGCAGTGGACAGATCAGAGGGTGTTCACGCTGTGGGAGAAGAGGCCGCTGATGGTGAAGTTGAGGGACACGAGGGCTTGAGTGGACCGATGCTGGAGAAAGGTGATATAGCGGGTATCAGGCTCGCAGGATTGGAGAGGATTGGATGGCGCCGTGGTGGGTCAATGAGATTTTGTGGTGTAGTTGAGTGTCCGCTGTTGCGGTGGAAATGTACTGCTTTGTGCTGGACCGAACGTGGCCTATTCAGGATAGCAACACGGTTCAATTCCCTTCCTAAACCTGAACCCTCTCTCGGAATAGCGATTCGTGCTTAATTAAGGTAACCCCCCCTAAAGGCTAAACTCATTGAATCTCTTGTTCTAATGCAAATCTACGCTATTTCGTATCTCTAGCCAGCTCTACATTATACCTACTACCTACTATACTATATTACCTTCTAATTAGTAATTAAATACAATTTACTAACGTTAGTAAAGTTAGTCTATAACTTGTTGTAGTTGCTATATAAAGACTATATTAATTAGACAATTAATATTTTGATGTGACAGTGCTCAGCTTGATCCCACTAAGCCGCACGGCCTAAAAAGGTACAGTATCCCTATAGATAGGGGTACTGGGAACTGAACAGTATATACCAGTGACATTAGAATACCCTTTAAACCCTTTAGCAAGAAAATAAGTAGAAAATCGAAGACAACTAGCATACTAGCTTATACTACCTCTTTATGTATCTTATAAGAGGCTAAGCTTTTTTCACTGGTATTAAGTTTTAGGTATACTAATTTAGAGTACTAAAATATCTAATTTTGCAAAATTAGCCGAAGTTTCTGCCAAAAATCTGCCGGCCGACTGCAAAGTATATAGGCCCTTGATGTCGAATACCCTACATGTATTTGTTTTGAGTTTCAACAGACGGATAATCAGTCCGTGACTCCCTACCTACCTATGGAGGACGATGATGTATATCCGGTCCACTCTTTAGACGACACTAAGATATTTCGTAGCATTTTGATGACATGGACGATTTTTTTCAACGATTTTTTGGACGCAGACAAGCTTCGGGTCTCGCTATCAAGACTGCTGGATATCGGAGACTGGCGAAAAATTGGCGGTCGTTTGAGGCTGAACGTAAGGGTACCTTAGATGAAACGACCCGTTGAAATTTGTAACTGACGGCTCGATCAAGGCCAAAGGAGCTTTGGAGATTCACGTTCCACGTTCCTTCACGACTGAACGACCTGCGTTCTCCTACAGCTTCAAGAAAGTAGACACAGCTGTCGAAGATCACGCCGTAGCCAAGCAATTTCCTAAGCCCCAAGGACACGTATCAATATGGCCTGGACCTCAGGAGTTCTGCGAGTTGGCTACCTCATCCGATGCGCCAGTAACTCTGGAAGACCTGCTCGTTGAAGATACTCCACAGATGTCGGTCCACATTACAGCATTTACCAACGCTACCTTCGTTGCACTGTCCTGGCCTCATACATTGATGGATGTCATGGGTCAACGAGCTCTGCTCAAAGCCTGGTCCATGGTTTTGGCTGGCCGTGAATCAGAAGTGCCGCCTGTGCTTGGTGCGCGGGACGACATTCTATGTGCACTTATGAATGCTCCTGCTCAGAAGTCAGAAGAACACGTCTTTAAATCAAAACAGCTGGACGGCTTTGCATTGGAAAAGTTCGGGACATCCTTTGAAATGCTTACTGGACCTTCGCCAGAAACACGAACAGTCTGTCTGTCCAAAAGGGCAATGGCCTATCTACGCTCACAGGCACTGGAAGATCTCACCTTTTCGGATGGCGATGGGGAAAAGCCTTTCATGAGCGATGGCGATATTCTGACAGCATGGATAGTACGTGCAGTTGCAACAACTTTGACGCGTCCATGTCCTATGACTGCATTACACACAATGAATGCGCGATTTAGACTACCTTTACTCAAGAACGCAAAAGGAGTTTACCTGCAAAACATGTTGGTATCAGGCTTCACTCTTTTTCCCTCGGATGTTACAAGCGGTCCGATGGGTCCCATCGCCCTACGCAATCGACAGCATCTGATGCAGCAAGCGACCGAACTACAGGTGCTGGGGAGCTTGCGAGAGCAGCGATTGGCAGGAGACAACTCAACACTGATCTACAGTGATGCAGATGCATTGCTATTGCCATTCACCGATTGGACAAAGGCCAAGCTCTTCAGCGTAGCCAATTTCAGTCCTGCTGTTGTCTGCCCTGGAGAGAGCTCTCGGACGAGATGTAACCCATCTGGCACTCCAGTGTCCCATCACGCCTCGGCAAGGCGGCCGAATCCATCAGCAAGACTCTTCGTCTCTATAATGGGCATGGACTATGGGGATAACTATTGGCTCACGTTAACTTTGTCTCCTCTTATTTGGAAGAATATCGAGAAAAGCCTACAAAGTTTGAACCAGTGAGAGTAAGATGCAGGGTCCCTGCACCTACCTGCACGCTGTCTACTACTAAGCAAGGCTTCATAATTTGACTATCGACTTTTGTAGTACGACAGTAGACTTGTTCAACAAGAAGAGATAGTGCGCTCATTTATATAGACCTCTGTGTGCATCCTCCTAAATGCATGAGATGCGAAATTATAGTTGATCAAAGAGATATTTTGCCCAGCTGGCCTGTCGGCCTCTGTCACTCTCTGTACTCTCTGCTCACTATTCACTTCAACATCCAAACTCCCAAACCAAGTATCGCGACGCGTGCTTCCTCAAAGAACGTCCTGTAGAATATGAAACCTGTTCGCTGGCACCTCGCACTATATGCCTCTACTTCTATCAGGTTTGAGATGTGAGTATAATCGGAATATTATACGACGATAGCACAGCGCGAATGAACACTCGGCCTGACGCACGAGTATGCTGCTGGACTGTAGAAACAGTACCAATTATCCAAGATCCCAGTCGCACAGGCAGTTTCGCGTCATACAGCACAACAGTACGGCGACCTCCAGGAACATATGCTGGCGAGGCCAGCAGCAGCATCAGCGGAGGCGCTTTCGAGACTGAAGCGACGCAGTCGAAGCAGCGGCGCGAGTCATGGGCGGCGACAGGTGGGAGTAGTACACGCATTGTTGGGCAGGAGACTCAGAGGGCCCCTAACTATAAGAACTGTGCAGTGTAAATGAGTGTCGCGGCGGCGCGCCCTCCTCCCTCGCGGGTGAGCTTGTCGCGCTGTGTCGTGGAAGGTCAATGTGTGGTACCATGAATATGTATATATTGTTCTCTCTACGCTCACTATCGATATGGTGTTCGACCAAGTACCTAACCTGTCCCGTGAGCACAAGCCATCATGCACGTGACAAGCTGGTTGGGCGGAGGGTTGACAAGATAGGGACGTCCGTGACATGACCGGGTAGATTCAGGCATCCAAGTTGTGCGGGCCGTGGGAGTGCTATAGCGACGCGTCCTCGATCCTCTTGGGGGGCGGAGGGACGAGTGTGGGGCAGGGTGTGGCCATGGCTGAGTCATCTCATGCTCGAAAGTATTCTCGCGAACAATTCGGCAAATTAAGTAGGTAGGTGTGTATCCCGGTGAACCCGGAACAGGTCAAGTCGGAGCTTTGAGACCACACACTAACATAAGCCCGCAACACTTTAGGCTAGATTCTGATTGATCGGTAGGATTAAAGTCAATGTGATTCGGCCATTTTGAACTAAGTGCCGGCAGCTGAACAAGGCACTCATGGTCTAAAGCCCCCTCCCTCAAACATCGTCATTTGGTCTGAGCTTATTTATTTGCTAGAATTCAAACCCCCTACTTACGCCAGTCCTGCGGCATCACCGCTTATGAACATTGCTTAGTTCTAAACATTATGGGTGAAATGATTGCACACAATGACCAAGCAGCTAAAGGTCGATCCTTGATCCAGCGCATCTTCAAGAGCTACGATGCTCAATACGGACAGAGCTCGGCCAGTATCCAAGTTTATGATACTGCATGGGTCGCCATGGTGACGAAGACTGTGGACGGGAAGAAGAAATGGGCATTCCCCGAGTCCTTCGATTACCTTTTGAGAGCCCAACTACCAGACGGGAACTGGTCCTCTCATTCAACATCTCAGACAGTCGGGATCTTGGATACATCAGCTGCACTGTTGGCTCTTCTCCGCCATCTTACAGACCCACTACAGATCGACGATGTGTCTTCAGAAGCAATTCGAAAAGGAGCAGATAGCGCAATCAACTCGTTGCGCTCTCAGCTGGAGCAATGGAACGACGTATTCGATACAAACCACATCGGCGTCGAATTGATTGTTCCGGCACTTCTCGAGTATCTCGAAGCAGAAGGCCTGTTCTTCGAGTTCCAGAGCAAGAAGATGCTTCTACAAATGCATGCAGCCAAGCTGGCTAGGTTCAAGCTCGAATCTGTTTACGGACCTACACCCTCTACAGCCCTGCATTCTTTAGAAGCCTTCATTGGGAAGATTGATTTTGACAAGGTTGCTCATCACATCTTCCGGGGTTCTATGCTTGCTTCTCCGTCTTCAACTGCTGCTTATCTTACGCATGCGTCGTCCTGGGACGATGGAGCAGAGAGATACCTTCGGCACATTATCAAGGAGGGTATGGGACATGGCGATGGCAGTGTTGCTGGAACCTATCCTATCACATACTTTGAGTATAGTTGGGTATGTTCTCTCTCACAACGTCTGAGTTTCGGTATAGCTAACGTCTGGGATCAATCAGACTATTTCCACGTTGTTGAGAAGTGGCTTCACAGTTTCCGACTTGGAATGCCCAGCATTACATGGTATGGCACAGGTGCTCCTTGATGGTTTTAAGGAAGATCGCGGGATCATCGGATTCGGTATGTTTATTGTCCCAATATATTGTGTCTAACTATGTTCTTTTGGCTATTGCTAACCAGCGCAGCACCGCGCGCGGTGGATGTAGATGATACGGCAAAGGGGCTTCTTGCACTAAGACTGCTGGAAAAAACTGAAGGTGTGAGTCCCAAGGTGATGATCAAAGTGTTTGAACGAGCCGACCATTTCACAACTTTCGGCTCTGAGAGAGACCCTAGCTTCACATCTCATTGCCACGTGCTGCTTGCGCTCCTTGCCCAGGAGAATGTAGCAGAATATGCGCCTCAGATTGAGAAGGCAGTGAAGTTTATGTGCAATGCCTGGTGGACCAGCGATTACAGAATCAAGGACAAATGGGTGAGTCTTTTGCCAGATCTTGTTACGTTGCAATTAGTGCTAACAATGCGTCAGCATTTGAGCCATTTGTACCCAACAATGCTGTTAGTTCAGGCCTTTACCGACGTACTTGCTCTGGTAGACCGAGGGGAGCTATTGTTTCTCAACGAGAACCTGAGGTGGCAGATTTCCATCTCTCTATTCCAAGCTTGTCATAGGACCTTACTAGAGCAACGTCAGGACGGCTCTTGGAGCGAGATGCCAGAGCAAACGGCATATGCGATCTTGGCACTGGCTGAAGCCCGCCGCGTCTGCTTCTTCTCGAGTATTCTGCCCGCCTTGCAAGCTTCCATCGACCGTGCGATTACTTTCTTGAAAGACTCGCCTGATCACTGGGCGGTGGACCACAACTGGACCTCCAAGACAGCCTACAATGTCCGTTTCGTAGCCGAGGCGTATATATTGGCAGCTACAAACATGTCTTCGACAGTCGGAGAAGTTGCGTCCATCGGCACTAGCCTGGGGCTTGGGATATCCACTGGCGAACTCGATGCATACCAGAAACTTGTTTCCAAAACACCGCTATTTGCTAGTCTTCCAGATTGGGAAGTCCGGACCTCGCTTATTGAGTCAGCTCTTTTCGTACCGTTGCTAAAAGCACGACGGCTTGATGTCTTTCCAAGGGACAAGGTACCAATAACAAAGGACACGTACTTCACCATAATCCCATTCACTTGGGTCGGCTGCAACAACCGTTCGCGCACATTTGCATCGGCCTTGTACTTGTACGAGATGATGCATATCTCCCTGTTGGGTTTCCAAACCGATGAGTTTGTCGAAGTCGTTCTTGCTCCAGCCTTTGAGGACGACATATCCGGCTTGCATGACCTTATCGATCGGGTCATTGATAATATCGCGGAGACCAGCCAGCATAAGAACGGCGTTACGAAAACAAACGGCCGTGTGGGTGAGAATGGAATTCATGAAACCGATGGTTCAACAACGGAAAAAGAAGATATCGTCATTTTGCTATCTCGCTTTGCGGAGCATGTTCTTCACCACCCTTCTGTACTAGAAGCGAGTCGCTGGGACCGTGAAAACTTACGCAGCGAGTTGAAGACCTTTCTTCACGCGCACACCACTCAAGTGGGTGATAATAAGCGATTCGCAGCCCAGCTTTCCGGTAATGCGGACGAGGATGACACGTACAACTCGCCAGGCCGGAGTTTCTTTCAGTGGCTACACTCTACTGCAGCCGACCATGTCGCTTGTGCGTACTCTCTCGCATTTTCAACTTGCCTAATTTCAGCGTCCCTGGGTAAAGGCGATCAAGTGTTTGACACAGTGATGCAGAAACACCTAGCTGCTGTTGTGTCTCGCCATGCATCGGTATTAAACCGGTTGTACAACGACTACGGCTCCTTGGGGCGCGATACAACCGAGCGGAATGTTAACTCCATGCATTTCCCAGAATTTGCTACCTACAAGGGAGAAGCTGCCAAGAAACAAGCCCTGGTCGCGCTGGCTGAGCTCGAGTCCAGAGGGCTGGAAGAGGCCCTGAGACGATTGGAGTACGAGGTAGGCTGGACCGAACCCGACAACCTCCCCAGAGCGTTTGACCAGCGCAAGGTGGATATTCTCAAGTTCTTTTGTAATGTTGCTGGCTTTTATGACCAGCTGTATATGGTTCGTGACCTCTCGAGCGCCAAGGTGCGGGCTACCTAAGTAGTGAGTAATGGGCCCTAGAAAGGGAATAGTCGGAATCAAGCGACCAATATATCTTTCTCTCGTAGTCTAGTCTAATATAACACATCGTATCTACAACAGGATTTGTATTCGCCTCACCGGTTACGATGTGTCACCTGTGGTCGTGTTGTTCTTGCATCACAAACCTCACAATCTCCGCCCTTTCCGTCCGAAGAACACTTGTATCGGGGATGTGAATGCAATTCGTTGCCGAGGTATGAAAAAAATCGGAACAACTAAAAGAGGCTGTTTGCAAGCATATATTCTTGAGATCACGGTTTCATTTTGAGGCGGCTTGATGAATCGGTCAACTAACGTGAATCGGAAGCTATCGTGAATGGTACTCTCGACACATTTTCCACACCTACAGACAATGGAAGGAGCTCGAGCACCTCCTAGCTTGTTGAGGCGTCCTTAGGGTGTTTTGCAGCATCTTCGGGGCAAGGGAAACCACCCGAGATAAGTGGGCTGTGCAACTTCTATATTCGCCGAATTCATTATAGGTATGCGTACAGGGGAAAGCCGAACATAATAGACTTTCAGTTTCTAGTATCGATTAGAGGCATTGATCCGACAAAGGTGAGCTCATGTTAAACGGAACGGTACGCAGTTAGTATATGAATGCTAAGTCAAGGTCTCCGTTCCATACAACGAGAAGTAACACCTCCATTCTCACCCTATTCTATTTAAATCTGGTCCTAGTTCCATCGAAACCTCGAAATATTGGCTGTCCCAGGACTGATACATCCACCACATTTCATCTACAATCACGGCTTCAAGAAAACATGCCCAACTACACAATAACACTGCCTATTCCCGACCAGGAAATGCCACTGGCGTTGACCACCATGTGGATGGTCTTCAAGGTCGAGGATACAGATGAAGCTGCTAGTGCTCTAAAAGCAGGACTAAAGAAGACTGCTACTCAGATGCCTTTTCTGTCTGGTGTCCTATGGGAGGATGCCGATGATGATTACAGGACTAAAATTTCCTGGTCCGACAATGATCCATCTATTCCCTGTGATAAGCTTCAAGGCGATGATCTACCTGGCTACGATGAGCTTGATACCATGGGAATGCCGCTCCACGAGTTTAAACAGCACGACTTCTACGGCCCAAAGCTGATGTCTACCATGATGAGAGCATCCAAAAAGCCGGCCTTGTATGTGTCCTACACAGAGATCAAGAGCGGTCTAATCGTCATGCTGGCAGCGCATCATGGCCTCGTAGATGGGGTCGGGCGTGAAAATATCCTCAAAATCCTTGCACTGAATGTTCGGGGTCTGTCCACAACGGAATGTGGAATCAACCCTACGGAACCTCTTGACGGAGGGTCATTGCTCGATGCGATCAAGGCAATGGCTTTGCCTGACACCGAAAAGGAAATCTCTATTTCATCAGTAGCAGATGCAGCTCGTGTCGAAGTCAATGACAGTGTACATGGGTTGAGCGCGAATATCAGGAGTGTTCTCATGAGATGGTCTGTCCGGAAGCTTGAAGAGCTGCGCAGCGAACTGCGCCAACATACAGACTTCCCGTTCACGCTGAGTACAATGGTGACGGCCTTGTTATGGGTATTGACTCTCACTGCACGTCTTCATACTACCCAAACTGGCGGGCCATCGGCGCATTGTCTAAAAGACGAGTGTTCTGACCTTTACATGGCCTGTAACATGCGTGGTTTTCTTAAGAAGGCTGGTTATCTGGACAAGACGAATCAGATCCGTAATCTTATATCATTTCTGGAGCCACACCCGAGAATTGCCTACGATTCCGTCTTATCCAACCAGAAGATTAGCTTAAAGCTATCAGGACATGCCGTTGAGTGTCCTGCTATACTACCTTGTGTCGTCGATGACATCACCCGGGCCCTTTCAAACATGAATGCAGATGCTGCAATCGTTCGGTGGACAAAACACTACCCTGAGTCTGGCTTTGACTATCGCCAGCTTCGCGACCTTAGCTTTCTTTTCAAAGGGACGAACTTTGATGTGGCAAATTGGAGTTCACTCGATCTGCTTCCTAACTTTGGTCCAGTCATGGGGCATCGTCCTGCTTATATCCGTCTTATGCCAGCAAGAGTAGATGGGCTCGCGTTTATTCTTCCCAGACATCGAGATGCCATATGCGGTCCTGAGCACATGGATCGTTTTGATGTCATGATGAACTTGAAGGATGTAGACAGTAGGTCATTGCCCTTTACTCCTTCTCGCCCCATCCTTGAACTTTGCAGGACGCATTGGATTGTATGATTTACATGCGCTTCAAAAGCTTCACTTCTATCCTCTAAACCTTTCTGCAACATTTCACTGACTTATAATAGTGGATGAGATCGTACAAAACTCGATAGTGAAGGCAGTGACTGCGTAGTTAGCAATTTTGATTAGAGTATTGTTATCATCAAGCGAGTCAGCCTACAATTAGGTAATATATCATGTGGACCACTAGTTCTATATACTTTAAGACGGTATGTGCATTAGATGTATAGAAACTTCTATACATCCTGCAACCCTGTCAGTCTATTAAGCTTTTACTGCTCTAAGGCAGCTGCATGCTGGTTGCTCGGCCTCTAGAGCTCCGATAGGAAATTGTCGCGGAACGCTATACCGAAATAGTCGGCGAACCTGCGCCGCATTAATGATCTCGGCACCATAGGGTTATCCAAGGCGCTAGCAGTAGGTAGAAGAATATCACTTCTAAGCTAACTATCCGCTATAGATAAAAGATTAGTGATACTTCGAGGTATTTACCAATGATTTCCAAGCGTCAGTTGGTGACAACGACTTTCCGCCGAATTGGAACCAGTAGAGATTGCAAAGTTTGCGGCCCTACTACCTTGCTCTTTCAAACCTACTATAGCCGATTTCATAGCCCACTAGAAACGTGGCCATGCCCAATAGGTAAGTGGCATGTTTCGACGATACATAAAACGAAACAGCGAGCTGGCCACGGTGAAGATCTTGTAGTGTTATCCGTGTGGAGGCTGTCTTGGCGAATGCAATGCTTTCTGTATGAGTCGTGCAAGCTGCAGTTCTATAGACCAGAATTTCTCGGATATCATCTAATCGTCAACACATCATAATACCCAAATAGTGGAAGTTCAGGTATCTGACTCAGAGACGCCAAGTCCACTTGCTACTCACCGCATGTTGCAAGTTCCGTCAGGAAGTCCATGGGAGTACCCCTGTTTTTCGCTTTTAGTATTACTAAGGTGCAAAATTGTGTCAAAAACACCACAACGTGGTGTTACCAACCTATCTAAAACACAGTTTTGTTGATATTTCAGTCTATATTTGATCTCAGCGATTTCGATACATCTACTTTATATTCTTCTAGACCTTTAGTCGTATTCGACTCCCCACTGCAGCCCTTCAATTATCAGTATGAGCATCTCATCATCAGCATCAGAGAAGCGCCTAAGGTCTGCATGTGACCGCTGCCGCTCCCAAAAACTGAGATGCCCACATTCGGTCAGATTCGATGACGACGAGAGGCTGTGTAGCAGACCGTGTGCTCGGTGCGTTAGAGCTGGTGCTTTGTGCATTTTCAGCGAACGGTGTAAGAGCGGTCGTCCAACCAAAGCATCCGTCAATGCGGCAAGACAACGAGCATCCCAGACAGTCGATGGATCCATTCTTGGCGATGGTCCGCCTACAGAAAACCTCGAGCCACAGTTCACTGAGGAAGACCTGGCACAATTTGAGCTCGACATCACGATGTTGGATGCTATGTCGCAGACCAATACAGACAGTCGTGCCTCATCCACTAATACAGACTACTCATCGCTTGTAAGCACTACCAGGACGACCCCTCTGGAATATAGCGCCATGAATACAGAGCCTCTGTTATTTCATCACGACCAAGAAAATGAGATGGGAATGGCTATGTGGCCATCGCTTCCAGAAGTAAGTAGACTGTTCCACCTGACGTGCGAATTTGCAATAGAAACTTGATAACAAAGATCATTACTTAAGGTTGATCCTGGCTAAGAGCTGACGTAAGCCGCGCGCTTTTCCTTGACAAAAGGAGAAAGATAACTGCTGTCATCACGAATTAGTGGCAATCACGTCACATATTACATCAGGGCTGACCCGGTTTTAGACACCCAAATCTGGAACAGTTCCACAGCGATTGGAGAACCTCAACATCTTGTCGCTAGGGTCCTCAAGGGTGCTAGCAGATGGTTCTAGTTTCTCTGATAAAAGAGAAATTGTGTCATCTCAATCTTTCCACTCGACTTACTTCCCAAAACTCTCCGAACTTGGACTGAAGATTTTTTTCTCTTCAAGGAGATACCAGTCGACTGTTGCCGCCAATCAAGACCAGACTACATACACAAGCCAGGTCGTGGAGGATCTAGTCAATCTTTCAGGAGAACTGATAAACCTGCTACGTCAGTGTCTGCCTTCTCTAGTACTATTCAGTGGGTGTTTAGGCGAGATCTCCTCGTCCATTCGTTCTCGTAGAGATTCGAACGAACAACAGAAGGATACAGGTAACTCGGCAGCATTCTCTAAAGATTGACCGTACATTGACTGACCTTCTCTTATAGTAACACAATCCAGCTCAAGCATCCAATCATCTGGTGTATTGTTCCTCTTACTCGGATGCTACACACAAATACTGGACTTCTTCGATGCAGTCTTGAGGGATCTAGCCCGGAAACCACCTGCTGATCAAAATGAGATGTTGACACGAACCAAACAGTCATTAAATGCCTCTTTGATCAAGCACACGATTGATTATTTCTTTTCTCAAATCTGTAAAGATCTCTCTGCTTGCGATCAGGCCCAATCTGGCGCAATACAACTTGAGCTTGTGCAAGACAAGAGTGACTGTACGAAGCCTTTTGGGTTAGGTAGTTGGAGGAACATCTTCCTCTCCGAAAAGCCCGTCGACAAAAGTCTCTTAGGTCATGCATTTGACGAGATCCAACAGCGGGAAAGGGCTCTCCATGAAAGAACAAGAAAGCTTCAACGTTTGATTGACAATCATCAGTAGACTTAGAAGGCGTCTTTAGCCCTTAGCCTTATCCTGTAATAGAACAGCCTGTAAATTAACACGACTATAAAAACCACTGTTGTTATAAAGCAACAATATTAGCATTTAGAAGTGAACATTTTGATTATAAGACGGTATGACCTGATTCGTGATTCTGTGAACCCGAACCTCTAGGGCTGAGCACAGACTGGTGACAACAGTGAAACTATCCGAATGTTCCGAAGCACCTGGTGCCACTGATATTTTGAACCGAAAGAGCACATTAATCGTTGGTATTCGGAAAATTGTAGAGACCTATGCATTGCTTGGGATCCTAACCGCATCAAAACAAGCAAAAGGATATGACACAGATAAGTGGCCGAAACTGATGATGTGGATAATGTGCGGATATTAACTTATATGCGGGCTTGGTCCTAGCATGGCTAAAGACGAGTTCCTGTGTGTTCATGGTACATTGCACAGCTTCGCGAGCCTTTTGATTACCCACTCCAGCTCTCTTACAGTCTGTACCAATCATGGATAACATATCTGTGGTTGTCCCTCAATGGGTACCGATCGAGCAACATTATTTCAGCTTTGACAAGCGGTCGTTGATAGCTGCTGCTTTTGCTGGATTATTGGGCTTCGTGTACTTAGTAAGCTTCTTGAACGAGGTCATCTTCGGATTCAGGGCTCCTATTGCTGGACAAAGAAGCAAGTTTGAGCCAGCATGGCTGTTGCGAATGAGGTTCATCCGAGGAAGCCGCACAATTCTTAGCGACGGATACAACAAGGTAAGCTAGCACTCTTCAATTGCTCGCAAGCAACATCTTGGACGTTTAAGACTCACGCAGGTTATAGTTTAGGAACACTGTATTCAAAATTCGCCGTATTGGGGCCGATGTGGTCATCATCCCCAGCAAGTATGTCGATGAGATTCGGACTTTGACTGGAGATAAGACGAGAGGTGTCGAGCCATTCATCAAGGATTTTTGCGGCGAAATCACCAACGGCATGTGCTTTCTCAACAGTGACTTACAGAATCGCGTCGTCCAGCAGAGGCTGACCCCCATTTTGGGTACACTGGCCCCAGTCATGAAAAACGAATTGGACTTTGCCCTGCTCAAAGAGATGCCAGGCTGCAGTGGTGAGTCTTACCCTATATTCACATGCGATTTTGTCGTGAGTCAATTCTCTGATAAGATATGAATCGAACAGAGACATGGACCGAAACCAACATAAATGCAATCTTAGCTGCAATTCTCTCCCGCATTTCGGCCCGCGTGTTTCTCGGTCCCGAAGAATGCAGGAATGAGGAGTGGCTGACAGCCACTGCGGAGTATACAGACCGGGTGTTTAAGACCGGAATGATATTGCGAATATTTCCGAAGCCAATTCGACCTCTCGTCGCGCCCTTCATCCCAATGTACTGGGGCTTGCTCAAAAATGTCGTCACCGCTCGCCGTGTTATCACCAAGATCGTGGAGTCTAGGCGGTCTGCTGAGAAAGAGAGCAATGGAAACTATGAAAAGCCAAAAGACATCTTGCAGGGCATGCTTGATGGGGCTGAGGGAGAAGAAATGTCATTGGCGAATCTTTCACAACGCATGCTTATCCTGAGCCTGGCATCAATTCACACCACCGCACTGACCATGACTCAAACACTCTACGATCTCTGTAAGCATCCGGAGTATTTCGAGCCCATCAGAAAGGAGCTAGTGACGGTTCTCCGTGAAGATGGTGGATGGGGAAAGACAACTTTGAACAAGCTCTGGAAACTGGACAGTCTGATCAAGGAGTCACAGCGTTTCAGCCCCGTATTCATGCGTAAGACTTCCGCTGCTTCCCACACCACCCATAATAACATTCTGGCTCACTCTGACATTTCACTAGTGACATTTCAACGCATCTTCCATCAATCAATTACCCTCTCCGACGGAACTCATTTCCCATCCGGAACACGCATTGCCGTCCCCACTCATTGGATGCTAAATGACTCTACCTATGTGCCTGGAGACGCCGATCCTGCCACCTTTGACCCTTTCCGCTACTCACGCATTCGCGAAGATCCAGCACATCCAGAGAACGCCCAGCGCCATATGCTTGCAATGACGGAGCCTAGCAACATGGCTTTTGGTTATGGTCGGTATGCCTGCCCTGGTCGATTTTACGCTGTGAACGAGATGAAAATGATCTTGGGCCATCTTCTTTTGCGCTACGATTTCAAGTTCATGGAGGGTTGCAGTAGACCTAAGAACTTTACATTCGACAGCGACTTGTATCCGGACCGGTCTGCTCGACTCTTGGTCCGAGAGCGACCCAAGATTGAGGATGGGATAAAAGAGTTGTTGGGAAGAACCACGGTCAAAGACTGAGACCTCGATGGTAAACTATTCTCGCACATTGTGTTGTTGTACATTGTGCAACCCCGTCTTTCAGTCAATTCAATGTCAAGAGAGGCCTCAGTTAGTGCCGTTCAAGTGTAGTGATGAACAGGGAATTACCAAACCTCTTCATCACCCAACTACGTCACAAAAGGTGTAGCACAAGGATATATGGCTGGTGCAGAAGCAGTCACACTGTAGACTGACACAAGTACGCCTAGATTTGTAGAACACCTAGTTTTCAGAAACAATACAATCGCTCCAACCCCAAGAGTAGACCCAAAGCCCCGAGTGATTAACACAGGACTCCTACACAGACTTCAGAAGATTTAGCCAATAATCGTCATAGCTCTCCGAAAGCTTCTCTGCTGATTGGTCACGATTAGAGCTCTTGGTAATTGGGATCAGAGAAGTTTATACTTTACCTTTTTACAAACAATAGAACCTAACTTCGCTATTTATCGCCAAGTCAATAAGCGCGCAAATGCACTTTTAGCTACTACTCCGATTGTTTCTGCAAGGAACAAATAAAACTCATGGCTTAGGCATTGTACTAGAATTTCTAACCTGTTATCACAGCGTAACTAAGCCTAGTATCGTTTCGAGATGTAGTCTTTACACTTGTGTTCAGAATTAAAACAATGGGCATATAAGGAGCAGTAATTAGACTACACTTTCTTAAAGCAGTCACAAGTAGGGGATCATATGACTTGTGAATTAGATCTCAAAATTTCCGTATCAAGGCTTACCTCCTCTTTAATGATCCTACAATATTCCGCTTCTTCTAGCAAGTTGAGAGAAAGGGGCATCTTTCAAGTAACTTGGAGACACACCTGAGGTATAGGCTTTATCACCGGTTGCTAACCCGGTGATCATCTGAGGCGGATACTTGTACCAATCTTCTGAAAGCTGGCATTGGATAACAAATTCAATGATTAGATGCAGGTTATCTTCCGGAATCCCGTATACATCCATCCAAGCACGGACAGGTTTTGGCACAGGATTTTCAGCCAGGACGCCGACGTCTGCAATCATTCCCAGGTCCAGACTAGTTGCCTTTCGGCCTGCTCTGTGCCGAGCCCAAGCAACTTCATCCTGGTAAGCGCAAGCCGATGCGTAGTTTGCCTGGCCTCGGACGCCAAATATGCCAAAACAGGAGCTGAGTATGATGAAGAAATCGAGGGCTTTTGGTAGTAATTCATCAAGATTCCTTGTGCCTGAAACCTTGGGGTTCAGGGATTCTCTCCATTGTTGGAATGTCATTTTCTTCCAGAGAACATCTCTCAGAACCATGCCAGCATGTATCACTCCTGCCAATGGTGGCATTCTTTCATGACACAGCTCCAACGCACTCTTGCAAGATTGCAGGTCTCCAATATCTGCAGGGATGACTTGAATTGAGACCCCCTGACTCTCCAACTCAGTGACAAGAGCGGTGGCACCTGGAGAGCATACACCCGACCGGGATAAGAAGCAAAGATTTCGAGCGCCACGAGCCACCAGAAGCCTCGAGAGACTCCGTCCAACACCTCCGAGGCCACCGGCTAGAAGGTAGGTTCGATCATGGCTAAGTTCGACATGTCGACTCGTGTTAGTCATGGCCTCGTTAAGAGCCGTATCCTCGTAAATGCGTGGAACTCTGATAGCACCATCTTGAATAGTAAACTCTGCATCGCTTGTTTTCGAATTGACTAGGCTGGCTATGGTCCGCGCTGTTTCGATGTACGTTGCTGGAAGAGGGCTTTCTGTCGCGACAGTCACGAATCGCAGTCCGGGAACTTCGTTACGAATCACGCGAGAGAATCCCCGAATAAGGCCAGTCTCTGCATGGTTGGAAGGACAGGCCCAAACAATCTCGGATGCTGTTAGGACCACTTGCTTCAGGAGATGGAACCCGTGCTCGTCGAGGTCTGCCAGCAAGGGCGCTGAATAATCAAGCAAGAACACACATTGCTTGCCCTCGATATCCATCATATCGAAGTCTGAGTCCCACTCAATCTTTTTTGTTTTAAAGGATCGATCTTGAAGCTGACAGGCCAATGCATCGGCGAACTGGGCCAACTGTGCTGTCTTTCTTGGGCTCTCAAAGATGAAGACATCCAAATTATGGCCATCCTGGTTGATCTTACCGGCGCTAGATAGGGCTTCTGATGTTTCGTGAGCAGTAAGTCCTTGATGAACAATGCGACTTTGTCTGTCTTCGCTGTCCGTAAGAGACAGACATGGTTCCCATATGGTTTTGAAGAATGTTTTTTCCGAGTGTTCGTCGACCAGTGATTTGTTCCCGTTCATTGCGATTTGTATAAAGGGGTCTGGGCTTGGTCGAGTTGTCATTGTCCTGTGCAAGCTTCGTGGGACTCACAATGAAGTCGGTGCCTAAATCTTATTGTATGTCTGTTGCATCAGTAAAAATAGCCGAAAGAAGCCGCAATAAAATGACCCGACTGCCTGCAGATTCGGGCTTGGTCCTGGATTAATGAACCGAATTAAAACCGACACAGAAGAGCAATAGAAAATTGAGAGGTTCGCATTCATCATCGTTGTGCCCGTTCAGCATACTGGGCGTCATCTATCAATTCACGTCCCTGTAGATCATGGAGCGCTTCCTCGGCTATCCTACCCCTTTACGAGCCTATGGATACTTTGCTGCCGTACAAGTCCTCAGCACGGCTACTCTAGGCTTCACAAGAGCTGATTCTGCTCGATCACGGATATTCCTCTCTATCATCATTCTTTTACTGAATTTTTTAGGAGACAGGACAATTCAGGCCGCGTCTGATGATCTTTCCGTAAGATTGTTCTTCTCGGGCAGTTGCTGGATACACGCACTTCACATCACATCATTGCTTGTTCAGTCAAGACTGGAGTACACAATAGACGGTGACAAAGTAATCAAGAACAAGTCTGGTGCACCAGAATCAATCTTTGTCTCTCGAGAGCCGTCTGGCGACGGTAAATTCTTGAGTCGTCTGAAATGGTCTCTTGCTATGCAATGGAACTTTCGGCGCATCAAGACCTCCAAGCCCAGCAAGAACATTCCACCATTTTCCTATACGAATCCACAATATGTGCCTTCAAGAATGAGATTTTGCATCTCTCGGATGTTTTCCATCATTTTATCGGTGGGATACCTGGCCTTGGTTGATCCACACCTACAACCAAAGTTCGAAGATCTGGCTCCAAGCAGGGTCATACTCTTCTCTCGCCTCAAGGAAATAACACTTTTGGAGGTTGTCAGGCGGGTCATGGCAACGATATCATGGCTTGGGTGTGTCTTTGCCTCCAACGAAATATCGTATGGCGCTTTGGCTATAATTTTTAACATCTTAGGACTGAGCGAGCCAGTCATGTGGCCATCCTCGTTTGGTCCTCTGAGGCAGTCGTATAGTCTCCGGAACTGGTGGGGGTAAGTGGGCGAGTCCTTTCGAGCTGAAGGGAATCAAGTTTAACTTTTATGCAGGGTTACGTGGCATCAAACATGGCGGTCTTTCTTATCTGATCATGCCGACCTGGTCCTGTTTCGGATCATGCGTCTTCGCAAGTCCACCTTCTCGTTTTACGCCAAGCTATTTCTCGCGTATTTTATCTCGGGGCTTCTTCACCTGCCTCCGGACATGGCCGCCGGAGTACCCTTATACGAGAGCGGCGCGATGGGTTTCCTTCTCGTTCAAGTTGCTGGATTGATATTCGAAGAAACCATGCAGAAATTAAACAAGAAGATGGGCCTGATTACGAACTCACTCATGGTAAAGACGATTGGATATATTTGGGTGGCCTTCTGGCTGACATGGACGTTGCCATGGCTTGCTTTTCCTCGTACAAGGTATAGGCCACTTAACTTCATGCTTGAGCCCCCTGATGGCCATCTATGATACTTCTATAGGGTAGATTGCGAGAGAAGTTGATGCTGAAACAAAATGTAATGAAGGATCTTGTACTTAGAGGCAATCGCAAGGACACAGCTAGTCACATCAGCAAGTATATTTTAGTTTCGTACAAGCGATTATCGGGCTATTTGATTCCCACTCGATCATTGATGATCCAATTTCCCCATGGATTTTACTATAATCTCAGTCTCTACGCCTGGGAGAATCACCGCGAGACTCCGCTCCCGCAATATGTGCCGAAATTTTACGCTCTATACAAGACTTAGAACGGACAACATAAACGGAGCGTTGATATGACCATTGAAGCACCTGTAAGCACAGTTCAACTCTCACAGACTTCAACGTTCCCTTCGAAATTTACAGATGGAGTTGACCACATTTACTATCTGCCGAACGGCGAACTCTCTCCCAATAAAGCTGTAAGGGAGTATCCAAAGTAGTATAACATTAACCAAGCTTTATGGCACACTGCACGATATACCGCGTTGTTCAGATACGCGGGGAAGCCTTTTAGCTACAAATCGTTGGAAGCTAACTCTTAGACTTGTGCCATTCTCTCCACAGTCATGTTCTTGTTCTGATGACCCCCGATTTGTAATGATACACCCGATTTATCAGTCAGATCGGTTTCATTAGATGCTACAGCGTCTGCCTTCCAATCTATTTGTACAAACGTCAGTAACGCCGTGATGGCTCGTTTTGCATTGCTAAATAGTGAACTTACCTTTCATCTTCCGTGCCGGTACTCGGGCATCCCACATTACCTCCGCTACCTCCAGGGATCTTTGATGCAGCTCAGGCATAAATAAATAAGCCCATATCGCAGCGATGGATGCTATAGAGCCAAAGATCAGGCCGATCTTTGATTGTAGATTTGCATACGGAGCATTCATGAGGTACGGCAAACTGAAGGCGACGATGAAGTCAAAGACAATACGCGTGGTTGTTGACAAAGTGTTGCTTTTGTCGCGCAGCCTCAAGTGTGGCACCTCGGCAGCGATCACTGCACCCCTTGAACAATTAGTTTTTCGAAATTTGAGGTGAAGCCTATGATGTTGGGGGGGCCTGGGGAGCGAAAATGAATAATGCATGACTTACAAGGCTCCAAAGGCACCAGAATAACACGGCCCCCAGAGAACAGTTGCCGCAATGATGCCCTTCTTTTTCGATGTGGTTATGTGACCTATTCCCAAGCCACCAATGGCAAACATCAAGGCGGATGCTATCGAAGAACCGGCAAGATAGACCGGCCTACGACCAAATGCGTCAATTGTAGCAAATGCCACAATTGGACCAATCATCATAGCAACTCTCAGAAGGACTGTCCAGGAGAACGGGTTGAATGTTCCCAAGCTCATGACAAAAAGTGTCCCATACTGTGTGACAAAGGCACCACCCGTGAATTGACTAAAGACAGAAATGGCAAGGGCGATGCCAGTTCTTCGCTAATTGTTGTAAGCCGTCAGCATATGGACAGATCTCAGAGCTGCAGTGATTTCTTCTTACCAGGTTGGTTCCCTTGAATAGGTCAAACCACGATCCAGTGGTGACACTATCGGCCTCAATTGAAGCTGCTAATCTTGCAGTTTCCTCATCTGCATCGAATCCTTTTACTGAGCCGTGGATATGCAACAGGCTTTTGGTCGCTTCCTTGTTGCGATTCTGCCGGACCAGCCAGCGAGGGCTCTCTGGGATGAAAAAGGACAATGTCAAGCAGAGACCAGGAAAGAGCCACATAACGCCAACCGGAATCTGCCATGAGCGATTATCGTGAAGCTTGGATGTTCCGAGAGTGATGAAAGAGCAGATCAGAGACCCGAGAGTGTGACTAATTACGTAAAGAATAACCGAGGCGCCGCGGATAGGTGCTGGAGACAACTCAGCCAAGAGCATAGGAATCAACCAGTTCTCGACGCCTGCGTACAACTGCACAATGATGCGTCCAGCAAGGGCTTGGCCAAATGTAGTGGCAGAGTATGTCACTGCAACACCTGCTACGACAATAAATTGCATACCGATAAAGCATGGCTTGCGGCCGAGATTCTCGCCAACGAAGTAGCCCAGAAGAGTACCGATAACCTTGGCCGGATGCCCTAGCGAGTTGAGAAATGACAGTTGTCTGGCGGTAAAGCCCCATTGTTGGGTTTCCTTGTCATATCTCCCAAACATCTTTGCATATGCTGTCAAATCGGAGGGGTATGATTAGTTCAACTGAACCACATCAAACCATTGGATTATGTGAATGGGATTGGGAACTTACGAGGCATGGCCTGAATGGTTGAGTAAACAGTGTCATCGAAACCGAAGCTGAATACAGAAAGATTCAGAACCAGGTAGATTAGAAGCAATTTTGGCGTGAAGTTTCCCCTCAGGGCCCCAAGGTCTTTGAGGCTTGGCATCGTGACACAGATCCTGCTCAATCAATGGTCTTTTGCTTTGCACGAAATACCGGCGACTGGTTCAGGCCAGGACTTTTATAAGAAAACAAAATGATTCGAGGTAATCATCATTAGGGAAGCTGCAGTGCACATTTCACCATTCCTTGCGATCTTCGTGTTATGACTGAGCGGGTCTTAGGGGACACTGTCGGGGTGATTCAGTCTTTTGCACCGAATTGATTCGCTTTCTCCCGACATGTGGGCCAAAACTCTGCGATGAAGTGAGAGATGATCATGAGTTCGGTCTTATACTTCTCGGCCTCATGTACGTTTCAGCCACGTTCCCTTTTCCAGCCGCACATACTTCTCCAGCCACACAGTAAAGAGTCGCAATCCTGGTCAACAACAGCGAACATATTTGCCACTGGGTATACACAGCATTTGAGAGTAAGTCTTATAATTCCACATCCACCGCTCGGTTAAAAGTAGCCTTAATATTCTCAACATTGCTAAGGCGCTCACAAAAGAAATTGAAACCCCATTTCCTACGCGTGTAGCTACAATGTTCCATGTTTACAATCAGACTTAATGACTCTCAGCCTTAAGCTGAGCTTCGCTCGTATAGACTCCTGGAATAGCCTTGTCTGCCTTACTTAGCAAAGTTCTGGTGCTTCTCGGAGGAGATCCTGATCACTACTGCTGTGGATAGGCTTCAAACATCCATTTCAGTCATCTTCAAGGGTACGTATCTACAGGCGACGTACTTCCGAGCATAAAATACACCTGGATGACTCTATACAACGTCAGAGAGTGCGTGGATATTTAACTTGATTGCATAAATATATTCACGATAATTGGCTTCCACATGCCAATTGATTTGATATAGATCAGTAAGATCAACAAACCCCACCTTATATACCTTGCATATTGCACATTTCACCTTCTCCAGCCACTAGACATCTTCGTACTTAAAAGCAGGTACTGTAACGAGATTCAGTCTTTCTCCACTGTTGATGACGTAGCACCATCAGGAAGGACACATCAGCACTCTGCTGTGTCACAGATCAAAGCAGGAGGAGAAGACACGTTGAATCCAGTACTACGGGCTGACTTGAGGGCTTTTAGTCATTACCAATACAAAACTAACCCTGTACTGTCATAGCCATGAGTAGATAGCTGGCCAATTACTCTCTTACAAACCATTCGAGCCCCAGCTACCTGAAAACAATATATAATACACCTCACAGTCCACAGTCGTTGTATAAGGCTTAAACGACGGCTAAGACGGTCTCAGTAATTGATACCCACGTCTCGAGATTTGACATAAGCCATCTTTTTGGAAGAGGTAGCAACTACCTTCAATTTGGAACATACCCTTACTGCAATTTGAGTTTCATTTACATGCCATTTATCTTCTAACTCTACGGCTAGATCTATTCGAGTACGTTCAAACAGCTTGGAAGATGGTCGGATAGTCTCATGACTAGCCGCCGTAGTCTGTGTGCTTTCGATTCTTGAGTCGACTATAGATGCGACTCGTGAATTGCAGGCGATAGTATGAGGTATCTATAGTTGCTTGAAAGGCTCACGGTCACCGTTACTGCAGAGGAGCCAGGTGGGTATATGTCGTAGGTGTGGACAGGAGGAATATTGTGCGCGCAAGTCCTCATCAGGTATCTGGTCCATTACAAAGGTCTCTTATCCTGTATCTGATCCCTGATACTGTTGATTCCCTATCGTATGTGGTGAGTGGCATTTCGTACGCTCTTAGAGCGATGGCCGGGGGAGTCCATACGCTTGTGCAGCCTGTTGCTGGCTGTCGGGAACAATGGTCTAATTGTACCCTAGTTGAATGACTCGTGCAGAAATATTTGCGTACTTGGTTGTCGTGGGCGGAAATAGGCATTCATCCGCGGGTCTCAGCTGCAAGTAACGTGTCACATCCAGATGCATCCAGGACGAGATTTGCCCAAGCTTATGTAGGCCTTTAGCCAATCATCTAACGTCTTTGGCAATCCTAAAGAGCTTTTTACTTTGTTCATTCAAGCACTATATGGCTATCTTACAACTCTTGTCATGGTTTAAACCTGTCGTTGGATGGGCGTGATTTGTATCATCAGTGGCCCTTTTGCCCACGCCAGCATTGCCCGTTGACGATGCATCCATCTGCGGCTTTCGGGCATTAGCTCGAGATCGAATTCGAATATTAGCCGTGCAAGAATCGTTCTAATCTCCATATTGGCAAGACTTCAAATTCAGTTAACAACCATTGTGCCTTCAAGGATCAAGGCTATAGCCCTTTGGTGACAGTCACTTACTTTTGCCCAATGCAATCTCGAGGGCCATAATTGAACGGCTTAAAACAGCCAGGTTGGTCTGCCTCATTAGTAGTTCCTTCTAACCACCTCTCTGGCTTGAAGTCGTCGGGGTCTGTGAAGTTATCCCGTGATCGGTACGTTGCATAGTGATGAATTGCAACAGCGGACTAAGCACATGTTCTATCAGTCATGTGGCACCAGCTTTTGAGTGTGGAAAGTACTCACTCGCTGGGGTACGAAGTGCCCCGCAATTGTACAGCCTCCGTCAGGCACTTCCCTGGGTAGACCGAGGGAAACGGCCGGGTACATCCGCATTGCCTCACTGATGACCGCGATCATATACTTGAGGCGATATACTGAAGAAAAGTTGATGTCCTCTGCCTTCTTGAACGTTGATCTTATCTCCTCCTTCAGTCGCTTATGCACCTGAGGATGCGTAAGAACGAGGAATATCGTTCCGGAAAGTGTCGTTGATGTCGTCTCCGTACCAGCTGTAAGAAGACCACTCGTCATGCTCACCAATCTATCCATATTTCCTCCCTGATATTGTCAACTCAGTCAGTCCAGTCGGTTGTGTGCAAGCGTCAGGGTAGACACGTCTAAGACATCTGAAGACTCACCCATTCGTCCATTCTCTTGCCCAATCTCTCCACGAAGTCAAGTCTTTCACTGCCCATCGCCAGTCGTCTCTCCAACTTCACTCTTGTCCTCTGCATATGTAGTTCCCTTGCTCTTAACAGCTTCTCTCGAAATAAGGGAATGATGAAACCAAGCCCTAGATACTTGATCGCCAGAAAGTACATGACATTAAAGATTGTCTGCACATTCAGTGCAACCCATGAGTCGTATTTTCCTTTTTCGAGACAGCCGAAAGGCTCACCAAAGGCTAAGTCGCCAATGACATCAAAGAAAAGGAAGTTGAGCCACTGGTTGAGCTCTATACTTTGGGGGTTGCCTGCTGAGTCTGCGCTGACCTCTGTCAGACGATGTATGAACTTATTGAAGTATGGTAGAATTATCGACTCCTGGGCACTCAGCGCTGCATCCGAGAAACCATATGATAACTGTTTTCTGAGCGGGCGATGCTCTTCATGGCTTGCATTTATGAGTGTGGTGACGTCAGTGACACCCCTGTAGAAAAGTCGGTATTTTTCCATATCTGACTTAATCCCCGAGGCTCTCTTGCGAGAGCCCATGATGTCTTTCCAGGCTTGAGGGTCAGTGAAGGAGAGTTCATCTGGCCTGACACGAACTACCTTTCCATACTTTTGGTGAAGCTCATGGATACTGTAGGGCGTAATGCCTCGGATCAAGTCCAAAATGAATGGGACATTGCTTGCCCTATATAGGAACGGTCCAGGGAAATTGCTGAGTGGGTGAAAGTATAGGTTGTATATTACCAGCATAGCCCGGTACCCTAAAAGCTAGCAGCGTTTTAGTTAGAATCAACCAATCACTAAAATCAGAGGTTCTTCTTATTACCATAGTGAATCCTCCAACCACGAGCCTTCCCAAACTCAGCGAAGTTGCTACAGCATTCTGCAATGATTGTTGTTCAATATAGCCTACGGTGCTTCCAGCGGGCTGAACCATTGTAGCAATTATAATGGAGTATTATTTGCAGAAATGGGTATATAGCGATATCTTTAGATGATGTCAAAGATTTAAAAAGGGAGACATACAAGGATATGCAGGTTGTAAACAAGGGACCACGATTGAATATATCGGACTCTTTAGCGATTCGAGAAATCTAACAAAACTCTCCGACAGTTATTAGTAATTCGCATCTTTATCTGTAAACCCCCGGGCGGTGTAGCCAAGGTACCTTCTATTGCAGGCTCGGGCTTTGCCTGCGCCTTAATGAGGAGAAATAGCCAAAAGGTGGCACATACCCTATATCCAAATAAAGGAGTGAGATGCTGAAGCTCTTTAGTCCTCTTAAGATTCAGACTTTTTACTATAGGCTAATTTAGGTGGAAACCAAATGTTCTCCTTTTCTAACAGTATGAACTAGTAGGGATTTCTTCAACAATCCACTAGGTGCTTTCAAATTATGTAGAGAGAAGTAAGATAATCATATCGCTAGTTTCTTAACTAGTGGATTATTAAGGATCTCCTTCACTGGAAAGACTGGGTTAGCTTCGAACTACGAGCAGGTGAACTACTAAGCAGCAAGGCTTAAGAGCAAAACATAAGCTTAAACCCTGTTTCGAGTATAAACGGGATGATAACGAAAGTCAAGGCTTACTATGGGGAGATTTCAAGCTGAGCATAAAATCGAATCGGTCTAGTTGTTCCGAACTACACTCTTGATGCCTGTATCTAGGCAGAAAAATGACAATTCCGTCAAGGGTAACTGGCATCACCCGGACATAGCTTGGATAATGCCCAAGGGCAGGTCCAAAGTCAATCTGTGTGTTATATGAGCTCCAGTTGGCTACGCAGAAGTTAGTGCCCTTGAAATGGAAGCTCAAGTCGCGCATCTGAGAATAGTCAAACTCAGGAGGAATAGGCTGTTTTGACGCCCAACGGTGCAAGGGATAGTCTGCGTTTCGTTGATTCAAGCTCTCGGTCAGATTATCAAGGATGCTGGGTAGGATAGCTGGGCATTCAGCACTCTTGCCTTCCAACTCCATGGCAATGATCTTTTTCTCCATCGATCTGATCGTGTCGAAACTGAGCCTAGGGCGAGGTTTTAGGAAAGAATTGAAATTCCCGACCCGTGAGTTCTTTTTCATATGGCCTGCTTTCTCGAGGAACTGTCGGAGGTCGTAGGCCATATACAGGTCGGAGTATCGGCCCTGCAAAGAATCATCCGATGTATGAGTCCGTGCTGTCAAGATTAGAACCCAGAGCAGCGCAATAACCATCGTGCTGAGAGTAAATGGCTGACTTGTTTGCTGCAGTAGCTCATCTCGCATGGATGAGAGCTTCCGAACAGACCAGCGAAATAGTACACTCTCCACTGTTGAATTGGATCCATGGATATTATCGCTAAGTAATGAGGGGCTATGAGATACAGCGGTCAAATTTGGAGCCTTCATCAAGTTGCTGGTAGCTGAAAGAGTCTTTCTTGTCATGTCACTCAGTTTTTTCTGCCAGTTGATCGGTTCCAAAGGATCGACAGGATAGTTCTCTGTAGAGATACCCTTGATGTGGCAAGCGATTAAATTAATGATGACATCTCGCCCCGCCCCATCTGCGTAACCGTGATGTACTGCAGTGAGGAATATAAGACCTCCTTGAATCTTTGTGTAGGCTGTGTATAATGCGGGCTTCCTCGTCTCTTGCATGAGCGATTTCAAGTGAGGGCCGTAGAAATCATGACCCTTGATCTCATGAAGTAACATGCCGTGTGCGTCGAGCTCATCATGACTAGGCAAGTCAGGGCCAGGGATTTCATCGAATGGGACAGTCAAAGGACCGTCGTCGGACCAAGATATCTTAGTTTTGTTGCCGTCGGATGAATCTTCCCATACATGGCCGGATAGAAACGGTACTTGGCTGACCGTTTTATTAAGACCATTACGCAAACTTTTGACTGCGGCGTCTGTGTCATCAACCTTGAAGGTCAACCACATAAGAGTGTACGCCAAGGGCTGTTCCTGGTCCGACAGAGACAAAACTGCGGTGTAATCGGGCATCCTGTGAGTCGACGTTTGCGGCTACAGGAGTAAGATTTCTGTAGATGGTATTGTATATGATATATGGTAACAAGACGTGTGATGGAGGTAGTTCGATGTCGATTCCACGCCTATCAATAGTACTGAATGAGTTATCGCACACAAAAAAGGCTGCCTATTAATAATGTTGTTTCTGGCTTTCGCAGAGTTCGGAGAGAACAGGAATCGATTTCTAGCTAATCTCTCTCGGAGAATTTCGGACACAGTCTATCTTCGGACTAGTATCGTTCAATAAAGTTTTCGGGATCACCCACTCACTGGACGGAGTGCTTTTCACACGTAGCGTTTATAAAGCATGAAGTGTCTTGACGAAAGATAAACGTTCTAAAGTTTCTATCTTTGCAAACTTTGCGCTGAACCATTTCCTCATCTTTCAGAACAAAATAATATGGAGTATATTAGCCATTTCCCTGTCGAGTCCTCCACGTCCTCAGGCGAATCCTCAGAGTGCTCGACTTTTTCAGATCTGACTCAGGAAAGACTGTCATCTGATTCCTCTCAATCGAATAGATCGCAAACCGAAGAGATGTATAAGGATTCAAAATACAACTCGCTTGCAAGCCAGATTGTTCAGGCACCGTACGATTATGTCTGTTCGTTACCGTCCAAGGGCGTGCGCGATCGGCTGATCGATACATTGAACAATTGGTTGCTGGTGCCAGAGGATTCTGCTATCTCAGTGAAACAGATCATTGGCCTGTTACATAACTCTTCTCTGATGTAATTTACCCTTCTATCCTGATCTGACTACATTTTAACACCGCGTTTAGATTAGATGACTTTCAAGATCGTTCGCCCTTGCGACGCGGTAGACCATCCACCCACACAGTTTTTGGGCCTGCTCAAGCTATAAATACATCAAGCTACGCCATTGTGGAAGCTATTTCCAAGATCCAGAACATGTCAGATATGAATTGTGCGAAGTCGGCGACCAAAAAGATTATAACAATCTTTGAGGGTCAGGCAATGGAGTTGCATTGGACCCACAATGCTGAATGTCCGTCCGTGGAGCAGTATATGCAGATGATTGGTGATAGTGAGAAACGACCCAACTTACCCTTATGCTTCCGAATACGCAAGCTGACGCAAGTTAACAAATAGAAACTGGTGCACTTTTTGGATTGGCGTTTCAGCTCCTGGTGGCACAGGCACCATCCCATATAAGCGAACGCATGATTGTCTGGGCCGACCGGCTTATGGATCTTCTGGGCCGCTACTTTCAAATACGTGACGATTACCAAAATCTCATGTCACCTGATGTAAGTCAAACAATGTCAACTCATCTCACCATGCATGACATGACACTTTGCTAACAATGCCCGAATACTTAGTATGCCGATCAAAAAGGCTTTTGTGAGGATCTTGATGAGGGCAAATACTCGCTTCCCCTGATCCATTGTTTGCATTCGAACCGGGATAACCTGTTGGTGCAGTATATTCTCTCCACCCGAAGAGAGCATGGAGAGTTGACACAACCTCAAAAGATCCTTATTCTGGAACAATTGAAGGAGTGTGGCAGCTTGGAATGGACGCGTTCAATCCTAAACGATCTTTATATCCAGCTAATCGGAGCTTTCGAAACACTAGAGGCAGAATTCGGTGTGGCTAACCCCCAGTTAAGGGGGCTCATTGAGCTACTACAAGTTTAATAGTTGTAGGTAGTTGAAATGCATTCAATGGGAGCGAAATAGGTTGTAATCCAGTTTGTCGTAGTAATTCGTGTAATGCGGAGAAGCTAAAAAAAAGGCATTGAATGAGTTTAGTGAGAATCTGTAGGCTGATGGAAAAGAGACATACCATTGGGTTTCTAGGGAATTAGCATCTATACTACACAAGCAATTACGAAATATCCTTATAATATCAAATGCTAGTATATAGATTTTATGCGTAGCTTATGGTCTGTTGCTAAAAGCCTACATCAGATAACAACAGCTTAGGCGAGTTAGGGTTTAGGTAGTATTGGTCTAACGGCAGAGATTAACTGTCGCAATCTCCCTAGCCCTCAGTGAACAGAAAGAAGAAACCTGATACATAGACGAGTCACCAGGAAGATGCCGTGATCGAGTGTAAAAAGGTAGCAGGTTGTTGGTTTCGGCACAATAACAAAGTTCGGTGATTTTGTTTCCGACAAGATGACAGATTCGGGTCAATCAAGGTGCACGGCCATGCATTAACCAAGGTTCACGCCTTCAGGAACAACATAATGGATGCAATTCTCGCAAGGCGGTACGTTTCGCACAGTTTCTGTTTTGTCTTACCGGACTCGGCCGGCAGTATCAAGTGACTTCTTGCAACTTATCCTTATTTTGCTAAGTTTCGCCATTGCAATAGATCTAATCTTTCAATCGCTTTGAATGATAAGGTTCTGTCTGATCCCTGCATACAGAGATAGTACTTAAGACTCTTTGTGTCGTTTCTGTGTTGCAACTGGATGCTGCCATCAAGGTCCTTTTAAGGTTTTACATCACGATGGCGCTTGCCAACATGGTCGAGCTGATCATGTTTAAGCACGTGATATTGTCTCTCTTTGGCGCGGTCAGTCGCTTCTACTCCCGTATCTGTTGCTGATAGTCATCCAAGCTAACTGAATAAAGGGTCTATTGCACCTGGTCGCAAAATGTGTATACCGTTTGTACTTTCACCCGCTCGCCAAGTACCCAGGGCCGAAAATGGCTGCTCTGACAGACGTATGTATGTTTGTCTATTATTCATGATACGTCAAAGCTTACTATTCTTCCAAAGTTATACTTTTATTGGTCCCTATCTACTGGCAATCATGTCTTCAATATGCAGGCGAACCACCGCAAGTACGGTAAGGAACCAATGCAGATATAAATTGCGTCTTCGTTTACTTGGCTCTATTGGCTCACATCTCAATCAGGTGATATTTTCCGCTTGAAGCCTAACGCACTCTCGTTCAACTCGGTGCAAGCACACATCGACGTTCACAGCCACCCTAAATCAGGATCTAACAAGTTTCTAAAGACTGAGTTCTATGACAACGGCGATGTCCCGCGCCTGAGTAGCGAGAGAGATCCGGTCAAACACGGAGAAATGCGGAGAAGCATGGCACATGGCTTTAGCATGCAAGCCCTTCGTGGCCAGGAAGACGTCGTCCACCACTTTCTTGATATGCTGATAAAGCAGATTGCGAGACTTGGTGAGAATGGAGCCAAAGCTCTTGATGCTTCCATGTTGCATAATTGGGTTACTTTTGATATTTTAGGTAAGCTCAGTGAATATCTACCTGATACTTTCGATTCTGATATATGCTTCAGGGGACTTGGCATTCGGAGAGACGTTTGGTTCCGTAAAAAGCGGCAAGACGCATTGGTGGGTGTCTTTGCTCCTTGACTCGGTCTATCTCGGCTTTCTCACGAGTCTGCGAAGAGATCAGCCGTGGGTGACCATTCTGCTCCCATTTTTCCTACCCAAAGGTATTGTCGAGAACAAAAAGAAGCACTTCGAGATGACTCGCGCCAAGGCCCGCCGACGTCTGGAGCTGGGAGATATGGGTCGAGATGACTTCTTCTCACACATCATACGCAGAGGCACCATGTCGGAGGCAACGATATTGGCCAATGCTCATTCCCTAATTGTGGCCGGTTCCGAGACTACAGCTACCGCTCTGACAGCCACGACCTATTTCCTGCTCTCTAAGCCCGAGACTTACAAGCGCCTTGAAGCTGAGATTCTTGGCTCATTCAAATCGGCTGAAGACATCAATTCGACGGCGACATCGAAATTGACCTATCTCAACGCGGTGTTGAACGAGGGATTACGTGTTTTCCCACCTACAGCACCAGGTCTCCCTCGGTACTCCCCAGGAGCCTATGTCAATGGAAAGTACATACCGAAAGGTGTCGAGGTGCAGGTTGATGCCTATGCGCTTCAGCATGATCCGCGTTACTGGAAGAACCCGGAATCTTTTATTCCCGAGCGCTTTGTTGGTGAGGGTCTCGGCGATAATATGAGAGCTTTTGTGCCCTTTTCCGTCGGCCCGAGGGCTTGCATTGGTAGCAATCTGGCCTTGATTGAGTTGAGAGTGGTGCTGGCAAAGCTCATGTGGCACTTCCGCTGGGAACTGATCTCCAAGGATCTTGGAGATTGGAATCACAAGTGCCAGAATTACATGTTATGGACGAAGCCGCCCCTCATGGTTAAGTTCCACCCTCGCCAGCCTGTGGAAGGTTGAGACTTATAGATCTTCCAGTCTGCAAGAATTCTACTGTGGGAGGAAGTCGTATCTGATGAAGTATCAGGCCTATCAAATATGAAGCCGAGGAGGATGGATTCTATAGTTCAGCAACACAATACTGTGGTAGGTTTCGCAAAGTAGGAAGAAAACACTCGGCATTTGATTGATGCTTATGTAAAGCCCTTGTATCTATCTCTAGTTGCATTCCCGTTGTCACTGTCCGAGCCCTTAACGTTTCGGGAGATTGTGACAATTTCGAGCATCACGATGTTAGGTGTGCGGTTCGCAGCAGCGCATGACCAATCTTAACTTCATACGACAGTTCTCAAAACACGCGAATGAATTCAAACAATCTGTAAATTTATCTTGGCTTCAGTATATATGTAATACGGGCCAACTGAGTAGTATCCAGAATGATTCATTGTAAAAACAGACCCTAACCTCTTTGACAAAGCAGTACTGTCAGATTGAGTCCAGGTCGATCTCGACGTGTTTCGCATTGCGTACCATCAAGGTGGTAGTTGGATTAACGAAACAGCTGAACCCGCTCAACATTGTCTTCGACTGCGGCAATGAAGATAGTTTCCAATCATACTTCATCACCAGATGGCACACGGCAACCTTGAGTTCATGCGCGGCGAAGAAGCGACCAGGGCAAGCATGCTCGCCATGGCCAAAGGCTAGGTAATCAGGCCCAGTGGCTACCAGCTGGGCATGCTCACCTTTGACTGGATCGGAGCGCAAGTTGAAGAACCGGTAGGGGTCCCACTTGTCGGGGTCATTGTAGATGTCGGGATCCCTCATTCGTGAGGTTTCTACTATAGTGCGCATGCCTGGCTTTAGCTTGAGTCCAGTGGAAAGCACCACGTTCCCTTCGACGCGGCGACGCATCGTAGCTATTGTTAATTTTGATATCAGCACAAGGGTCTCATGATGGCTTTCTTGTGATTTTCGACTTACCGAGAAGAAGGGGCGTCACCCTTTGCGTCTCCTTTATGACACTATCGAGAAGCTTCATGTTGTAAAGAGAACCCTTCTTCCAACCCTGGCCCCGAAGAGAGTCGGAAATCTCGCGACGAAGCGGTTCGATAATTTCTGGATGAGTCGCTATGTCTAGCATTACCTTGGCCAGTAAATCAGATGTACTGTGAATCGCTGCAAAGGACAGTGTGAGCTGGTATACCGCGGGATCATACTTTGTTCCTCTGGTCAAAGCTTCATGCTCTGCCCAGCTGATAGCGTCGTCCCACTCCGGTACCGGCTTTCCGGCTTGGAGTGCGGCTTTTGTCGCAGCTTCTCGTTCGTCAATGACGGCCATAACAACTCTCCTACATTCGTCAATGAGGCTGCGGGCTTTGTTGCACTCGGGAACAAATCGGTAGATAAACTTCCTCAAGAACTTGGGATACATCCGGAGCTTGGTAGCAGCGACGATCACCGTCATGGCGTAATCCTGGGTGACTCTAAGCCAATGCTCGTCTCGACATAGTTCTTCACCAACAAACACTCGCGAAGTGACTCTGGTGACGATATCAAAGGCTGCCGGTCTCAGCTTGATTTCTTTCCATTCTAACCACTGTGAGCTTTGCCTAATCAAGTACGAGATTCTCTTGACCTACCAGGAGAGTACCCCAAGTTGGTTGCTACGGCTCTTGCGGCCTCTTCCGACATTGGTTCAGAAGTCTTGACTGGATAGAGGGTGATTTCTTAGCTTCGCTATACCAAACTAGGAACGGAATGGTCATCTTACCCAACGACTTGGTCAACTGCTTCTTGATGACTGCCTGGAGGATCGCATCGCCGTGGCTACCAATCTTTGCTATGTCAAATCCAGGAAGGTCTCCGTTCAGGTCATTGTATGTAGCCGTGGCTAGACTCAATTTTGGGTTGTTGCGAATCTCATCGGCTAATTCAGGCGGCAGGACGAGGACTTCTCCCAGATCGCTAGTCACCCGGTAGGGCTGTGCAGGGTAAAGTGTCCGGGCTTTGTCCAAGATGTCTTTGCTTGAGGTAAGGAAAGCTCTCTTTAGTATACTTCGTGAGTCGGAGTCTGTCTTGTACAGTTGGGTCATATATAAGAACTAACCTTAGTTCTACCAAGCGAAAATAACGAGCTGGCCTGATTAACAAGCGGTGGCTGTTTCGAGGCCGAGTCTGAGAGAAAGATGTATGTGAAAATGGCGACAAGTAAGACTGTCAGAGTATAGCCCAAGGGGTGAGCATTGAACTCGATTACCAAGTGCTCCAAGCTTAAAAGAGGGAGGGCCAATGTTGAAGACATGACGGCTTCTTGTGTCGAAACAGTCTCATCAACACATTCAAGTGTCAATTAATATAGCGAGTAAGCCAGCTTCTAATACAAGTCTTTTCAGTTAGCAAGAAAATGACTTGCTTATAGGTTTTCAAGTGGCAGTGGTAAATGCCGATTGTATACGTTGGTTCGGATAGTTAAAGCGTTGTCCGGCAACCAACCCCCGCCTATTTATATACTTTCGGCACATTCTAGCTTAACAACACTGTGTCCCTGTGCACGTCTTGCACGTAGAAGGCCTTTGCACGCGCTCAGAATCCAAAATAAGTACAATTTTCTTGACATAAGAGATCAATAAATTGAACCAGTCTCTCATATGGATAGGACTGAAAAGCAAGCCATGTGAGTAGCCATGCCGCAGTGCTCTCTCTCTTTCGGAAAGCTCCAAAGGTCGAATACTAGAATCTTGACGAAAAAAATGGCAACAAGAGGCGTGTCCGAAGTAAGAACTTTGCGCTAACATGTTGCTGTGGGATTGCGCCTGCATCTCTCACATGTCTTCGTCTGGGGTCCCTCCCTTCCTCGCTCCCTCAATAATGATCCCAACATACCCAAAGATGTCAGCCAACCCCCATATTCTTCATGGAAACATTGCAGCCATCAACCCTGAATCCAAACTGTGTAACCCAAAAACAAGATGTGAACAACCCATGAAGCCTAGAGACGAAATCGAACACAAGACTCACACACAAACCAGACATGAGATCGAGCTTCACGCTAAACATTGCCTCAATCGCCCAATTGAACCACTAAAAATAAAGGATTGTTGCACAGCTCACCCATGATACCGAAACCACGGGATTTAGATACGACGTCTGGAGATGTGGCCCCAGCCATGACAGTCTAATACACAATGCAATCGAATTATGAGTCAGAATCATACGGTCGTACCGTAACATGCCACTGAAACCTTGGAATCAAAAGCGACATGTGGAGAAATTGGAATACGGAACTTTAACACGGGATGCACACATGAAAATGCGCAGCCACAACACATGGAGCGAAACTCAACATTGCTTGTAGCCCTGAAGTGCCATCGCAAAATTCTAACACACGGAATACACACAAGAAAAGCGATCATGATCTTCCGCATGGAGCCTGAGCGTGGGTTCCAGCAACAACATGTGAAGCCCGAATTCGAAGATACACGCACCCTAAACACGAAATCCTAACCCAAAACAAATGACGAGCTCAAACGTGGAGTCCAGAAACAACATGCGTAGAGATGTTCGAATACTGGGTTCTTGGCGTAAAACCTACGCATGGAATTTGAAGTTGAACTCCAAATACAACGCAAAGATGGTGTCTGAGCTTGAACACTCACAGGAAGTCTGAAAGTCATCCGTCGGCATTTGATGTGTGGTGTGACCCTCAACGGAAAATGAACTAGGAACCCGGATACGAAGTCTGAAAATAAGTACAGAGCCAAAGCCTCGATCAGATGTCCTGGGCGGTGGGTCCTTGAATAGAAAGTCAACACGAAATTTCTACATCAAATCTGGACATCAACACTGAGCGCAGAGTGCAAAGTTAGAATCACAAGGTTGCATACAATGGCATGATGTGCGGTGCGACCCCAAACCAGAAGTTAGCAAGATGTCAGAACATGAAATCTGACATCACCTCCCGAACGAGATTCGAAAGAAAGATATGAACAAGCAATGTGCCGTGGATGCCCAAAGATAAAATCGATGAGAAGTACGGCCACGGAAATCGAAGTCCCGCCACTTCAAAGCCATGTGCAGCCAGATCTCACAGAAAGTCAAGAAGATGTGGAAACATGCTATCAGACACGAACTCCCGAAACAACATGTGAAATCCACCAACAAAAGTTTTATGTGCAGTGAGGACCTCGACAGAAAGGTAACACAAAAATCGAAAATAGATTCGATATGACGTCTGGCATTGGAATCTGCCCATGATGTTTGAAAGCTAGCAATCAAGACTACATGTGCGGCGGAATATCAAAGCGAACGGCAACATGAAATCTGGAACGAATTTAATGCAAACTCTAAACATAGAGTCTGGCCGTAACGTCTAACAATATTGATAGAGAGCAAACGTGTGGCGGGATCTCAAACCGAATACTGAAGAGGAAGCCACGGAGTGTGATGGCATACATTATAACGAAAACAAGTGCGGAACCTGGCCATGGCATGCAGAGCTGAGATTGAAGACGATTTCAATCATGAAAATCAAAGTTAAAAGACTCAAATGTCCTGGGCGGAGCAAAATCTAAGGTCTGCCGTCCAGAAAACGAGACTGATATGAAGACTCGAAAACGACAATCCTGATATAAGATCCGGAAACTAAATGTGATGACTTGGAGCCTCAATATGAACGAATAACGACATCCTGACAAGCCTTTGGAATGGATATACGACGAATGAATGTGGAGAAGCACCTGATCGTAAGATGTAAACATGGAGTCCAAAACCTTAATACAGGCGATGCCTGTGCAGTGCATGACCGAAGAGAAGGTGTAGGGGCATGATGGTCACCCACCCATGGCACCGAAAAGAAACGAGGAATTCGGCGATGGAATGTCGAGCTGAAGTGGAAGATGAGTCGAATCATGAATTCTGAGCATGGAACCTAAAAGCACAGCGGAGTGAAAGCATGCGTGGGAGCGAGACGAAAGGCAAAGCCATAGCTAATGATGTCTCGTCGCGCCGTGCATTCTTCCCTCTTCTACTACTCTCTTGCAGTACACATCTACCGGTCTCAGTAGACGGCTAACCGAATACAAGAAAACGAGAGGTCAAAACAGGGATTCGAAATGTTTGTCTAGGCAACCCATGTGCGGTGCGACACCAAAGAGATGCATTGAGGATTTGCATGTCTCGCTCTGATCTCTACTTTTGATCACTACTCTCTTGACTGCCCTCACACCGTACGATCTATTCCTCCAAGACGCCTGCGCACTATAATGAAATGGGAAATGAAATCAAAACAACCTTGAACATGAAGCGCGAAAACTAAATGAAAGTCGAAGACACGCATGGGCGGAGAGGATCTCAGAGACCTTATCGCTACCATAATGTCTCGTTCTGCTGTGCGCTGTGCGCTCTTCTACTACTCTCCCACTACTCTTACCACACACGTCTATTGCCTTTTAAATGACAGCTGTTGCAAGAGAACGAGAATCTAGATCATCTCCTCGATACAATGGAAGAAGAAACACAGGCAGTCTATGTGCGGCTGAGACCCAAAAGCCAACTTTGGAGACTGGAATGTCTCCCCTCCCCCTGCCCCCCCGACGGCCCCCTTACTGCTCTCAATCTACCTACACCTACTACTGTCAAGACACCACGCCGTCGATACATGAAAGTGGGGAGATGAGAAACCAAATACGACTACGCGTATGGACTTCAATGAAAGCCGAGCATGAGGCTCATGTCCGGCGGAAATCCGAAACTGTAAACTAAAAAGGTGATGTCTTGCTGTGCGCTCTCTCCCTTTCTACTACTCTCTCACTGCACACATTCGTCGCCCCAAATAACACCTTGCTGCGAGAAATCAGGAATCTAAATCAACCCTTCAACGAAATTTAAAGAAACGCAGAGGCAGTATATGAGCGGTGGGAGTCTAAAAATCAAGCAGAGATGATGTAATGTCTTGTTGTGCGCTCTCCCGCCTTACTGTACACATCACATACATCACTCGAAAAACCCCGCCGTAGAGGGTTGGGAGCGAGATGCCGCGAAACCAGAAATCGGCCTGAACACAGAATTCAAAAGCTGGACAGGAGCTCCCGATGCGTGGCGGAGGTCCAAAGAAATTAACAGAATTGTGATGTCTTGCTGTGCGCTCTTCTGTCGCCTGCCTTCCGCCTTCTCCCTCCCGCCTTCTCCATCCAACTGCCCTCTTACTATATGTATCCATCTGCCCCCCCTGAAAAGTCGCGCTGTGGAAACGTGAGAGAAAGAAATTAAGAAACCAAACCAGCCTCTGCACAAGAAATTCAAAGACTACTACATGGAGTCTACATGCGGTGGGGATCTCAGTGGTCAACAATGACGATATGATGTCTTGTCAAGCGCTCCTTTCCCTCTCCTGCCTCTCCTGCCACCCTCTTACTGCTCTCTTGTTAATATGCACTGCTCAAAAATAACTACTTACAGCGAAAACTCGAAGGAACAAGGAGATGAGCAAACAAGAAAATATATCCGCCACTGCAAGGTCTAAAAACTAGAACTGCTTTGGGAATGTGGGGCGGAGATCTGAGAGAACAGATCGAAGCCGTAATGTCTCGCCGTGCTGTGCACTCTCCCCGCTTGCCTCTCCTACTACTCCCTTACTGCCCTCTTACCATACACATTCACTGCCCGGAAATAACAGCTTACTGCTAAGACTCGAAAGAATGAGGAAATGAGCACAGCAGGAACTATGCCCGCCTCTGCAAGATCCGAAAACTAGAACTGCATTGGAAATGTGCGGCGGAGATCTGAAAGAGAGGATTGAAGCCGGCATGTCTCGCTGCGCTGTGCGCTCTCCCCACTAGCCTCCCGTCTACTGCTACTCTTCACAGTCTGTATCCATCCGCCGGAAGCATCCTGAAAACCTGCGCCGTGAAAGTGAGAAGATGAGGATTACGGTAGCGTCGAACATATTGGGGTTCAAACCGCAAACGAACAGTGCCCATGGGCGGCGGAGATCTTAAAAGTGAACACTGACACCTTGATGTGCCGCCGTGCGCTCTCGCCTCCCACGAGAAAACGCGAAACCGAGGAGCAAAACTCGGCGCTGAGCAGGAAGCTCAAAATGCTGATGTGGCCATTCAATGTGCGGTGTGGTGGAGCTCCGAAAGAGCATATTGAAGCGGTCATGTCTTGTTGTGCCGTGTGCTCTGCTCTCTGCGCCTCTACTGCTCTACGACTGATCTACTACTACTCTCCGACTACTCTCTTTGCTCTTATTCTACTCGCACTACTCTCTTTGCACTCTCTGCACTCTCTGCTCTCTCCATCCTCTCCCTCTGTCTCAAAACACCCATTCACTCCCTCGAACCCGCTGCTCGAAACCGCTCACCCGCTCACCCGCTCAACCGCGCCCCAAATTCGGACTCCGAGCACACGACCTTAAGGCACGTATAGACAGCGTATGTCCGGCGGAAATTCGAGGTCAAACCTCGAAGATGTCACGTCTCGCCGTGTCCTCTCTGCCCACCACTCTCTGCTCACCTCCGTCTCCCCATGTACACGCATTGCCGTCCAAGGACCGCTCTGCATGGAGACGAGGAACCGCGAGATCAGGTACGCGAGTATCCGGAAACAGCCTCCGAGCACGACATGCACAACCTGTCCACGGAGAATATGCGCGCGATGCGGTACGTGACGCACGAAAAACCCGATTAATATCCATGTATGTGGTGTGCCACGGGTGGTGGGTGATCGGTCGCTGGAGAGGGAAGTGCCCAGTGAGTGTGATGTCTCGCTGTACTCTGCTCTCCCCCTTGTACGGCTTTCTGACTGCTCGCCTACTGTCTTCTCTGCTCTGACTGCTCTAGATCTTCTTCTCTTCTTTTATCATGCATAACCATCCGCTGCTTGAGATTACGAAACTGCGGAACCGCGAGACCAAGAAACTACGAAACCCCAAGCCACAAGCCTACAAACCCCAACCCACGAGTCAACGAATCGCAACCCGGCTCCTGCACACGAGACCTCTAGAAAGCGCACAGAAAAGAACGTATGTGCGGCGCGGTGCGCAACCCCCAAGACGCCACGTTCACCACGCTCACCACGCCATCAACCCCGGAACCCAAAATTCGAAGACTAGATCCCAACCCCAAAGCCAAAATACCAGGATCGACGCTTCCATGCGCGGCGCGAAGCTGAAGAATAATGCGATGGACGGCTCGCCGTGCGCCGTGTCCTGCTTCCCCCACTGTCTCTGCGCTCTCTGCACTTATACTGTACCCGAAGGCCTGGGAATCCAAAGACGTGGAGATGTGTACATTTAAACACCTAGAAATAGGAAGACCTGGAAATCCAAAGACCTGGAGAGCGGGAAATACAAAGACATGAAAGTCCGAAGACCTGGAGACATGAAGACATGAAACTATTGAACACATGAGAACCTGGACCCGACACAACCAGAAACCGAGTGGACAAGGTGTGATGTGCGTTGCATTGAACTGCATTCATTGCATTGCCTTGCGCTGTGCTGCGCTGTGCTGTACATGGATTGCCTGGTTCCGCGCGGGATATGCTCAATATACAAATACAGGTGCGAGGTTATGTTGTGCGCGTGCGGGTTTTGCACGGCAGAGTGACGGGATATGATATTGGCGGATTGGATTAGATTGGAGACATCAGGGACTGAATCATCAGAGGACTGAAGCATCGCAGTACGCAAGACGCGACGCATTGCAGGACCGGAGAAACGAAGGAGCGAGAGGACAAGGACCCAGACATCTAGATACATGGGGGGCTGGATAACGCGAGAACCGAAGAACTGATGGTATTGTACACGAGCCCGCGCCCGCGCCCTTTCGCCCGGGCGCGCGGCGGTGTGATATACTACAACCCCCTGCCATACTATACAAGTTAACACGCTCTGCTCGACCCACAAAGCCTCCCACGCACATCAACAAAATCCCGGGCTTAAGCTTAAGCCCTCGCGCTCTTAAACGGATTAACCCTCCCCAACATCCCCAACACGCCCGTCTTCTCCTCCTCTCTCCCCATCCCCTCGGCCACATGCTGCACCTCCTCAAGCCCCTCTCCCTCCTCCACACTCCCCGGCCTCAACACCCCCACAATCCGCCCAACCTCGGCCTGCTTCTCGACCTCAAACTCCTCCGCACTAAGATACGCCGTCGCGAACCTATTCTTATTCACGCCCAGCTCCTCGTGCGCAATGGCGTCGGGCCACGACCCCGCCGCGAACAGGGCGTCCTGCATATCGGCCCAGCGCACGCTTACGCCGTCGAGGGAGTACGGGGTGGGCAGGGGCGTTTTGAGGGCGGGCGGTAGGACGGAGCGGGCGATGGGGTGGGAGCGGGTGGATAGCTGGTCGCGGGCGGCGAAGGCGGCTTCGAGGGACTCGAGCGCGGCGGTTGCGGTTGCGAGGTCGGCGGTGGTCGCTTCGAGGGCGGTGCGCGAGCGCGTGGGGTCTGGGGTTGCGAGGCGGGCGCGCAGGGCGGCTGTTTCGTCGCGGAGCGCGGTGAGGCGGTCCTCGGCGCCGGGCTCGTTGGCGGGGGCCGCGAGAGCGGTGAGGTCCTGCTCGGCCTTTTTCAGCTGCGCGGTTTTGCGCAGGGCGTGCTGGACGCGCTTCAGTCGCGCTTCGTGTGAGGCGCGGGTGGCGGCCAGCGACTTCTGGTCGGCGTCCTTCTGCATGTGCTTCATCTTGACTTTTTGGTCCAGGCGGCGGATCTCGTGCTCGAGCCAGTTGGCGTTGCTGGTGGCGGTGGCGTGGGAGTAGGTGGTGTTGGCGGCGGCGATGGCGGCGATGTCGGCCCACTTCTTGTCGATGCAGGCGGCGGCGTGCTTCTCCTGCTCAGCGAGCGCGGCGGCCATGACGGCGCCGTGGGCCTCCTGCAGGCGCAGGACCTCGGCGATGTCGGCAGTGGTGTTGGCGCGCTGGTCCATGATCTTGCGGATGCGCAGCGACACCTTCAGCTGGGTCCAGCCGGGGTTCGTCTTGTCCCACGACGTCTCGTGCAGCTTGCGGAACTCGCGCAGCTTGCGGAAGGCATTGTGGCCCTGGGCGGCGGTCGGGAAGGTCAGGACGCAGTGCGGCTGCCACTCGTCGGGGCGCAGGGCGGCGGGGACCGAGTGCTTGCCGATGAAGGGCAGCTGGGCGAGGTGGTGGTCCTGATTGCATTAGCTAAGCTATTGACAGACAGCGGGCTCGTACATCCAGCAGCTCCTGCAGCGAGTACAGCACCTGGTTGGTGCGCACGCTGCGGAAGACGTAGATGATCTGGCCGTGGGCGGCGGCGCCGTCCGGGTCGACGACATCGCGCAGGGTGTAGGGCTTGATGGGCCGCACGCCGTACTGGCCTGTCGGCAGCGGCTTCGCCTTGACGTTGACGACCGTCTGCAGCTTCACGTGGCGCGGGTTCGACTGGCGCACGACGTACTGGGCGGCGCGGCGCTCGAGCAGCTCCGGGCGGCCATTGGCGGCGCCCACGAACGACACGGGCTTGGGCGGCAGGCGGTACCGCAGGCGGGCGAGGTTGCGGGGCATGGCGGCGGTGGGTGGGAGAGAGGGCGTGGTGCTGAAAGTTCGACGACACCCGCACGGGCCGCTTCTTGAGCTCCGACCCCCGACCCCGACGGCTCACGAAGCACGGCAGCCTGACGACGCACGACGACGACCGCCGCAGCTTCAGGACGCATCAATGGCCACTCCGGAGGCGCCGGCGCGCGAGCGGCCGTGGCTGCTGCCCTATGTGCGTACTGCCGCCGCCTGGCCGCGTCCTGTCTGACGCCTGTCTGACGCCTGTCTGACCGCTTAGAACCGCCGGCTGCGACACCTGCAAGGCCTCGCCATCCGCAACCTGACGCTGGCCCTCGCCCCGGGCCGCCCGCGCGGGAAGACGACCGACGACGACGCCCTGCCGAGCGCCCTCACGTCGCCGGCCAAGGCCCTGGCCCGCGAGGCCGCCGTCGCCCACTCGCGCTCGTCGACCGACCTCCGTTCCATCCCCGACGAGGACCGCTTCGATGGCCCGCCCCCGTCGCCGCGCCCGGTGCGCCCCAGGCGCATGCGCCGCCGCTCGACGCTCGAGTGGGCGAATGCGAGCCCGCTGACGCGCCAGAAGCGCCTCGAGGACATCACCGCCGGCCGCATGGCCGACACCTTCTTCTCCCTGCACGTCGACGGCGTCCCCGCGCCCGTGTACATCTCCGAGGTCGCCGAGAAGGCCATGAACCCCAACTTCAAGTTCTTCGACCTGGGTCCGTGTGGGCCGCCCGTCACGCGCCTCGACCGCCTGACCGTGCGCGTGTGGGCGAAGAGCGACCACATGCAGCACTGGCAGTTCCTGCTCGACTACACCGTGCACCTCGCGTCGCTGCACTTCATCGGCAAGACCCTGGGCGCCTTCCGCCACCCGCTGCCGCAGAACTGCCTGCTCTTCCACATGACCGACGGCATCTACACCAGCTTCGTCGACCTGCCCGTCGACGCGCATGGTGAGCTGTTCGCCCCGCCCAAGACGAACCCCGACGGCCGCATCGCCACCTCGTCGTCCTACGACGCCCTGATGCGCCTGTCGACCCTCGACGACTGCATCCAAGACGCCCTGATAACACGCGACCGCATCGCCGACGAGATCGAGGGCATCCTCGAAGCCAACCGCGCCGCCATGTCGACCCTCACCCGCGTCCCCGAAGCCGAAGAGAGTCTCCACACCGTCCAAGCCGCCGCCACCGCCGAGCACCGCCGCGTCCTCGCCCTGCGCCGCCGCCGCACCGACCTCGCCGCCAGCCTGCAAGCCCGCCGCGACAAAATAACCGCCGGCCGCGCCCTCACCGCCCTCATCGCCTCGGAGCTGCCCACGCGCCGCGCCCTAACCGCCGAAACCACCTCCGCCATCCACACCACCCGCGCCGCCATCCTCGCCCAGCGCCGCCGCCTGTGCGCCGACCTCGCCGCCATCTACCCCCTGACTCCGCTCCCCTCCCCCCTCGCCTTCACAATCCGCGACCTCCCCCTGCCCCCCGCGCCCCTCGACTCGACAGACCCCCCCGCCACCGCCGCCGCCCTCGGCTACGCAGCGCACCTCCTCGCCGCCCTCGCCCTCTACGCCGCCGTCCTGCTGCCCTACCCGCTCACCCTCTGCGGCTCCACGAGCTCCATCGCTGACCCGCTCGCCCTCATGTCCGGCGCCGGCCCCAACATGCGAGAGTTCCCGCTCTACAGCACCGGCGCGGTGCGGTTTAGGTTCGAGTATGCGGTGTTCTTGCTCGGCAAGAATGTGCAGATCCTGACTCAAGCGCTGGGGGTCCGCGGCGTGGGCGCGGGGGAGGTGCTCGGCGGGTTGAAACTGGCGCTTCTTGTTGCGGGGGGCGAGGGGGCGGTGCCGGTAAGGAGGGCGGGCGGGATTAGGGGGTTGTTGGGGTGGGGAAGGAAGGGGAGTATTGATAGTGTGGTGTCGCGGAGCAGTGCGGGAGGGGGTGGGGGTGGAGGTGGGGGTTGGGGAGGGGAGGCCGAGGCGGAGACGGATGCGGATCAGGATGGTGCGTCGGGGGCGCTAAATGGGAAGACCGCTGCTGCGCTGCCGGGGAGTCGGCTAAGGCCCGTCGAGTAAACGAAAGTACTCATGCATAACCACGGACAGTTAGGTCCCGTGAACACCCACACACCGCCCGCGTCCACGAACTCTTGTGCATACTCCTCGTGTCCCGTGATGCTGTGCGATATCCGACAGATGCCCATGTGAGTCACAAGCAGTCCTGCGAGTTCGCAGTAGCAGCAGCATTACTGAGCGTTTGCATGAGGGCATACACACACATACCCATGCCCTTCTCGAACTGTCCTTTCCAGATTTACCCCCTTGGACATCACAGCAGAGCAGAGCGTCATGCAAAAGAGCAGACAAGAGCGACGCAAAAATCGAACAGGAGCCACGAACCCGCGCCGCCCAGATACTCTTCTTCTTGCGCCGCGTCCGCACATGGCATTTTGAGTGTTGAATCTGGTATGATGCCCTACAAGGCCGGACAGAGCACGGGCGGCATAGCGGGGTAAGTTGATCTTTTGCAACACCGCATACCACGGCCGTTTCGCGTGTAGTCAGTAAGGGAGGGGGTGCCCATGGAGGGAGAGAGGAGTTATTGGTGGCATGCGTCGGATTATCGATTTCTGCGGCCGAGGCATGTCACATCGAGGCTCGCCTTTTGGGGCGCGGCAGGGAGTGTTGGTGGGGTGGGTGAACGTGTTCGGCTCTGCAAGCATCGTAAGCCCACCAGTCTCTTTTTCTGGAGGGTTTTGGGGTTTTGAAGGTGGTGGTGTTGGGGGCGAGCAAGAGGGCGCCGGCGGCATAGATGCAGCCCCTGAGATCTGCGACCGATATGTGGCTCTTTGAGGCGCGTCTCTTATGGGGCGAAAGAGAGCATCGGTGAAGGTGTGCAGATGATGGGCTTTGGTAATATATCACGTAGGCGCATCTCTTTCTGGGTTTCGGAGGAGACAGAATGGCAAGGCATGCGTGTGGATGTTGCGCTTTGCAGGTTTCACTTTCGAAATCTGTTTTTGGAAGATGGAGAGTTCTGCTACTAAGTTCCGCGTCATCTTCTCTAGATGTAGTATAGCCATTTCATCCCTCTTGCGCGTGCCAAAACGTGCCAAACATGGCCAGTGTAGTTGAAACTTGAGCGCTCGTGATCTCCATATAGAAGGCTCGTTTTAAGGTAACCTTAGCGAAGTCACTTTCTCATATCGTTTCTGACATGCAAAGGAAGATCGCCGCGTAAAGTGTCTAGCTGCCCGCTTCCAGTCAGGTGATTCCATTGCCTGTACAATACGTACAAGTTCTACATCTTCTGCAGGTGACCATTCGTTCGCAACTCTAGAAGCCGATGACTTTTTCTTCTTGCCTTTAGGCTTTTGAGGTACCGGCGTGCAAGCGTTTGTTGTGAGACCAAGTCCTAATGCTTGCAGGCTTCTGACTGAGGACTCAAGTCCCTCTGATGGGCCAGACACTCCGGGCATGTATTGGGCGCCTGGGCTTTTCTGATCTGTATCGAAGCCAGGTTAGACACTTCAAGGTCGCAAGATCCAAAATTGGTTGAGACTTACTCGAGACTGAGCAGCCGTGATGCTGATTGATCTGCGTCATTTCTCGGATAACTTCGCACACCGTCTCAAAGTCCTCTTCTGAGGTCTTTCCGAATTTGTTCATGTCAAAATGCGTACGTGAAAGCGAATACTTGCTCACGCCTTCAGATAACTCAAGGCAGCCTGAGCTCGCATTGACCACAAATCTCTGTTGCAAGTCAGCAAGCATGGAAATATGCCGTCTGCTCAAGAATTTACCATCCGGTTCTGCTGCCCAACTATGCTCCCAACATTACTTAACTTGAGCTCGTAGAAACACGCAACCTGTGCCTTGTTTGCCTGTTTCCGCGTTTTACCAAATTGATCAACTATCTCCTGGAGGAATTCATTCCCTGGCTCCAATATTCTGAGCACATCCGGCTGCACTTCATCCTCTTGATATTCCTGCCGTGCTGCCGCGAGCATCTCTATCTGACTCATCCCTTCAGCGCCCCTAAATGGTGTACCGAAGAAGACCAGCCCAATGGTCGACTTGAATATGTTAACCCACTTGCTCTCATCATGCCGTGCGTCTACAAGTGCCTATCAAAATTTAGTAATGGCTATACCTCGAAGTGGCCGGCTTACTTTCAATACGACTAGGCCGCCGAAGCAATGTGCTATAAAGAGGATTGGGCGAGAAGGATAGTCCTGATCAAGTCAACAATAATAGCGGTCTCGGATTGACTGGTTTTACCTTTCGCTTCCGCCGCAAGGCCAGGAGCAGTCGGTCTGCCACCGTCGACACGTTCTGCCGCATCGCTCCCTCTCCAAACCACTGCGACTGGTACCCGTATCGCATGATCCGCGCGTGTGGGACTACAGCTGGTAACATGCTCTCCTCAACTAGCCAGTTAACCCACTTCGGGCTCTCCCTCGTGCCCACATTCTTGCTCCAGCTATCGTCTGGATGTGCGCCGATGCCGTGGATTGCGATAACATCGATGGCCTCAGCGACGTCTGCTGGCACTTCGCGGAGCACTAGCAGCCCGATGTCATCGTCAGTCACTTGCCGGACCTGGACCCGCGTCAGCCTGGCACACCGTTCAATGCACGTGCCCTTCGGTCCGTGCAGCAACCCACCATTGCTGTTCTTTCACTCGCACTGTGGGACAAGAAATAAACACCGTCAGTAACAAACAAGTAAAGAGGTGAAAAGCTGGAAGTCTGCTGGTTCAAAGGTAGCCAGGCTGAGACACGAGGCTGAAGATGGCTAAATGACCATGGCTAACAGCCTGGCGCTTAAGTGCGTGTGCTGGCCTGTCGCGAGGCTGAGCTGGCTGGGCAGCCGCTGCAACGAATGTATCAGCGCTTCTCTGGCCAGTCGCGCAATCAGACGTCTTTGCCACGACATTCTCTCCGTTCTCAGCCATGCCACCGTTTTCGAGAGCGACAGAGCTGGTTCGCGATCTTACACCCTCATCTGGTTCCCCAGACGGTGTTCTGCCTGGCCAGCCTTCAATTGCCCTGAACGATGGACCGCAATTGAGAGTATTTCTCGAAGATGACTTGTGCTCTCAAGACCTTGAGACCATGGCACCCCGCTTGTGGATCCTGACCACCCCGTCCAGCGACAACATCAACGCCCTGCATCGACAATGGGTCAAGGGTCGCGAGATCATAGTCACAGAAGAGCCTCGGCTGCATCTGGTGTGGATACACCACCGCATCTTTATCAAGCCCATCCCACGATACCTTCTGTCGTATGAATTCTGGGAGAGCTACTTGGACGAGGGTTCGAACAAGCTAGACAAGAATCGGAGCGACATTCGCAAGGCCGCGGCTGGCTTCCTCCGTACATACAGATACTTGATTCGACGCGAGACCGACTTCAACATTGCTCAGCAGGAACATCTCCGTCTGATCCCTAAAGACGTCGATTGGGCGGCCTTCTGTCGCTTCACGGCAGAGCTCAGTAGCATAGACGACTCTGCTGTGTCGGGCCGACACTGCTACGGCGAGCTGAGGCTGACACGACTTAACCTCTATGCACCGCTGCTGCTTCGCAAGTTTCACTTTGAGCAGATGCACAACCAGTATAGCGACTTTTTCGCGCGACTGTACGGGCCTATTCTTTTCGTATTTGCTCTAGTCTCCACAGCTTTGAGCTCTATGCAAGTCGCGCTTGCGGCTGAGCAGCTGGTGACGGTGCAGTGGGTTTCTGTGTGGTATGTGTCTCGCTGGTTCAGCATGTTGAGTCTTGTTGGAAGCGCCATTGTTACTGGGTGGTTCGTGCTTCTCTGGCTGTGGATGTTTTTGGATGAGTGGGTTTACACTTCGAAGCGGAAGTTGCAGAAGCGGGCGAAGGGTGTAGTCGATCCAAGGTGCTGACAGCTGGAGGCTTACGTCATAAGCACTCTAAGCAGAATGTTGCGGATTCGAAGTGTGCAGCGAAGCGCGGGCGTAGATTTGTAGACGGCTGATTGCAAAGACGTTTTGGTTGAGCAGACCTCGGTTCTCGATATTGTTGCTAAATCTGTAGCGGACGGAGGTAGAAATAGAACACTGATGATCGTTGTGATTATCGGTTTTGGGAAGCACATGTCACAACGTCCTTCATGTTTGCATGCGAGCGTGCAGATGGCGAGGAAGAAACAGAGAGCACCAACAATATGCTTACTGATCTCGGCTCTAGGAGACACATGTGCGGAAAGACATGTGACTGTTGATTATGATATGTTGCCTACACAGAGATAGAAGCAGAGCGTACAGACGGCATGATGTTTTCGTCGAGTATCGAGAGACATGTATTCTGAGGTATCCAAGTTTCCAACTCTGTGGTCAATTCTTTGAGGAGGCCTGTTTGATAGAATAGGTGGAAGTGCAGAAGCAGAGCAGACCAGCATACAACGGGCGGACCAGAAAACATAGGCAACGAAAGGAGTATCAAAGTAGACTGGGACATGTGATCCTTGGTTCTGGACTTCAGGAACCCTAGTCCATGAAGTAGATCGAGATGCAGAGCACAAAAGACCGAGGAATCAGCATGTAATGACTAGAATATTTCCAAGCGGATTAAACAAGCTACAAACAATCCAATGAACGCAACTTGACCGTCACCAGGTGCGAGGATTGTACGCGGAACAAGTCAAGGCAATTCGCGTCTGCGAGCAGTACGTGATATCTAAGATCCAGTTGTTTCGTGTCTGCCTGTGGGTTATCTGCATGATTGTTGCGGCACGGTACGAAGTACGAAGTACGAGCACCGACCCACTATTTTACCTGGGTGCCTAGGTACCTCTTCCCACGGGCCCCCCTCGCTGACGCTTCGCCGCACTTTCCACTGACACAACGTTAAGACAGAAGTGAGTGATGCAGCCACAGGAACTCAGTATTACAATGCTGATAAATTTGCTTCGCGCATAGTGGCACGCATAATCCACTGTGTCAGACATGCACAAGGAGTCCACAATCTTTCATACGCCAACCATGATATTCCAGACCCCTCGCTCACGCCGCTCGGCGAGTGTCAATGTCACGACCTCGCGAAAATGTTTCTGTACCACGATAATGTTGAACTTGTGGTAGCTTCGCCCCTTCGCCGTACCCTCCACACTGGCTTGTTAGCGTTCGCGCCAGAGGTCGCGCGAGGTGTTCAAGTACTAGCCTTACCGTTGTTGCAAGAAGCAAGTAGTCTTCCATGCGACACTGGCAGCGATGTTGCGACGATCGAAAAGGAGTTCAAAGATACCGTAGTAGACTTCAGCGAGGTTCTAGAAGGCTGGCAGGTGAAGGTAGGAGTCGACCATGCACCCCAGACCGGATGATACAGTACAAGCTTAACTAAATTTACAGGAAAACTCATCACTTACAACTGCTGCACTACTTGATAGGGCCGAGAAAGCCCGGCAATGGCTTCTTGCGAGACAGGAAAACAACATCGTTGTGGTCTCGCATGGCTGCTTTCTTCACTTCCTCACTGACGATTGGTATGACTCGGTGAACACGCAAGGTGCGCATTTGACTCTCATAAAGTCCCTTTGTGGATTTTCGCTAACACTTTTTACTTAGCCACTGGATGGGGGAATACAGAGTTCCGTTCTTACGAACTCTCGGGTGGCCCAGAAAGCACTTCATTAAGAGAAACTGCCGAATCGAGGTCGAGAAGGGGATTGAAGGAATTTGAGCAGAATTTTGAGCAGCAAAATCTGGCTGAGAAGAAGATCACCCTCGAGACGTGGCGAAAGTGGGGCATTGTTACGGGTTGAACTTTGTCAAGGGTGAGTTGCACCTATCTTTTACACTTGCCAGCGTTGCACTTTGTACACAATGAATTCATGATTTCATCTGTGCGTGCAAATCCAACCAGAGAAGAATACATTTCACGAGGAAGCCTCATCATTCGAGATGAGCAAAAGGTCGACTGCAGCTCTTCCTGCGCCAGACGGGTCACGGTTTGTGAGCAACAGGATGCGAATACTCTTTGAGCGTTTGACAAACAATATTTCCATAGATATATATCTTAGAGCTCTCAGAGCAGGACGAGAAGGATTGTTTGACATTGAGCCATATCTTAGAATGAGATGTGTAGATGTCGGTCGGCACGCGCTCGATTAACATGCTGCGTTTCTGTTTAGATTGCGCACGCCACACTATTCTTACAGCAATTAGTATGTCTACGAAAAATAGAAGGAAGGTGAAGCGGCCATGTGAAGTTGATGTATATTTTTCAGCGAGCCCTGATGTCGATTGAAGCTCACATGACGAGAGGTAAAGGTTCGATGCAAGAGCTAATTCCTTCTGTAAAACTCATGTTCAGAGCAGAAAAAAAAACCGGACATTATGATGCCGACGAGCACCTTTTGAACACTTTCTAACGGTCAAGCATGGTAATTGAGGCTGGCTTGATACATGTGCCTTGGAGCAAGCTTCGAAATGAGACCAAAATCATTCGAAAATATCAGACAGATAGGGAGATAATAGAATCTTTTCTTAGACTTTGGTGTAGCCATACGGTCGCAAGACATACCTTTAGATGAGCAGATACCACCACGGCAGGCATCCAGAAGCAAAGAATCTGTCAGCACCAGCGGTGTAGTCGCTGAGGAGAGAAGTGTGCTTAAGATCCCGAATACATGTGTACCCTCATGTCCAAACATCAGCCTGCCGGGTAGGAACATAGATGTGCAGCTCGCCAGACACGACATGTGGTTCTTCCAAGTTCATTTCGAGACCTTCTAGATATAAGAGATTTTTCTTCCGGAATTGCACACACTGCAAATTTTTCGGCCTTCCATTCGCGGAGAAACATGTGCTTTAGTACCATCTGAGTAAAAGCAAAGATTCCAGTAATACAGCGAGGGAGCAGCAGACATGATGTGGAGCCTCCTGACTTTGAACTGACACAAGAGCGAATTTCAATGCCATGCAGGAGATCTGTTTCGAGTATGAGATCCGTTGTGAGGATAGGGTCCGTTTCGAGGATAAGAGCAGCAAGCAACAGACACATCAGAGACTTCGTATCCTTTATGAAAGAATCATGACAAGGAAGCTTCAAACAAACAGCACACATAATGTTCACCGTCTTCAACTTTTCGTTCGTTGGCATTGCAATATGCAAAACTTCCATGGCGTGTAGCTTTCATTGTGAGATAACGACCTCCAAGAGACAGAAAGAGCAGACATGCAGTCTCTTGACCATGACTGCAATCAAAACTTATAGGCCAGAAATTGCGTGTAGACGTAGTCTCCAAGAACACCGTTTTCGATTCAAGACGGGGACCCAAGGCGAGGAAGTTCATTTGTCCAGCGAACATAACTGTTTGAGATCAAAGATAGAGGTAGAGCGTTCTCAAAGAGAAGACATTCATCAACGTTTTGTTGATTTGAAGATTCGATGCGGCTTTGGTGCAGTAGGAGGTCGATTGCAGAATTGATAGCGCAGATTTATAGACGTCCGCTCCGGCGCTACCTTATGTGGACGTGACGTTCAAAAGAGTAACATGACTAGGATTTTTGAGTTCCGGCGTCACATTTGGAGATTGTGTGGCTCACAAGTAGATCATGAGAGACGCGCGGCATGAACACGCCAGATTGACCAAAAGTCGGGGAGGAAGCTGGTAAATACATCCTTGGTTTCTGGAACGGGAGAGGGGGAAAGAGGCCATTGAATTTGCAGTTGTAGATCGAGGGATGATAACAGCAAACCACAGCTCGAGAGCACGTCATGTGCCAGCTTCTACTCAATTTCAATAGTGGTATTTCTCACGCTCTCGCTCATGTTTAGAAGAACCAGAGACTGAAGCATGGACCTTTAGTCTTTGTCATTTTCAGACGGCCTCCACAGCAGAATCGGGACAGAACATGTGTCAGCCAGTGCGAACTTTCATTGAGTGGACATGCCACGATCCCCCGGATAATACATGCAGCCGGCAACAGAAGACGGGCATGATATATTGCCGAGTGGTTTTAGACAGAAAAGGCGCTATGTCCCTGCTTACCGCAGCGCAGCAAGGCCAACGCAGGAGCAGGACGACCACATACAGTTGTCTTGAAGGTTTTAAGAAATGTAACGTGCAGAGAAGGTACCTACGGGGCAAACATGAACGCAACACCTGGTAGAGGCACACCAACATGATGATGTTTGAATTGTCTTTGAGATGCGATGCATAAGTGCGACAGACCGAAAGCATGTAGTCGAAGTTTTGGCATTCGAGATGTAATGATGGTGGAGCGGGTAACAAGAAGAAGGGTGGAGCTCAAGAGTTTAAGAGCTTGAATACCGGTTCCCATTTTCAAAGGTCGGAGCGGAGCTGCAACAGGTGCATGTCTAATCCCAACTCATCAAAATCTCGAATGAGGAAACTTTGCACAAGCGCAGAGAGAACGAGGACATTCAATCGGGATTTCGTCATTTGAAGTGCGACGAAGGCTGAGTTGGTGGTGGGAAAGATGGCGGAACTCAAGAGCTGGAGAGCTTAAATACTGGACCCCATTTAGAGGATTTGGTGCGGCAGTGGGGTTGATGTAGACGGAACATGTCTGGTTCAAACTTAGCTTTCGGGTCCAGGAGAGCTGAACCATGGGTCGGGCGGGATCCGAACCAGTGCAGGGTTCGACGCTAATTCTAAAACTACTACATGTAGAAATATTTCAACGAACTATGTTGATTGTAATACTTCGAACAGAGTTCTGAGCCGTGCAGTATCTGCGACAAAAATCTCCAGCTTCACCCGCGATGGCGCTGCGTCCCAGACACTTCACTGAGGAGGAAGTCGCGTCTTGTAACGGCAAAACAGATAGAAAAGCCGGAATCAATGATCGTGTAGAAGAGCTCTCTGTCCATGCCTCCGATCATAATCAAGACAGCAAAGTGCAAAGCGAAGATGCCAGCGACATCGACGACACTGAAAGAGACAACGACGAGAACTCAGACACCGACTCCGAGGATGCCTACAACTCCAAGCACCACTCCCCCCCTTCCCCCTACCAACCACATTCGCTACCACCCCGCCCATCCGCAGCCGACCTCTCCACCCTCCGCACCCACCTCAACGGCCTCCACACCATCCCACCCCGCCCCCCATTCCGCCCCCAACCCACCCACCCCCCTCCAACAACCCCCTTCACCGTCATCGGCCGCGGCACCGCTGGCACCGTATTCGCGATCCCGGGGACCGAGTTCGCGCTGAAAAAGGGGTCTGTGAGGGCTTCGATCTGGGCAGATAGCCAGATGACCAACATCGCCTGCAACGCTGTCATGGAGTGTAAGAGTACGCTTGAATACCATTTCCCGGGGCTTTCGGTGCCGCGGGTGCCGCGGGTGCATGACTGGGTGGTGGAAGGGGATTTGGAGGAGTGGTGGGACGCGAACGGTGCTCGCTTCGTCAACACGCGTACCGCGCCCGGTATCGACGACGCGAGGCGCGCATACGTCTTCCGCACGCTGCGCATCCCGTCGCTCCCCCCGCCTGCCATCGCCGCCCTGATACGCGCGTACTTCCACCCCGACGCCATCCCTGCGGCGCTGCGCGCGCCAGCTAACACGCCGTGCCTCGTGCGCCCGTACCTAGGCCGTCGCCGCTCAGCGAGAGAGATCAACGAGTTCCACACCTCGCTGGAGAATTTCCCACTGTACCTCGACCAACTCCTCGACATCGACACCAACCTCGCGCAGTGCGCTGCGGAAATGGCGTTCTTGAAGAAGCAAAGTACTGTTTATGGGGCCAGACAGCGTAGGCATAGAGAAACAGGATGGGTTGAATCCACTCATCATGGCACTAGAAGAAGACTGCTCAACAGTTCGACAACCGCATTAGAATAGTTGAAGAGAAGAAACCCCTTCTTCTTACAATAATCTACTGAAGTATTCCAGCAATTCACAGGTGGTTCATCCAAGTGCGTTGAAACAAACAGTATACATCCAGATAGAAAGCGGGGGCGGGTGCGGGGCACACACATACACTGGAGGACAGGGGCGGAGAATGGACGCGGGTGAGATGGGCAGTGACAGTGGTATGTTAGAGATAGCGTGGCATACATACAAACATACATACACATACAGGACAGTATAGCTACGCCGCCCGCTTTTCCTCGACGCGTACCGTAGACCAGAAAAAGCGTACATAAATCCTCCACACATACATATGATACAGCAGATCTCACACACCAACCCCAAACCCCACACCCAAAAGCCCGGGTCAGTGATGCGCCACTGCACTACCGCACGACCCCAACCCTCCCCCCCGTACTCCGCGGATGCACGCTCCACCTCCCCAATCCACTGCCACTGCCACTGCTACTCCCACTCCCAGCCCTCCTCCCCCTCCCAGCGGCACCAGCGCCCCCAGCGCTACTAGGCTCAAACACCTCCCCCGCACCCGTCCCGGCGCGCTCTTTATGTTGTAGAAGGAGGAGGTGGTGCCAGATATCTTTCTCTTGCTCTGTGTCTTTCGCGGGGTCGTGGACGGCGTGCCAGGAAGCGTATGATTCCTTGGATTTGGACGCGGACGGTTTGGATTTGGACGTGCTGTGCTGCTTCGCCTTCGTCTGGACCGTCGCCTCCGTCTCCGCCTTGGTCTCCGCCTTTGGCTTCGACTTGGGTTTCGCCCTCGGCTTCGGCTTCGCCGCGACCTGCGCCGCCTCCGCCGGATACCTTAGCCCCCTCAGCGCATCCCGCAACTCCGCGTCCGACTCCGAGATCTGCGCGCGCACATACGCCAGTGCCTTCGCGCTCTCCGGATCCGCGCCCAAGCCCGCCATGACCGGGATCCGGGGTGTATACGCATAGTCCTGGGGCCGTGGCGGATCAGTAGGCACAACAGCGGGGTCGAGGCGCGCAGCGGCGCCTTTGGCGAGCAGGGCCTCCATGTCGAGGCTCTCGCCGTGAGGCAGCGGCGTGGCGTGCGAGGGCGTCACGCAGTCCATATCCACTTCCTTGCGCAGGACGGCGTCGATGTCGACAGCCGAAAAAAACGCGCACGACTGCGGGAGCTCGTTGATGCCGACCTGCTGTGCGAACATGGCGCGGGTCCAGAGGTTAGCTGTCTGGAGAGCGAGCGCGGCGCGGTATTTATCCTCTTCCTTCACCAGATACCGTAGTTCGTCGTGCACGGTGAGCGCGAGGCGGGCGTCGATGTTGTAGCGCCGGGTGAGGTACGACATGGCGACGATCAGCAGGTGCAGGTAGTCGACGCCCGAGGACTGGATGGCCCAGTTGATGCGCGAGGTCATGAAGCCGCCCTTGGACAGGTAGCGGCGCTGCAGGGCCTCGGTGATGGCGGCGCCCAGGACGGGCGTGCGCGGGCGGTCCTGCTCGGCGAAGGACTCGAGGGTGTTGAAGACGAGGGACTCTGTGCCGCCGCGCCAGAAGGGGCGCTCGTGCAGCTGCTTCCGCGTGGTTTTCTTGCCTTTGGTGTTTTGATAGAGCGCGTTGGCGGTATCGGTGGTCTGGCTGTCGGTGAGGCCGGGGTTGAACTGGCGGAGGAGGGTTGCTGCGAATTTCAAGCCGGCGCCGTAGATGCGGCCGTAGTTGAATACCTTGGCGTCGTTGCGAGATATCCCCAGAATACCAGCAGTGCGCGAGTGCAGATCAGTCCCCGCGGCCTTGGTGCCCTCCAGCGTCATGAAGCCGACCGCGTTGCCGCCGTGGAGCTGGAAGGTGGCGTCGCCAACAAGACTGGCGATCCACAACTCCTCCGAGTCGACGTCGGCGCCGACAAAGCAGTAGCCCTGTGGTGCTCTGACCATCGACTTGAGCTCCGAGCCGACGCGGTTCTTCTTGGCATTGCTGGCTGTCAGCCATGTGTTCTCAACGGCCCGTCGTGTAATGGTGCCCATGGGGATGATCTGCGGCAGGATAAAGCCGACCTTATTCCCGCGCCCCTTGCCCGACGCGGACGTCAGCTTGGGCGTGTCGGGCACTTCACTGCTGTAGACGGCCATCTGTGACATGATGCGGTCCCTCGCACTGATCCAGTATGAGCACGACGCGTTCATCTCGAGCGCTTCCTTCGCATACGTGTACTCGGACGTCAGCTTGCCCTTTTCGAAGAACTGGAGGTAGCTCTTCGCCAGCGGGTTGGTGCAGCGCGCCTGAGGCCCGTCCTTGTGGGGGATCTTGTAGTAGACGTGCTGCTGATCATCGCGCAGCTTCAAGTTCTCCTCCTCCATCATGTCCAGCTCCTTCATCCCTTTCTCATTATAGGCAAAGACTTCGTCGGCAGGCACCTGGTACGTCCAGCCATACACGTCCGACCACGTCAGCGGATTCCCGTCCCATGCAAGCCGCAGCAAAATTGGAGCGACTCGTGTTCGTATTGTAAGATTGATCGGCGCGTCGCTCTTCGGAAACAGATCTTTGTACCATTTGGGCATGCCCGGCATCTTCTGCCGTGCTGCCGGTCTCGGGGGATCGTCCTTCTTCTTGCCCTTGACCATGCGGATCTCCTGGCCAGACCAGTCGAGCTGGCTCAGCCAGGGGTCGCTGTTGTACACGTCCGGCTGGTCCTTAACCTCCAGCGCCTTCTCGGCCAGGGCGACGAGCCGCTCTCGGACGGCAGTGTTGAGCTTCTGGTAGGTGGCCTCGGCGTTATGGATGTAGGCATCCCAGGTCTCGTTGACGGGCAGGATCTCGGCGGCCATGAAGCGCAGGGCGGCAAAGCTGACGGGGTGCGGACACGTTTCGATGAACAGCGGGAAGACTTTTTGGTAGACGCGGTGGGTGACCTCGACATCGGCGGCGCAGTAGTCGAGCAGCTCTTCCAGCTTCTCGAGGATACCGGGGCGGTCGAGCTCGCCAAAGTACTCGCGCTGGGCCTTGTCGAGGGTGATGTTGCAGTGGAACTTGGCGACGTCGCGCAGCGAGTTGACGGCGCTGCGGCCGATCCACAGCTCCTCCTCCTCGTCGGGGAGGGCGCCGGCGTCGAGCAGGGTCGACAGCTCGGCGTTGTCCTCGGAGGTGGCGATCTTGTCGCGCAAGTCGCTGTTCTTCTTGTGCTTCATCCACGAGGGGCGCTGGCGCGAGCACATGCCGTTGGAGGCGACGTGCAGCGACATGGTGTCGATGAAGCAGTTGCTCGACTGGCGGATGTCGTACTCCTCGGCGATGCGGGCGCGGTCGTAGCCGACGTTGTGGCCGACGACGATGCGCGGGACGGTGGGGTCGCCGAGGGGGATCAAGTGGCGGTCGGACTTGGACTCGCCCAGCAGCCACGGCGAGACCCAGGCGTACCAGGCGGAGGGGCTGACGGCGCAGGCCATGCAGGCAAACGACGTCTCCTTGTACATGACCTCGGTGTCGAAGGTCAGCATCTCCTCGTTGGGGGCGTCGACGGGCTCGGTGCTGCCGTCGGGGTTGTAGCGCGTCCACCCGCTGCGGCGCACCCACTGGCGCGGCTTCGGCGGGGGATTCGCCCAGGCCAGCTTCTTCGCCATGCTCAGGAACGGCTCGGCGGCGTCCATGCCCAGCTTGTGGAAGTGCTCGTCCATGGAGGCGCCCTGCAGCGCGGGCAGGTCGAGGGCGATGGGCGGCGTCGAGTCCTGGTTCTTGCCGAGCAGGTCGTGGCGCGTCAGGTGGTCGCGCGAGAGAGCGACGAGGGCGGGGGGTGGTTGTGTGGCTCGGCCGGGGAAGACCTGGGCGTGGACATGGCTGGAGAGGTGCTGCACGCCGATTTCGCTGAAGCGGGCCTCGGAGGGGACTGCGGTGTCATGTCAGGCGGGTGGAGGTAACGCACAGAAGGGCGCATACCGCTGAGGGTTTTCCTGCTACTCGGGGTGTCTTTCTTGCTCGGGGCGTCCTTGCTCGGGGTGTCTTTCTGGCTGCTCCCGGCCTCTGTGGATGCCTGCGTGGCGGCGCATCGTCGCGGGTTGGCGGCGGCAAGCGGGCGGTCGACTCGAACGGCTCTCGGGCGCGCGGCGGTGGTGAGGGTTCGACAGGAACGGCAGCGCATTGCGTCTCGTTACTGCATGGCGGCGTCTCAGCGGCGTGCTCGGCGTGCTCGTGGTGGAGGTCGCGGCGCGCTGTCGTCATCCGGTCGCGTTGACACTGCTAGCCCGCCCTCCGCGCAGAAAAGCCGGCGAATCAGCGTTGGTGGGGCATGCAGCCCTACCCGCCGTCCCTGGCGCTCACCAGCGAGGCGGAAGCGTCCAAGCTCCATCAGCACGGCGGCCGCTCGGAACGATCCGTGAGCGCTGTCACGCACCGTCAGCGCTGTCGCCATACACCCGTGAGCTTCTCATCCCGCGCCGTGACCGCCTTGACACCGCGTTGTCATGCACCCGTAGACCCTGCCTCGCCACCATGTCGGCCTCGGGCGCGCCATTCGGCAACTCTTACACGCCCACCCCCGACTGGCCCTTCCCTCGCGCGCCCGACCCGCCCGGCTTCTTCGACAACCTGCTCAACCCCGCCGCCCGCGACCCCTTCGCCTACCCCGTCACCTCGCCCTACGACATGTCGCGCCCGCAGCCCGGTCGCCTGTCCAACGGCTACGTCGACCTGACCTCGCCGCACGTCGACCTGACCGCCCCCGACACCCCGCCGCGCCGCAAGCGCTCGACCGCCTCGCCCGGGCCCTCGGCGAAGCGCCAGAAGCGCCCCGACGCCACCCCGCCCGCCGCCATCGAGCAAATCGACCTCTCGCAGGACGACGACGTCCTCGCCGTCCTGCAGAAGCAGCGCGAGCACGCCGTCGCCGCCCAGGCCAAGCCCGAGGAGATCGTCGCCGCCTTCAACACCTTCAACTGCGTCATCTGCATGGACCGCCCCACCGACATCTCCGCGACTGCCTGTGGTGCGTAATTACCCAGGTCGTGCTGTGCTTTGCTGACGCCGCAGGCCACCTGTTCTGCCACACCTGTCTCATGGAGGCCCTCATCGCGGGCGAGAACCGCGCGGGGCCCGGTGAGCCGCGCCGCTCGCAGTGCCCCGTGTGCAGAAAAACCATCAGCCGCAACAAGGCCACGGATGTCATTCCGCTGCTGCTCAAGAAGGGGCTGGCCTCGCAGCCGAGGCGGAAGGCGGGCGCGAGCGCCGCGAAGACGAAGGTACAGTGAGACATGGATTTGTGCTGCGTTTGCGCGGGATAACATTGTTTCGTGGTTGCATTGGTCCACTGCATGCGCTGCATAGCGCACTGGAATCTCCTCCGGGACCATACTAAGGCTCACAGGCTGCGGCAAAGCAGTTACCTGTTTCTAGGAGACGGGGTCCCCCGCGCAGGCACACCGCGGTCGAGGTGATACACATCTGAGCAGACCACCACAACACTGCAATGTGGAGCACACTTCACTACACGGACGGGCGATGGACCACAGGCCACAACAGGTGTGCATCCCAAGTGTGCTATTACGGAGGAGGAGGAGTCTAGACTACTGTGGAGGCCGCTATCATGACGTACACGACCATGACGTATCTGTGTACAACAACAATAAAATAATTCACTTAACAGCCAGGCCTTCTGCATAGCCACTCCCTCGTCAATCCACCACCATGCCCGACTCTAAGCTCACCTCCTCAATCGCCATCATCGGCGCCGGCGACGTCGGCGCCACAATCGCCTACTCCCTCATCCTCAGCTCCACCACCTCCGAAATCCTGCTCGTCGACCCGCAAGAAGACCTCCGCGACGCCCAAATCCAAGACCTCGCCGACGCCGCCGCGCACACCAACACCCCAACCGCCATCCGCGCCGGCACCCCCGCCGAAGCCGGCCAATGCGACATCATCGTCTTCGCCGCAGGCGCGAAGCAGAAAGAAGGTACTCCCCTCACCCCATTCCACGTATCCGCACCCCCGCTAACAGCCCAGGCGAATCCCGCACCGACCTACTCAGCCGAAATAAGAGTATTCTAGAGTCCTCGCTGCACGACATGCGCCCCTTCGGCGCCCACACCGTGCTCCTCCTCGTCGCCAACCCCGTCGACACCCTCACCCAGCTGGCCCAGCGCGCCTCCGGCCTCCCCACCCCCCGCGTCTTCGGCACCGGCACCACGCTCGACTCCGCGCGCCTGCGCTCCACCCTCGCATCCCGCGCCCGCGTCGCCACCAGCGCGGTCCACGGCTGGGTGCTCGGCGAGCACGGATCCAGCCAGGTGGTTGCGTGGAGCGGGGTGCGGATCGGCGGTGCGGCGCTCGAGGCCGCGCTGCCGTCCGGAGTGTCCGTGGACAAAGAGGCTGTGGCCGCGGATGTGAGGGATACGGCGGCGCGCGTGATTGCCGGCAAGGGGTCGACGAATTTCGGGATCGGGGCTGTGGCGGCGGGGTTGTGTGGGAGTGTGCTCCGGGATGAAGGGGTGGTGCGGGTGGTGAGTTGGTGGCACGCGGAGTTGGGGGTTTGTCTGAGTTCGCCGGCGGTGGTGGGGCGGGGGGGTGTGGTGAGGGGGGTGGATGGGGGGTTTAGTGAGGAGGAGAGGGAGGGGTTGGAAGAGAGTGCTAAGGCGCTGAGGGGGGTGCTGGAGGAGCTTGAGAAGGAGGAGGGGGAGGGGAAGGGGGAGAACGAGAAGAACGAGGAGAAGGAAAAGAACGAGAAGGGGGAGGAGAAGTCATAGTCGGTGTTTTTGTGGTCGACCACGTGACTGAGACTTACAAACGCGGACAGCCGTGTTCATGTCCATCCTTGTCTGCAGCTATGTGTCAGCATGCACGAATCCACGTACCACCAATGCACGCACACCTCCCGTGCACCGCCCACCGCCCACCGCACACCTATAAAGCCCCCCACCTATCGCCATCACTCCCTCCCCACGACCCTCCCCTCTGCTCTCTTCCTCCAAAAGTATCCGAATACCTTTGCATATGTGTGTTCTCTCTGCTTCTCCCCAATTACGCCTTCAGAGCATGTTATGTGTGCTTGCTTCTGCTTCGCTTTCAAAATACCCAATTACCCGGAGTTATGTCTGGGCGTGTGTCTGCTTGTGATGTTTGCGGTGTACGGTTTTTGCTTCTCCAAAACGACAAGACGCATTTTCATGGCTGAGTGCGTCGCGTCTCACGAACCTCACCTCTTACTGCTCTGTTCTGCGCCTGAAAATTATTCTTGGCGATCGTATGGGTGGTTGCCTTGAGTGTCTGCCTTGAATTACCAAGCTACCTTGACTATGTGTCTACCTCACGGCTCACGTGCACTACTGCGCAGCCTTGCAAACGCAGGCGTATATCGTCTCACCGCGCTGCTGTTGTTCTTGCGCTACAACCCACCTCGCTTTTCTCTTCGTCTTCTAAAGCATGTCTAAGGGTTTTATATGTCTGTCTGCTCTCTGTCTCTCCCTAAAATGACATACTCGACAAGTGATGTGTCTCCCTCGGGCCTGACGGCTCATGTGCACTAGCGCGCGGCCTCGCTCAACGCACACCCATAAAGTCTCCCACCCGCCACCCACTCTCTTGCTACAATCTACCTCTCTTTCCTCTTCTTCTTCTAAAGCATACTCGAGTTCTACCTATGTCTGCCTGCTCTCTGTCTCTTCCTGAAATCACGAACAACGACCAGGCATGTCTCTCCCTCATGAGTTATGTTTACACTGCACAACCTTGCGCAATGCAGGCGTATGAATGCTACGTCCTGCTGCTGCTGCTCTTGCGCTGCAATGTGCTTCTCTGCTCTGTTTTGTATTCAAAGACGGTCTACGCCAACATATGGGTGCCTGCTTTCTGCTTCTCCCTACGATAAAATTGCAACCCCGACAGACTGATGTCTCTCGCTCGGGCCATGGACACTACCACATAGCCTCACCGGGCAGGCGTGTAAATCTCTTACCCTGAAGCTGTTGCTCTCTTCTCGATTCAAAGGTTCCATGACCCAATCCATGGCTGCCTGCCTCCTGCTTCTCCCTTGAATCACAAATCCCATCGTGCAACCCGGGATGTCGCTGCCTCACGACTCACGCGTTACACCGCGCACTCTCGCGCGTATAAAGTTTTACCTCCTTCTGCGGTTGCTTTCTCGCTACACCCCTCTTCTCATTCCGAATCCAAAACCCATTCGTCTTCTGACCATGTCTGCCTTCTGCGTCTCCCTCAAATCACAGTCACGTCATATTCAATATATGTCTCTCCCTCACGACTCACATGTCACACCGCGCACTCTCTTGGGTACAAAGTGTTACATCCTGCTGCTGTTGCTTTCTCGCCACAACTGCTTCTCTGCTCTCTTCTACATCTAAATCCTGTTCAGTGAGTATGGATGGTTGCTTTCTGCCTCTTCCTCAAAGCTCAGATGCATAGAGCGATGTCTCTCGCTTGGGCCTTAGAAAGCTCAAACTGAATCTGTGAACGTCTGTTGCTATTCATAAATCCAGCAATCGCAGCTTGATGTTGCTGACACGTGGGGGTGGGTAAAGCTTGCGCTGCTGCTGTTGCTGTCTTGTTCTGATCTACTGCTCTGCGCTCTTCTGAATCGAAAGCTGAAAGGTATCGTCCCATGGGTGCTTGCGGGCTGTCTCGCTTCACGGCGTAGGTGTACTACTGCGCGCTCTCGAGCGGATAAAAGCTCGCGCTGGGGTTGTTGTGGTTGTGGTGCAACCTGCGACTGCTGCTGCTCTCTTGCAAGTTAAAATGCCATGAACGATTCTGACATGAGAGTTTGCTGCTGGTTTTCTTCCAAAACGCACACTTGCCTGGTTCATGTCTGGGTGCGCCTTCCCTTATAATTATGACATTTGCGCTGTGCATTCCTTCTGCTTCTCATCCAAATAAATGTACAATCTCCATATGGCTGGTTGTGTGCCTTCTCTGTCGACACGTACTCCTCTGCTCTCTCCTAAACACAAATCCTGTTGGATCACTCTGTATGGATACTTGGGTTCTGCCTGTCCTCTGAAATGTCCAGATGATGGACGCATGGCTGAGTGCCTTCTCTCTCGCCACTTACTTCTCTGTCCCTTCTAAATTTAAACCGCGTCAGACTGATCCTATGGGTGCTTGGGTTCTGCTCCTCCTTGAAATCATAAACATGATTCTCTATGCTTGGGTGGGCGTGGCTTCTTTCTTGATATCTGCTCTTTCCCGCTTCTTCTTGCGCACGAAATCCGACATTCACCCCCAAATGTTTTGCTAGGTCCTGCTCCTCCTCCGAATCTTCAACAAGGCAGATGAATGCCTGGGTGTGCCTTCTCTCTTAACACTTACTCCCCGGTTCTCTTCTGAATAATCTCAGCGGTGAGTATTGGGTGGGTGCTTAAGCGTTTCTGCTTCCCGTCCAACAAATCGAGGTGCATGATCAATGTCTGGGTGTGTGACTTCTCTGTCGATACTTGCTCCCCTTCTCTCCTCTGAACCTAAAACATAGCGACTACTATGTTATGTGTGCTTGCTTTCTGCGCCTCTTCCAAATAATCGAGGTCCACAATCAATGTCTGGGCGTGTCCCTTTGTACGGCATTTGATCCTCTCCGCGCTCTTCTGCGCACAAAAAATATAATCTGCCTTATCATGCGCGCTTGAGACCTGCTGCTTGTCTGATTATGGCGCATTTCTGGGTGTCTGTTCTTACAAAGTTTACTACGGTCGCTGCTCTCTTCTACCTCTAAAAATGGCCTTCGATCTTCTCATAGGTTCTTGCGCTCTGATCATCCTCCACATCATGGATACCATCCACTATGTCTGGGTGTGTTCTCTCACGAAATCTATTTTCTTACTGCGTTGTTCTGCCCACGAAAACTATCTTGAGGGTCCTTTATGTGTGCTTGCCTTTGCTCCTTGTCTATATCTTACAGGAGTTCAATGCATGGCTGAGTGTTCTCACGAGACTTACTGCTTGCTGCTCTTTTCTGCGCACGAAATCCGTTTCCCAGCTTCGCATGTGTGCTTGTGTTCTGCTCCTCCTCTGAATCACTCAGAAAGCAGGGGAATGTCTGGGTGTCTCTTCTCACAAAATGTACTTCTTGCTCCGTCCTTCTGCGCCCGAAAACGACCAATTGCCTTCTTATGTGTGGTTGGGTTCTGCTTCTCGTCCAACAAATCCGGGTGCATGATCGACGTGTTGGTGTGTTCTCTCGAATCTTACTCCTCTCTGCTCTCTTTTGCACTTGAAATCGTCACGGGATCGTGTTATGGGTCAGCATGGTCGAGCTAGGTCTGGGTGGGTGTTTCCACGAAACTTACTTCTCGCTGCGTTCTTCTGCGCACAAAAACCGCCTTTGAGATGCCTATGTGGTTTCGCGCATGTGCTTGTGTTCTCCTTCTCCCCCTAATTAAGGAAATCTCGGTTGGATGGCTGTGTATTCTCTCATGAAATCTACCCCTCGCTGCTCTCTTCTGCGCCCGAAAGGTGTCATGGAAGTTCCGATGTGCGCTGTCGTTCTGCCCCTCTTCCTCACTTCTCTTGACTTGCGGCAGAGTAGGTATATGTTCTCTCATGGCGCTTTCTCTGTATGCTTTCTGCATCTCCATCGAAACAAACAGTCTTTGTGGCCATGTCTCTCCTCTCCTGGTACTCGCGCTGTGTATACTTTCTGCTTCTCTTTCAAGTAACGCACAAGTCGTGACATGTCTGAGTGTGTGGTCTCTCACAAACTTACTATATGCATACTTCCTGCTTCTCCCTCAAACCAACAACACGATCAACTGATTGTTGAAATTGCAAAAAGTGATCACGTATTGATGCAGCGCGTTGATCGGTAATCACGATGATTGGGCATACATGTCTCTCCCTTCACTACACTTGCTATGGATATGCTTTCTGCTCCTACTTCAACCCATCCAAATACTCAACAATGTTGGGTGTCTTCTCTCTGTCCTTCAAATTTACCTGCAAGCATTTCATGAGTAGTCTGTCTACAAAGCCCCACCGCTGATCCTGCAATCAAGATAGTTGAGCGCCATGACCTGAAATCCTGAATGAGATGACTTATGTTTGCGCTTGCGTCCTCTCTCCGTCTCTTAAAACAAAACCACTTACACCATAAGCATCTTCCCGAAATCTGTCTGCTGTCGATTCTTGGTATTGAAAATTGTATGGACAAGAGCGCATGGCTCGAAACCTGGGAGAAAGCTTGGGATGTTTGCATGTCTTCTCTCTGTCCACCATAGGGACTGTTTCCGCGATCTGCCTACTTCTGAACCCGGTGTTGAAATCTGAAGAAGATGTGATTCATGGACTGAAGACATCGAGGGCACATGGGATGTTTGCGTGTGTGTCCTCTCCCCGTCCCTTAAAGAAGAAACAAGCTGGATTATGAGCAGTTCGTTCCCGACATCTGCCTGCTTCTACTTAATGGTGTCGAAGTCTACACACATCAAAATCTTCAAATTCAAAGCTTACAGACTCCTGGAAATGACTGGGTGCGTGTCCTCGCTCCGTGCCTCAAAGCTGAATCCAGACTGCCTGATGACCAGTTTACTTGAAATCTTCGGTTTCTGATACTGCGTGTTGTAATCCCTGTTCACACAAATCATGGTCTACAGATTAAAAATGAAAGATCAAGTGGGAATGTGTGGGTGTTCGCCTGCTTGCCTATGAAATTACCAAGAAGGCTGCGTATGAGCGGTCGGTCTCTGGAATTTGGCCGGGCCTGATTCGCGATGTTGCGAGTCACATACATCAAAATCTTTGATTCAAGAATTCACCTCATAGGATTATGTCTGGGTGTGTGTCTGCCTCTCCTTTTCACCTCTCAGAGCCGAAGAAAAGAAATGATGGGTGTTGTGTTCTCAGGACTGAGCTACTTCTGATTTGCTGGTCTGAAAACTTACCGCTGAAAGCTGATGAATCGAAAGCACGAGTAGCATTGGCGATGTTTGGGTGTGTCCGTTCCTCTGTCTCGTAAATCAGAATGAGTTTGACGAGTGAGCACTCTGTTTCTGGGGTCTTGCCACTTCTGAATCGCGGTATCAGGATCCATACACACTGAACTCTATGGATCAAAAGCTTGAGCCACCTTACCATGTCTGGGTATGCGTCTGCCTGTCTTTCTGTTCCTGGAAGATGGACTAGGCAAAATCATGGGTAATCTGGTCCCGAAATCTCAACACTCTAAACCGAGATCCAGCAATCCATACGGCTCACAATCCATGGATTGAAAGATCAGAGGCTTTTGCCTATGTCAGGGTGTCTACTTTCCTGTTTCTTAATCGGTATGAATTGGAACTTATGATTGCTCTGTTTGTGGAGTCTCATTACCTTCGACCCTTCGATCCATAAATACACCAGAACTATGGATTGAGAATAGAGAGATGACCTGGGCATGTCAGTGTGTGACCACCCTCCTGTTTCTGAATAGATATGAACTGTAACTCATGGTTGCTTTTTTTGCGGAGTCTCATCACTCTAACCCAGGATTCCGAAATGTATGAAAGCTACAGATCATAGATTAAGATCGAGAAGATACCTGACTATGTATGAGTGTGTTCGCCTATCTGTACCCAACAACCAAAGACGCCATGTCTTAGGCGCTCGGGTTCTGAAACTTTCCATTTCCATCCTTTGGATCTGCAAGTAAATCCGAATGCTGGATCGAAAATGGAACGCCACCTATCCATGTCTGGGTGTGTGTCAGCCTATCAGTCCGCCTCTCTGTCACCAAAAGTGGAACGTTGCATGCTCATGGGTGCTCTGTTCCCAAAGTCTAATCACTTCTGACCCTTGGATTTGCAAGTCAATGATTCTAAGCTGTGAATCGAAAATGTCACGTCGCTCACTTATGTGTGGAGGTGCGTCTGCCTCTCTACCCCTGGAAAGCCCCTGGAAACAGAACGAGACGAAATCGATGGGCGCTCTGCTCCTTGAACTTTATTACTTCTGACCCTTGGCTCCGCAGGTCATAGATCTTCAAGCTATAGATTGAAATGCAAAGTCTAGCAATGCATGTTCGGGTGTGTCGCTTCTCAAAGCACCTGCGCATGTTTCCTGGCTTTCTGCTCCACCTCTGAATACGCAACCAGTTCGATCTATGCTTGGGTACGTCTCTGCTCTCACAGCACTTATGCATGTTTCTTTACTGCCCTCTCCATCTCTAAAGCACGGTATCTCAAATACACGTCTGAGTTTTTGCCCTCTCTACTCTGTCTCTGGAAAACAGGACTTCCTTCCAACATAGGCGCTCTGTGGAATATCATTACATCTGGCCCTTGATTTTGAAAACGTGACAATCGCTCGACATGGGGTTGACTTGTCGGGCCGCCCTTTGATATCTGGGGTGAATATCCCCTGTTAAAGCTTTCTCACGAGTCTGCTTCTTAATTTTCCTCCAAATCAACAAACTCCATGAAGAATGCCTTGATATTCGTTCGACTCTCTCTGCTTTTAAGAATCAAGGAATCTTTAATCATATGCGCCTTCTTCCTGAAATTGCATTACTGCACCTTCTGTGCATTGAAATCGACAGCATCCAAGGGCATGAATCGAAAACGGGATCCTCCTCGCAATTTCTCGGGCTTTGCTGCTTCTCCCATATTCTGCTTGTGGATATTTGCTTTCTGCTTCCCCTCCGAATTGGGTATACTATTGGCCTATGACTGAGCGCGTCTGCTGCTCTCTGCCCTCAAACATTGAACAAATAACTTCTTGAGCGACCTGATCCGTCAAAGCCTTTACTCCTGGTTTGCGACTTCGTAATTCAAAGAACTCTAATACGATGAAATGTGTGCGTCTGCCTCTCTTCTCTCCGTTTCTTGAAATTAGGATCAGAAAGACTTGATCCACGGGCCTTCTGTATCTTACCACTTCCAGAGTCTGGCTTTACAATTAAATTAAGTAGAGAGACACTGCATGTGCGTCTGCCCCTCCTCTCTGCCACTCAAAGTAACGAGGGTAGTGTGAATGACCAGAAATCCTCCTACTTCCAATCCTCGGGTTGATGATGTTAGTGTCTGCCTCTCGTCTCTCCCTGATCGGAGTAAAGAATATTGACCCAGCGGTGCTCTGTCGCTCGAATTGCTTCTGACCTTCGATCAGATCCGCAATTAAAGTTGACCATGTGCAGATATATGTGTGTCCCTGCCTCTCCTCTGTCTCTCAAGAAGCAAATGAATGAACTAGATATTCGAGCGCTGTGTTGCCGGAACTGCTTCTCACCTTCGAATTTGCAATTGTAACGTAATTCGTACGACAAGATGTGTCCGCCTACCTTTCTTCCCGACCACTCAAGAACAAAGAAGGTATGGTGTACGGTCACTCGTTCCCCGAAATCCTTTTACTTCTGATCTTTGGTTTCGCATCTAGAGCAATATCTCTCAGGTGCCCTATCCGCGTCCGCCTTTTTCCTCCGCTCCTTGAAACGAGGGAATTGGAATCGATGTGGGTGTTCTGTTCCTACCGATCTGTTACCTTTTTCCCTTGGTCTTGCCTCAAAAAGATGGCAAAACTGGCGAATGTGTGCGTCTGCCTATACTCCCAGCCCCTTGAGAGTAAGAAGACTCTCTTCCTGAATCCTGTCAATTTTAACTTCCTGTCAATTTTGACTTTTGCTCCATAACTCGTAAACATCATACATCGTGAATCAGAACGACGAAGAACCTTGTCCATGTTTGGTGGTTGTCTGCTCTTCTCTATTCATTGGAACCAAGAAAGTTCGATGAGTGGCCATGGGCGCTCTGTCTTCGAAATCTCGATACTTCTCACTCTGGGTCTCGCAATTAAAACAATTCCGCATACGTGCGATGGTGGAAGATGTGCGTGCGCTGCTCCTCTTTACCCTCCAAAAACCAGCAATGAAAGTCGAAATGGGCGGTTAGTTCCCCAGTCCTGTCACTTTTAACTCAGCTCTGCCTCAGATAATGAAACCATGATGCGGTGTGTGCGTCCACATCTACCCTCTGAGCACCAAAAGCACTGAGACCCCGTTACATGGGCGCTCTGTTCCTTAAATTTTCTTCTTTCTGACCCTTACTTCCATGGTTAAGATAACTTCGTGTCGATATATTGTGTGCTTCTGGCACTTCTTTGTACACACTGAGCCTGCTGATGTTAGAGCACATGAGCGCACCGGCTACGAAAGCCAAAACCTTATTATCTCGCCACATGAAATCTTGAGAAGGGAATGGCATGTGTGTGCGCGCCTCTGTGGCAGAAAATTAACGTTTCTCAGCTCAATAGTGTCCTGGTGCTGAGAATACACGTCCTTTCTGTTTCCGAACCTCGAGTATGACCATTACATGTGCGCCTCTTCTCTTCTGTGTGTCCAAAACCTGGACAGAACTCTATTTGTGTGTTTGTGCCTGCTTTCTCTCCACGACAATAGGTCCGTTTCTGGGTGATAACTTGCACTCTGATGTAGAGCTTGCATGTACCTTGTGTGTCCGTTTCCGCTTCACTTCTCCACCAAAACGACTATTATGAACAGTGTGACTCTTCAGACTGGCATCTTATTCTTCTTGCTCAAAGCCGACGAAGATTCAGACATGTGTGTTTGTGTCTGCTATCCCTCTCTACCACCATGATATGATCAAATGCGCTCCATGACAGGCTGTCTGATAAAACCTACCACGCTTTTCTCACATGCTCTTTGGTGTCAAAACATATGCTTCGAGACATCATATCTGCGCTGCCTCTCCGCTCAAGTATGGATGAGTCCCAGTCGTGAGAAGCTGGCTTCGGAGAGTTATTACTATTTGCGTACATCTCCGAAAGCTGCATGCAACAAATCTATGCATATTTGCGCCTTCCCCTTTGCTTAAATGTCGACACGGTGTGCAGCCAGCCTTGGAAACTTATCATAATTCCCCCACTTCTCCGAAATGGACACAATGGACCCGGATGTGTGTGTCCGCCTCTCTCCCTTTCCATCAGTCTGTTCGAAGCTCACATCTGATTTATGGACGAAAAGCATCGGAAATCAAAGAAATATGATGTCCTTGGAACGCCTGCACAGTGAATGAGGGCTATCGATGTCTGTGTTTGGCCTCCCTCTCTGATGTCGAGAAGATCTTGAACAGACAGATGGCTGGTTGTGTGCGCTATCGCCTTTCCTTCACGTCCCCATCGGCTGGCACTGATGCATATGTATGTCGGTGCCTCTCTGTTCAGCAAAATTCCTTACGACTTCTCGTCATGATCTCCTGTTCTTGAAAATACTCATAACGCAGTCGACGAGCAACACTTCCGCTCTTAAAAGGTTATAACTTCCTCCTCTATCTTCAAGTACGGAGGATCTCAAGCCATATTTGTGTCTGCCTCTGCGCGTTCTACTAGAGTCTATCACAATCCCTTTCTTGACCAGTCTACTTCTGAACGCTCTTTCACCCTCCGAAAAAGCAATGCCCTTGACGAATGTCTGCCCGCTCTGCAGCTCTGCCGAAAGCGGCCCAGAACTCACACATGAGCAGTCCTTCCGATTTTAGCAGCTTGTTACTTCTCCATATATCTCAAAACGCACGCACGTCTGAGTTTGCCTTCTTCGTGTACTGAAGAGCCATGGCAATTATAGTATGAGCTTTTATTCTGCTTCTGACGGCTAAGCACCCCCTCCATTTTCCCTTGAAACAAGATGCAGTCCGTAACATGAGCGTTTGCTTTCTTCCTACAAGAAAACGTCGGCACTGCGTAGTCGACACACTATCCGTCCATGATTTCCTCCCCTGTTTTCTAAAGGTCAGTATTCCAGACGCATGTCTGAGGTGACCTTCTTTGTTCACTGGACCCATTCATCGTAACAGCTTATGACCAGTTCATTCTGCAACACTTTCTTATAACTACTGCTTCATCTGCCGCAATTCGCGAGAACACTAGCACATGTCTGTCTCCGACCTCGATCTCCCTCATCAAAGCCATTCAGTTCTCAATCTTAAAATCTAATGTTTTTCTTCTGCTCTTGTTGCTTTACCTCAAAAGATATCCCACTCAAACAACGCCGACGATGTCGCATGTCTTCATCTGCCTTAACACCAAAGGCAGTTGATATATGAGCAGTTCCTACGCCTCAAAAACTCCGCAAGATTCCCTGGCCCCTCTTTGCCGAGCAGACAGCTTCAGCCTCTTGTTTCTGGAGGTTGTGTCTCTCTCACTCTAAATCTGGTCCAATCCAACGGCTGCTCAGCTTATGAGCGGCATGCTTCAAAGATTGCCGTCCTTTCCATCTATTTTTTTCGAAATGGATCGCCTTAAACTTTCTTCCCCGTCCCTCTTTATCTGGCTATCAAACACTGAAAATTAGTCGACTTGCTTCTAAGAAGTTCATACGTCCTTCTCAGTCTTCTCGAAAGTCAAATCATCTTCTCCTATGTCAGGGTCTGTGCCTGCCCCTCCCTAGCGAGTCACGATACGAACATAGCTGGACGATGATCAGTCCATTCTCAAGCCCTGTTGTACAACTGCCTTTCAAATCTTCGCAACGCAGGCGGCATGTGCGCGTCTATCTCTCTCTTCTGTGTCAAGTAAATCACTAGACGCATTTCTCGAATATTTGGATCTGCGTCTGCCATTTGCTCCGTTTGTCCAAACACTGGAGTTGCATTTAAAATGAGCAGCCTCCTATTGAGACTCCTCACCTTCGCCTTTCTTCTCCGAAATTTCGCCGATCTATCTCCCATGTGCGTGTCTACCACTCTTTCTCATTTCCCAAATTGCTCTACAGATCAGAGTATGAGCGCTTCTCTTTAAAAGATCGTCACCTTTTTCTTCGTCACTAAAAGCAAATACTCGCATGCATAGGTATGCGTGTGTTTGGCTCTCCCTGCTATCCTCGAGAAACTGAGATCTCCTATGACATGAGTATACTGGGCTGGCAGTGCTCCACTTCCCTCTTGCATCTCGAAATTTGCATCATGATGTTTGAATGTGTCCTACTGCCTCTCTTGGTCTATTGTTTCATGCGTGAATGAATCCAGATGTTTCCTCAAATCCAGACGCCCTCAAATCCATGTCGTTTGCCTCATGATCCTTGTTCTGGAATGCTGGTTGCGAATGGATCAACAGTAACTGCCGATTCTGTTACCTTTGTGTATTGCATCGCAGGCGACAAGTACATTTCGACTAGCTCCTCTGCTCCTGGCAGCTCACGCGATGTCTGTATTTCTTCGAGCAAAGGTCACAACAATAGATCCGCGGCCGCTCCTGTCCGCATTTCCGTAGAGTCCTCACGAACCTGTACCACTTTTGTTCATACGAGTTTCCCGAACAGCTCTGCACTGGGGTCTTTAGCATACTACAAGCTAACATTGTGACTTTCGGCGCCCTCCTCTTGCATTGTGAAATCAGAACCGAACATGCACAGGTTGCAGTCTAATTATGAACAATATCATCTCGCCACATATGTCCAGGACTCCCATTGATTGTCAAAGTCAGTTTGATAATGGCTATAACATTATATTTATTCCGTTTGATTTATCATGCAAAGCTATACTGAGACTTGATGGCAATGGAGAGGGTCTTTTGCTCTGCTGGCTGCTTGCAGGGTGGTCTTGATTTCAAGGGATTTCTTCTTCTGGAACTGCAGGTTGATGAACTCATGTATGCAGTAGTCAACAATTTGTGCGAGAATTACAGCGCATTCTCACCAGATCTAGGCCTAAGGTACTTGCACCACGGACTATCATTCGTTCATCAAATCTAACCACTACAGTATTTCTGACATTTATAGTACTACAGTTCAAGATGTTGTATCCTCCAGCCCCATAACTATGAGGACGTGCGTGTCTCCCGGAGCCTACCGTAGCTTTCTGATTGATCGATCACTCCCCTCACCAGATGTGCACCTGCAGCTGCCGTTGTCAAAACATGTAATTGCTGTGTTGATTTATGGATGTCCTTGTAACCAAGAAACTACAAGTTATTAGCACGCCCCCAAGCCTTGCCATGTCATAATTAAGGGTCATAGTCATGTATGCTATGTCTAGGCACTGTGCAGCGCGATCCGATAGCCGTTGTGAAGAAGAGGAACTACTGAATTTGAGGATGGTTCACAAGAAACAACTCACTGATCGTCATCGGGGTGTCTTGCTTAAGCCCCACTGTCGTTGTAGAGTTGGCGTCCTCAATAATTGGTTGTGTTGGGCCAGGAGATCCTCACCGGCCGGTCAATGCATCCTCATCGACGCATCTTGACAGGATTGTGGAGAAGGCGAGAATTCTACACTGACTACTGGGCCGCTCTTCTTGATTTTAGTCTTGAGTCTAAGTAGTTTGTATCGGCTTGGTGGAAATCGGACGTCTGGGACCTCGTAGTCCGCACAGCGGAGTATGGAAAGCCGTTCTGCAGCCATCAGTTAGTACCGGCAAGATATGACTAGTTTCCCAGATAACCATGAGTCTCCAAAGTACTAAGACAGATAGGACTGCTTCACTGTATGATAGCAAATTCGTGGTGATGTTCCGGTAGTACAGCCAATGGCAGACGGCCTACGTCCCGTGTATAAAGGGTTTGCATGAACCGTGAATTGCATAAACGGGGTCCAAGGATTTTTTCGTTTTAACAGAACCCTCGCTTGATTAGCCGCTCCAGCTGTACCCGCAGATACGGATGTAACCCTGACTTCTCTGTAGTGGAACACGTCTTGCTTGTACAATTTAGGTTGTTAATCAAAAGCTATATCAAGGCGGATTAAGAAGCATTCGTGAAATGTACTCATCTTGAATGCAAATCTGCGCCCAAGGTGTGGTGTTTTCTGGTTGCGTGGCAGCGTGCGATTCAGACCGTAAAATTCGATTTGGTTCGCATTGTTGGGAACCAAGATTCACACAAGATGCGCGAAAAGGATATAATGCCCTCTCCCCGTCTTGCATTGTTTAGTATCAACTGTCTCGGCTTTTCTCGGATCGAAAAGAAGTCTGGGCTCTCGCTTCACTCCAATTACATCTGCTCCCCGACCACCATAAAACCCACCACATCCCAATGCCTCCTTCAAATCAACATCCCACAATGTTTTCAACCACAGCTGAAGAGATGGCAACTACATCCATTACTAGCGCAACACAGCCTCTCTTGGAGTGCGCAGAATTCCAAGGCTTCGAAGAAGACTTCAACGATCACGGCGACAATTGGGCGAATAATGAGGATCCACTACCTGTTCAGCCAATAACGGAAATCGAGGAGATTCACACAAGCTTTACAGTAGTGGACAGTATGGATCAAAAGTCCGGATATACGCACTACTTACTGGAGAGTAATCAGGGCATGTTGTTCCATGGTCATGAGCCCACCCACGAGTGGGCTCTCATTCTAGCCAAGGGGATCCAAGACGGCGGAAAAGCTTTCGTTGAGCTCTCCGAGCGCAGCTTCGTATATGTTGACCGGTTATACCCTATGTATGACCAGTCCATGACCAGGTTCTCTGGTGATACCCAAGCCCTAACGGTATTCACGAAGGAGCAGCCGATCTTGTCGCAAAAAACATACAATACTCCGCACTATGCTCGTTGCACCTTCCAGGAAGTCAAGCGATGTGAGCGAATTCTGAGGAGCCCTCACCGGAATCTAGCAAAATACCTCGGAGCTGTCACCAAGCGAATCGAGGGGGAGGACCGAGTGGTGCGTATTGCGTACCGTCGTTACACCATGGACCTCCACGAGTTCGTGATAATGAAGCGGCTACTGAGATCACGTCATGTCCCCTTTATTCTGCGAAGCCTTAAGCGGGCGATCCACCATCTTCATCGGCTGGGGCTTGTGCACTGCGATGTCCGACCACCCAACATCTTTGTCAGCTTCGACAAGCACAAGAAAGGGTCACTTTATCTGACAGAGGTCGTGCTTGGAGACTTTGATGCAAGCCTTGAGATCGGCGAGAAAGTGGCACTGAAGCGGGCGAACGGAGACTGGTGGCCACAAGACGTGGGATGGGGAGATAAGGCGAATGCCTCGATTGATGAGCACAGCCTTCGCAAGTTGAAGACCTGGCTGAACGTGGACGGGTTGGGAAAATCACCCTGGGCAGAGGAATGGTAGGGAATGCTGACTGACATACATCTCAGATTCATTGAAGAGCTTAGAGTCGGTCTCTAGACAGCGTGTTTTCGGAAAAGTTGTGCAGTGTTGATCTTGGTCTGTTTTCCCAACGCCTGTTCGCTACAAGTCAATCCAATATATCTTCCCAAGAATGCAATGTTCTTCAACTATTTCGACGTGTCTTTTGTTGCTCGCACAACCCACAGGGGATCGAGGTGACCTATATGCCCCGTAGCGGCGGAAGAAGAGGTTGGGGTTCCGTGGTCGTCAGTGATCCTTACGCCTTCCTCGGTTCTGGCGCAAAGATCCACGATCTCGACTTTGTCCCATCCAGAGAAGTGCAGGTAGTCTTCGAGTGAGGTCAGCGCATGGAAAGGCAGAGCTTAGTAGCAGCTTACCTCCAACAAACTCCAGTCGCGACTGTTCATTCAACATCATCCATCTCCTTACGACTTTATTGGGGAAGCATCGATTGCTGATTGCGAGATGGATCGTTCCACCCTCATTAGTCGCGTCCAGCAGGTTCCTGCATACCTCTAACGGATGATTTAAGTAGTCAATGCTTACAACACACGTGACTAAATCGAATTTCAATTTCTCCCCAGCCCATCCAGCTCTTGGGTCGTGCGGCTGTTTGTTAAGATCGATTACTCTCCATCTCTTTTCTCCTTGGAATAGCCCGTTCAGAGACATCTCCTCTGCGTTCAGCCCGACGCCAAACACTTCCACATCGCCCCTCTGCACTGCACTCTTCGCGGACGTGGGAAAGAAACTTTTCCAGCTTGTACAAACGTCTAGTATCTTGCCTTTGGACGGCAACACAGTGTCATAATATGCAGTAAGCCTCTCAAGAGCAGGGTCATCGATATGCGTCACAAGACGTGGCTGTCTGTAAAAGATTCCGTCGTCATTCTCGTCCTGGCGCTGGAAATCGCAGGCATCGTACGGCCATTTGTCGTATCGTGGCTTGTAAGGTGTTGATGGGAACGGTGTTGAAGCGGGTGTCTGAACAGAGCTCATGCTGGCTTCGGCAAAGAAGTTGCGTGGGAACTCACGGAAAATCGAGGAGTAGTTGCGGGATTGAAGTGCCCGCGTGCTTGCTGATCGCAGCATGGACAGTGTGCTGAACATTGATTTATCCCAGAAATCGTCTTCCTTTGATGTTATGAAGCTAGGCACGCCGCGTTCAGGGCCGCCTTCGGCTACATGATGATGTCATGACGAAACGCGATCTCACGTGCAGTTCGTTGTGCGTGTAACATAAGCCGCAATCTCCGTTATTTTTGGATTCTGAAATTCGTTGAGCAGAAAAGATTGACCAAAGTCTAAATGACGGCATCAGATGATGAGAGCCTCGCTTGCATAGAATAAGGGCTCGCTACGTACCCTTTTGCAGCGGAACTGCGTTCCGGGGATCGGAATCAGTCCCGCGGTATGATCGTACAAAGTAGATCGAGTGGCCTGAAAATGAATCAGTCTCAACATAATGACGGGAATACTCAAAATCACCAAAATTAGATGCACAGGCCTCAAAGCAAGAGCAAAGGTTGAGTGAACCCTACGATTTTCGATGTTCAACTTCGCTCTGACAATTTTTTTAGGTGCTCGAGGCACTTCAAACATTTGCAGAGCACGTCAATACAAATGAGCTGGCAGTCATGCAATATCTGGTCGGCGTACCAATTGAACATAGTAACGAGAGTGACATATACCTCTCTGAAGAGTGATTTGGCCCTTTGAGTCTGGCTGGTCTTTACTAACGATGACAGGTTCATGTCACAAGCTGCGTATGATGTACATGAACATGCGCAGCAAATGAAAGTTCTTGAAAGCCTGCTCAATGATAGTAGGATCGTGTCAGAGCCACCCGTAGTCTGCACTGGCTCTATCGCTATCAAAAAGACTTCCGGCCCTCCAATACCCTTGGCTTCAGACCCTGCCATATTGCTCATTGAAATGGGTTATCAGCCCGGAACCTTGTCGAACGCGGTGCTCGGTTGGAAAGACATGGCGGAGGGGGCTGTCCAGAGCGTACCCGGCGTCAACGTGTTTACAGTGATGGAGGACCCAAGGACGAGCAGCATCAGGACAGTTGAAGTATTAGATTCATGGGACAGTCTTAGCATATTGGTCAACACTGATGCTGCAAAGCAGAATATTGAGCACAACGGTAAAGATAGATCCGGAAAGAAGAGCGCTATCAGATTGAAAGCGATCGCGGGGTTTATTGGGCGCTCGTAGCATGTTATAGAAACACTGCCCAAATTTACAGCGTCTCCTTAATCATGAGCAGCTTCTGTAGTGGGGATCCACATCTCAAGTCGGACACTGAACGTACCACGGTGCCCATTGCGACAGTGGCCTATGATTGTTTTGTAATACCCCCCACGATAATTCCAGAAGTCGCCCAGATTCTCGCGAACCACGCGCTGCACACCCATCTTTGTAGGGTCGTGTCGTGACCAGTAAAACCACCCAATCTGGCGCCGATCCTACATTGCAAATTAGTGGTACGTTATAAGACTTGGAGCGAATGAGACGCACTCTGAAGAATCCTCCGTTACACGTTCATCCATGATGTTAGGGAACCGAAAGAGACTCTCAGCGTGAGGTTGGAACGTTCAACCAAGCCAGCCCCTGCTGTACGTCCCTCCCGTCCCCACTACAGCAGCTCAACCTTCGCGGACAGCTAGGTCCCGAGTACATACGCGGCCCAGCTTGTTGCATGACCTGAGTCCAATGAATTTGGTGAGCAACACGATGATGTGTTGGTAAAAGGGAGCCCACAATGAGCCAACCACGAGTTACTATCGTCTTTGCGAACTTTCAGCAACTCTGTTCATACAGCAAGACTGAAACGAAAGAGATTAAGGAATGAGAATGGCAACAGTGCTGGAAACATTACACTGGGCACGCGCGCAGCTATGGCTTACCTTGTTCCACGACAATTCGTGCCTGCTGAACACATCTCCCAATTCAGCCCCGTATGATTCCGCCGCTGCATCAACCATGTTGCCGAACAGGACGTCCCTATTATCGCTCTTGTTATAACTTTCAGCTTCAGCATGCAGAATTCGCAGCATTCCTTTCAGCCACAAGCCTCGGATATCGTCGACCCGAATATGCTGATCGCACCATTGGTGAAGCGTGGAATAATCCCAGGTATCATTTGGTGAATTCCATCTGAACACACTGCGCAAAGTATCATAAATGATAGAACGGCTGCATTTTGCCTCCGCAAGGGCGAATCGCACTGTCTCGAGCGTCGGTGGCTTACCGAGTCGACGGTTGTTGTTGAAAAGCTCTACGGCTTCAAGGTTGTTTTCAAGGAACGCCTGTCGTCTCCCTTCCATGGCAAGTCGAGATGTCTCTTGATCCCGCCAATCGATTGTCATACTGGTGATCCAAAGTAGGAATCGGAGATATTCAACCCTTTCCGGTGTCCATGGCCCGGCAAGAAGTTTCTTCGGCAGTCGGCAGTGCACAAAAGCGAGCCGTGGTAAATGACTTCGTGAGAACACCATGCACGTCGCATCTTTGAAATTTGGCGGCCATTGTGCGTCGAAACAGCCCTCATCCGATCTGAGACCGCACAGACATCCACTGCTGGCATACGTTTTCGTGATCCAACTCTTAAGGAATGACCAGGTCATCCACCTGCTGGCAAAGATAGCGGACTGTGCTGCCGAGCGTACAGCATGGTTCTCGCATCGATCTGTCAAGAAATAATCGCACGTGTTGTGGTAAACGTATTCGCTCGATAGTCGTGCACCCAATACATCGGATGCTTGGACCAGAGCGAGATTGAAATCGCAAGCCGCGAAAATGGGCTGCAATAATTCCACCGGAAGACGCTCAATAGCTGCTGTTGCTGCTGTTGTCATGTTGAGGTCGCTGAGACTGCAAGTATGGTGATGTCAACACGGCGAGGTCAGTGTCAGTACCGTGATAGCCGGCCAAACACTGGCAGGCTTTTGAGGAGTAGTTTGTGTTGAGTCGAAAAAGGTAAGTTCGATTGTGCAGTAATTCTTTGGAAGAATGAAACTCGATCAAGGCATTGCCCCTCTCGTGCGAAGTGATGCCACGCCATGCTCGTGTGAACGCCTGACACGCGGTGTGTTGTGAGCGGCTGAGCTGGTAACATGACCTCGGTCGGAGCTACCCCGCTCGTCTCCCCACACGCGGATGTGGACCGCTTCGACTAGCGTCTGGCAGCCTCGACCAGCCAGCCGACGTTTTTGTCTCGTGTCTTGATTTCTGTGTGATTTTTCGCCGATATAGATAATGATGACCCACTCACCAAGTCATTATTGTACGGAGATGTGTACCATCCGAAGAAACCCCGGAATTGCAGCAATCAATCACAGTCCCGGTTCGATCCGGGACTATATCAGCGCATTGCTGCCAGCACATCTATCAGCAGCCTTCACCGACTGAAGTGACTACATTTCATCCCGAAGAGCTCATCGACCTGCGTTGTACAGACGTCCAACTCACAGCCGCACATATGGAAATCATCGTTGTGGGTGCCGGCCTTGCAGGGCTCTCTGCGGCCCTTGCCCTGACCCACTCTTCCACCAAACACCACGTAGTGCTTCTCGAGGCTGCTCCTGCCCTTGCAGAGATCGGTGCTGGAGTTCAACTCGCTCCAAACGCCACCTGGCAGTTCAAAGCTTGGGGCCTTCACCCTCAGCTTCTTGCAGCCTCAGCACTGCCTGAAGCGTGGAACTTGCGCCGTGGCTCTGATGGAGAGATCTTGAACCGAGTGCCGATGGCCAAATTTGACGAATGGTACGGCGCGCCCTATGTCGTTGTGCACCGCGCAGATCTACATCGAATATTGCATGAAGCAGCCGTAGAAAGAGGCGTGGAAGTACGTCTGAACAGCCGCGTGGAAGAGTATGGGGTAGAAGAAGGGTGGGTGAAGCTGACGAACGGTGAGAAAGTCCAGGGAGATCTAGTTGTGGCCTGCGATGGTGTCAACAGCGTTGCTCGAACGCAGCTACTCAAAAGCACAAGAAGTACAATTCATCAAGTGAACGAGCTGGAAACAACAGGATGGTCAGCATATAGGCTGATGGCAGATGTAAAAGAGTTGGAGAAGGATGCGCTGACGAAGGAAATTGTAGGCGAACATTCTGCCAACTGTTGGTACGTGACTTGGATTCATGGGAGACTTTGACTTGTAGAACTAACAATTTTCAGGGCAGATGCCAACAGATCCGTGATGTCCTACATGATCCGTGATTCTGGAAAGCTCAACCTCGTTCTATCTCATCCCGATGACACGGACACCAGTACTTGGAGTCGTGAACAATACTCCTCTGAGATTCAGCGGTATTACCATGATCTGGACCCACGTGTACTTCGCCTTGTCGCCCTCAGCACTGGTCCTATAACTAACTGGCCTGTCCATCAAGTCGCTAAGCTTCCTACGTGGATGTCAAAAAGCGGCAGATTTGTGCTTATCGGGGATGCAGCCCATGCCATGGCCTTCTACCTTTCGATGGGTGTCTCACTTGCGATTGAGGATGCCGCGGCGCTCGCTACAGCTTTGGATTTACACACCTCAGGACAAGGCAATGTGTCTTTGAAGAAAGCGATGCAGTTGTTCCAGGGCGTCCGAAAACCGAGAGCTGAGAGGATCAGAGATGCGAGTTTGCACGCAGGCGAAATGCTGCACCTTCCTCTGGGGTCGCAAAGGGATCTGCGTGATGAATCTGCAATGAACGATACTGCAGTCTCGGAAGCGCAGACAGGCGACTTGTTGTTGGATTGGATCAGCTACGGTATAGCAGATAAGATGATCAGGCAAGACTGCTATGGATACGACGTTGTTTCAGAGCTACGTCGTCAATTTCATGAAGACGAACTCTTGCCCGCGCAGAGCTAACTCCATATTTTGTACAATTAGCGCAAAATCACTTTATCAAACCCATTAACCTTAAATCAGTCGGAAAAGTCTGAAGATGCAACGAGGGGTACGATTGCAGGAGACTTGACGAGTCTCGTGTGAGGTGCGAGCGGCGCTCGGTCAGTACCTGTGTCTTGCCAAGATCGCACCCTGGTGTACCATCCTTTCATTTGTTTCTACATTCGACCTCTCAGGCGATTCTTTACGCAGGACATTGCCGCACTAGCACAGAAGTACATTCTCCTGGCCAGTTCACTCTCGCAATCTGGCGACCTGGACAGCGTTCAGAGAGCTGATGTCAGCGCTAGCGCATATCCAAACAGCCACCTTGACAGACCGCATAAAGCACCTACCTGGGTTTAGCGTCCTTCGGTCCGACTGCTGTGTGCCATATTGCATGGTGCGAAGTGATACAAGGCTGAATACCGCAACGGCTGATGTGACGCGAGGCTGAGCAAGATGACATTCACACACATAAGAGGTTCGAGCACCGCGCCGCTACCTAATGTGAGACCTCGAGTCTGCTTCAAAAGGGACACTTTCCAACCCTGATCCAGCGATCTCGTGACAGTCCATATGTTGCTCACGCAGCTATGTCTAGAAACCAACAAGACCCCTACTGGATCGACACTGATGAGCGAGAACATCAGGAACAAGGCTTACTCTACCGAGAATTCGAAATGCAACGCGAACCATCTCCACTCAACACGCCAGTGACGGCACAGCGTACCAGGCCCGACGATGCACCAACCACATCTTCGTTGCAGGGAGAAAAGTCCTCGAGGACGATACCAGGCTGGCCGTCGTCGCCAAAGCCCATCAACACACCGATATACGTTCAAGTCCTCAACGCCATCTTCGATATAATCTTACTCGCTGGTTCAACTGCCTTTTTCGCATTTGCCATCGTCGTCGGTGTACACGACCAAGTTCCCACAGCAGATTATCCACGCCTGACTACGACACTGATCGGCGCTACAAAATATGTACTGTCACTTCGACGAAGATTCAAGACTGAAGCTGACTCCAGTTAGGGTCCAACCGTTTTCCCTATCCTGTTCGCTTCAATCGTCGGCCGCGCAGCACACGCAGTCCTTCTCTGGCGACTTGAGAAGGGCGGGCGAATCGGCACATTGGACACACTCGCTAGTAGTACTTCACTTACTAGCACTGTGACCTCACAACTCCAGCTTCGCTCATTTAGTACACTAAGTGTAGCATTACTGGCTGTGTGGATGTTCTCACCGATTGGAGGCCAAGCCTCGGTCAGAATGATGACCATCGGGTCGAAAGATACGAAAATAGATGATTCCGCGTGGTATATGGTCAACCATGGTTACCTTGGTTCATACTCCTCAGGAGAGACGGATCTCCAAGGCAATGCGATGGCGGGTGTGGTATTCGTAGCAGCCCTCATGGGTTCACCAGCGACGAAGTCCTCCCCGCTTGATGTATGGGGCAACGTCAAGGTGCCGAGAATTGAAGGCTATGAACAGGCCGTAGCGATGGACCATGATGGCTGGTATGAAACCAAAGACGGCGATAGCGACGCATACTCATCTCTTGTTGGGATACCAATCCTCGGCATGAACCAATCGAATTTCATCGACTACAGCATGCGGATCCACTCGCCATATTTCGGCCTAGATTGTTCTATCAATACTACAGTATCGGAAATGGACTCCATTCTCGTCAAAACACTTCCTGGGTTGTCCTCAAATGCAACTAGCCCCGGCTCTATGCTTTTTTGGGACATTCCAGAGTTTTCGATTCTTGCAAATATGAGTCGGGAAAGTTGGAGGGATAGAGCATCGCCAGAGACAATATCTCCGCTGAAGATCAAGTACGTCCCACTGTATCGCAGTAATTTCACTCTTACCTGCGATGTGACACAGTCATATGTCGAGACTGAGATCCGATGCCCGACTCATTCGACCTGCGCAGCAAAACGAGTACGACGATCGAGATTGAATCAATTTCCAGCCGCTTGGACGTTGCTGGATATCTCTTCGCGGACACCAAAACATCTGTTCCAGGGTATACTGAAGCCATTTGCCGGCGGAAAGCTCCGCTATCCACAACTGTTCGACCGTTACCTTGCAGATCCGAATCTAATCAACTCGAACTACGCCAACGTATCTCAAACAACAGAGGAGAAATATACTATCCGACTTGGCCAAATGCTCAATGCTTACTTCTCTTGCTTGAATGGATTCTTCGCCATCACTGCAGGTATTAACAACGACACCGCTTACTTCTGGGACAACAATCAAACCTTTGAGCTCCCACCTAACGTAAACGGCTCATGGCAGAATCTTTACCACTCAACAGTCTCAAACAACATGCTGAACGACATGTTTGAGACGAAATCATGGACAAGTGCAGTAACGAAGACCGAGCGGAAAGAGGTCATCATAGCTCATCGCATTTGGATCATTGCTCTATGTCTCGCTTCCATCATACTCATCGTTTCGAGCTTGATAGCCCCGTTCATTCGTAGCTTTCTCGCCACAGGAGTGGACGTGGCGATGAATATCTCGTCACTTGCCACTAGGAATAATCCTCACATGTCACTACCACAAACGGGAACTTTTTTGGATGCTTCCGATCGTGCTGGATTACTTTTTAACCATCAAGTACGCTTCGGTGACGCCAATAGTTCAGAGGACGTCGGCAGTCTTGTAATAGGCTCATTTGACCGCGCAGGAGATTCAGGCATTGCGAGAGTGCGCAAGAGGCGTCTGTACAATTGAAACGCTATCTAAGCGTGCGTACCATCCGCAGAGTTTTAGCCAAGCGCTATATGCAGATCGTGCTATAGCTACATGACTTTGTCACTGGCAAGATACGATTCTTGTTTGATCTAGACTCAAGTAGCAATCAAGGACTTAATTATAACCATGTCGAGAATTGGAGCGACGTCTTGCAAACTCGGGCCTTTGCCTCCAGACTGAGAATATATCTGAAGTTGTTCTACCATGGGATTGAACTGAGCCTAAATGAAACGACGAGGTAAGGCTATGGGCTGAAGTCGAAAGGCAGAGCACGAGCCGAGCTCTGATCGTGAGAGAGGCGTGGAAGTTAAAACTGCCGATTTTTCGTGCAGATGTCGATTGGTTTCGAGAAGAATAACTTGTTGCTCACGTCCGATTGGCTTAACGAGCACTCTTAGTTTTTTTACCAATAGTTTTCCATTGCTTCTTTAGCCCGTTTTGTTTATACAGACGGGTTTGCGTGCCCCAATACAATAACTGACAACTTACAAGCAAATAAGTACCAGAACAGATCACAGTGCCGCTGCTAGCGTTTCATCCTACACTCTCGTGTCGTAGCTCCAGCGCCTCGCTGGACGCAGTCAATACAAAGACCACCCCCAGCCTTTATCAAATCTAACTTATAGCCGCGCGATCCTCTATAATTTGGTTCTGAGTGCCATCGATAACTGCACGACGCCTGTTGGGTATTCTGAGGGAGGACTGGATCACGCAGGTTGTCTATTCTGCCCATGATCTGTGTCAGTGACATCTTATGCAGTTCCCGTGGCTGCAGTGCTTCCGATTGTAGTAGTTCCACATAAGCGTGACTGCGTGTTTCGGACCATGCACATGAACACTGTGTGCTATTCATGCAACTGATAATAGCTCCCTCAAAGAGCACATGTGCTACCTTAGAAATTAATAGGGCTCGCCGCTCTTCCAGTAGACCTAAGTCTAAGTGTCAGTGTCATATCACTTATAGATTCTGATATATGTGGAAACGTACAGCAGATCCTTAGCAAGACAGTGAGGTCTAGTCCAATTTCCTGTTCCGCAAGTGGAAGATACGAGCCCTGATGGCAGAAAATCATTTTTAGAGTAATTTGACCAAAGGCTCTAGAATTGTTGAGTAGGTACGAAGAAGCCATAAGCTGTGCGAGCTCAATTAGCTCTTTTGACTCTGCCTGGTTCAACCAAAGCGTGCTAGCATGATGCACCACGTTTCTGCAGTTAAACTTGTCTGCTTCGATCGCGGCGTGTAATAACAGGTCAGCATTAATATTCTCAGGAACACTACGAAAGTGTATTATGTTGCAAATGATTTCCATAGCGTCTGCGTTGTCTTCCGGCATGGGCACCTCTCTGATACAACTGCTCGAGTCACCTAGCTTTTGACCCTCGCGGAAGTGTGGGCCAAACATGCTACGGAAGACCTTAGAGGCATTTGCGAGCGACAAAGACGATACGCGGAGTCGTTTTTCTTTGGGACCAACTATCAGAATAACGTCGCTGTTATCTGCGATGTCTACGGTTGATGTTGACGACCGCTCGTTGCACATTGCTGCTGTGTAGGGTTAGAGGGCTTCGCTTCGAGGAGATGATCGAGAGGTTGATCCAAGTGATCCAACACTACAGGGCGCGTAAGGACCTGGCTGTCAGCATCCAGTGGGTACATACACGTTAGTGATTGTATGATGACGATTGCTGGTTGAAAGGAGGGGCCGCAAGCTAAGGAATATGTTCTGTCCCCATCAATCTCGCAGGGAAGTTTGTGCCAATCCAGTCGCAATGGAAGTTTGATGTTCACAGGGTACGTCAAGAAAGTAGCACAAACATTCCGTTCCAGAGATTCTTGGAACACGGCAAGCGAAGCTGACATTGTGCGCCTGATCTAAGGGAATAAGGACATTCCATCAACGTGGGATGCCATAAGCGTGATGACTATTTGTGTTTCACCATGCCACTAACATTAGGGGTTTTTCTATATACGAATGAGGTCAAGCACTTGGACGAGCTTTAGGTGTCTTATCAAACATCCTCTTACTAAGAAAGTTAGACATAGATAGACGGCTTTTAGTTTGATAAAAAGCAACACATATAAGCAATAGACTAAAAATATAGAGTGTAGTAGATAGTAACAAAGCAAACAAGTAGACTAGGTAGATTTAGGTAAGTAATTACGGGTGACTGTTATAGTCAGGGGGCTAAAACCAAAATCTAGAAACTAAAACACCCTAGCATAAAAACTAAAATATAGTAATATTATATACAACTCTAAATAACACAAATAGTATATATATAATAGATGTTTAGCAAAACCTTATAACGTACCTCACGGGCGAGCGAGCCAACGGGCGAGCGAGCCACTTTTGCCAAGCCCCCACCAAAGTACCCTTTTTATACCAATGCCTTAACAACAACCTATTATTAACGCGTTAAAGGAGGCTTAGGTACAGCTTGCGCTTCAAGCTCTTAAACAAGACGCGAATCTCTTACAGCGACGCGCTGCAGCCATCTACAAGGTGCCTCAAAGCACACTAAGCCATTAACACACTAGACAACCTTCATAAGGTGATACTATGCCTAACTCACAAGGGTTAGACAATAATAAGGAGCGGGTAATTGTTAAGCACATACTTAAGCTAGACAGGCAAGGATTTGGCCCCCAGCTGGCAGATGTGGCTGCTATAGCCAATTCTCTGCGCGCTAAGCGCAATCTGGGCCCTGTTGGCACAAACTGGCCCAGTACGTTCATCAAGCGTCAGCCAGAGCTCAAAGTAAAGTTCAATCGCAGGTATAACTACAAGCGAGCCCTCTGCGAGGATTTAGGGGTTATGCAGGGCTAGTTTAGCCTGGTAGCCAACGTCAAAGCTAAGTATGGCATCCAGGATAATGATACCTACAACTTTGATAAGACAGGCTTCATAATAGGCCAGATCTCCTAAGGAGCAGTCGTCACAGCTTCAGAGAGACAAGGAAGGCCAAAGGCAGTCCAGCAAGGCAACCAGGAGTGGACAACAGTTATACAGGGCATCAATGCGAAAGGATGGGCTATTCCACCCTTTATTATCTTCAAAGCGCGCCACCACCTTTCTAGCTGGTATAAGGAGGAAGATCTACCCTAGGACTAGGTTATTAGAGTCTCTAGTAACGGCTAGACTACTAATAAGCTTGGTCTTGAGTGGTTAAAGCACTTTAACAGGCATATAAAGGAGCATACTGTTAGTACCTACTGACTGCTGGTTATTAACAGCTATAAGAGCCACAACTCGCTCCAATTCCAGCAATACTGTAAGGATAACAAGATTATTACCCTATATATGCCTCCTCACTCATCACACCTCCTACAGCCACTTAATGTAGGCTGTTTTGCCCCTTTAAAGACAGCATACAGGCGCCAAGCCAAAATGCTTATGCGCAACCGAATCACCCACCTTATAAAGGCTAAGTTCCTGCCATGCTTCAAAGCAGCCTATAATGCAGTATTTACTCCTAGTAACATCTAAGGAGGGTTCAGAGGTGCTAGATTAGTCCCCTTTAACCTAGAACAGGTCATATCAGCCCTTAATGTAAAGCTTCGGACTCCAACACTACTACTTCCTGCCAACAACGTGCCCTGGCAGTCGCAAACCCCTAGCAATACTTTAGAGTTTAGATCGCAATTAACACTTGTAAAGTCAAGGATTCAGAGGCATATAGACAGCTCTTCTATATCTATAGTAAAGGCGTTTAAGAAGGTGTTAAAGGGGGCTGTAATTATTGCGCACAAGCTGGTTTTAGCTTAACAGGAAATCAGGAAGCTTTAAGCAGCTAATAAGGCCGCTACGCGACAAAAATCATATAAAAGAAAGCAGGTTTAGAAGGAAGGGACACTAATAGTTAAAGATAGGCAGCAACTAGCAGCTCTAAAGGAGTTTAGGGCACGTAGCAATAGAAAGAGGGCAAAGAAGCAGGTGCGCGCTTAAGAGGGTGAGCCTGCCCAAAGGCGCTGCAGAAGGTGCAATCAGACTGGTTATAACGCGCGAACGTGCAAGATTGATGTAGAAGAGGTCTCTAAATAATATTACATGCCGTAGTCTGCCACAGAGTGCCAAAGTGTGGTGTTGTAGGCTATAATGGGTCAGGTTTTGGTGAGGGCTTGGCAAAAGTAGCTCGCTCGCCCGTTGGCTCGCTCGCCCGTGAGGTACGTTATTCTATTAATTATACCTAAATTTAGGTAGATAATTATAGCTAAGCCTTCTATAAATATACTATTCTCCTTACTACTAAGATTAACTATTATAAGACTATTACTATGTCTCTAGAGGCCCTACTTAATATTATACTTAGCATCCTTATTACTCTCTTTATTAGATATCTCTTTATTACTCTTAGACATTTCTCCCTTGCTTTAAGAATTATTACTTATAGCAGACTCTCTAGTAGAAGCTACTATAGCTATAGCCCTATTAAGAGTAGCCTTAGTAGTAGCCTACTTCTTCTAATTCTTAGCTATCTTTTTAGTAGTAGCCTTTCTATAAGTAGCTAAGAATTAATTAGAGTTAATAGAAGTATAAATAGAGAATCCCCTCTTATCTATAACGTACCCCACGGGCGAGCGGATCAACGGGCGAGCGAATCACTTTTGCCAAGCCCCCACCAAAACTTGACCCATCATGGCCCAAAACACCACACTTTGGTCCTGCACGGTATAGTACAGGCTGGAATATTATTTAGAGACCTCTTCTACATTAATCTTGCACGTTTGCGCGTTGTGTCCTGTCTGATTGCACCTTCCACAGCGCCGTTGGGTTGGCTCGCCCTCTTGAGTGCGCACCTGCTTCTTTGCCCTCTTCCTATCACCACGCGCCCTAAACTCCTTTAGAGCTGCCAGCCGCTGCCCATCTTCAACTATTAGGGTCCCTTCCTTCTAAACTTGCTTTCTTTTATGTGATTTTCGTCGCATGGCGGCCTTGTTAGCCGCTTGAAGCTCCTTGATTTCCTGTTGAGCTAAAACCAGCTTGTGGGATAAGATTGCTCCCCCCTTTGCGTAGTGCTTAAGCGCGCTTAGAACAGAATTTGGTGAGCTGCCCTGCTGCCTCTTATACTTCTCTTGAATCAGAGTTAATTGCGACCCAAATTCCAGGGTGTTGCTGGGGGTTTGCGACTGCTAGGGTATGTTGTTGGTGGGGAGTGGTGGTGATGGAGTCTGAAGCTTCACATTAAGGGCTGATATGACCCGTTCTGGGTTAAAGGGGACTAATCCAGCACCTCGAAACCCTCCTTGGATATTGCTAGAGGTAAACACCGCATTATAGGCTGCTTTGAAGCATGGCAGGAACTCAGTCTTTGTAATGTGGCTGATTTGGTTGCGCATAAGCAATTCGGCTTGGCGCCCGTACGCTGTCTTTAAAGGGGCAAAACAGCCTATATCAAGTGGCTGCAGAAGGTGCGATGAGTGCGGAGGCATACATAGAGTAACAATCTTGTTATCCTTGCAGTATTTCTGGAATTGGAGCGATTTGTGGCTCTCGTGGCCGTTAATAACCAGCAGTCGGTGGGTACCAGCAGTACGCTCCTTTGTATGCGCGTCAAAGTGCTTCAACTACTCAAAACCAAGCTCATTAGTAGTCTAGCCATTACTGGAGACTGCAATAACCTAATCCTGGGGCAGGTCTTCCTCCTTGTACCAGCTGGAGAGGTGGTGGCGCGCCTTGAAGATAACAAAGGGTGGAATGGCCTATCCTTTGGCATTGATACCCTGTATGACCGTTGTCCACTCCCGGTTGCCTGGCTGGACTGCCTTTGGCCTTCCTCGTCTCTCTGAAGCTGTAACAACTGCTCCCTGGGAGATCTGGCCCATCATGAAGCCTGTCTCATCAAAGTTGTACGTGTTGTTATCTAGGATACTATACTTAGCTTTTGTGTTTCGCACCAGAGAAAACCAGCCCTGCACAACCCCAGAATCCTTGCAGAGGGCTCGCTTATAGTCATACCTGCAATTAAACTTCACTTTGAGCTCTGGTTGACGCTTTACAAACGTACTGGGCCAGTTTGTGCTAATAGGGCCTAGATTGCGCTCTGCGCGCAGAGAATTGGCCATTGCAGCCACATCTGCCAGCTGAGGGCCAAATCCTCGCTCGTCCAGCTCAAGTATGTGATTAACAATCACCTGCTCCTCTAGATCATCCAGCCCTTGTGAGTTGGGCATAGTATCGCCTTGTGAAGGTTGTCTAGTGAGTCGATGGCTTAGTGTAGCTTGAGGAACGTTGTAGATAGCTGCAGCGCGTCGCTGTGAGAGTTTCGCGTCTTGTTTAAGAGCTTGAAGCGCAAGCTGTATTTAAGCTTCCTTTAACGCGTTAAGATTAGGTTGTTGTTGAGGCATTGGTATGTAGAGGATACTTTGGTGGGGGCTTGGCAAAAGTGATTCGCTCGCCCGTTGATCCGCTCGCCCGTGGGGTACGTTATAGGTAGTTATAATTAGGTAGTATATACTAAGGATATTAATAATTCTAAATAAAAGTTTAATATCCTTAGGGATAATAGTAATATACTATAATAGTAGAAATATGCATAGTTA